TTGTTCATATTTGATATGTGAATATAATAAGCATGGCACACTGTCTAATGACATTTTGATTAGTAGGTGGCCATTTTGAAAAATGGCCGTCATTTACATGTGCGTGTGTGCGATTTTGTTAAAATTTTATATGTTCCTACTTACATGTAGAAGCATATTACACATTCTGACAATAATTTGACTAGTGAGCAACCATTTTGAAAATGGTCGTCATTTTTGTGTGTGTTATTTTATGATTTTTGCTATATACTTCGTTTGTAAAAATGCCAGCCATATCACTTCTATGGGATTGATTGGGTAGGCTTTGGTGTTGCTGTTTTCTAGTTTACATTATTATTTTCAACCCTATACATTACATCCTTTATGATGTTAAGAAAATAATCTAGTTATTTTACCCTCTCCTTTAAGCCAGTTAGGCAAGTAACCTTCCCATGTGCCATTATAGCCATAAACAAGTGCTGCTGAATGGTGCTTGTATAAACTATATGCTGCATCTTTGGGATGACGGACAATGTTGATCACCTTGCACTTGCTGAAATATTATAAGTTAATATTTATATCTATACACTGCAATTCAATGCTAAAATGACACAAAAGTGATTTTTTCCTAAATGGCAAAAAATCTCATATGATAATATGTACTGATTTTATCAGTAGATATCTCAACCTTTTAGATGGTATCTATTATTATAGGATACCATATTCTCTCTAATGAGCACACAGTTCCAATGAGAGCACATGCTACTTTTATTTTGAATATGGTCTCAATAAAACATGAAGTTTAATGCATTATCCCACCAAACAAAATTTGTAGGGATATAGAGTTCTGGATAAATGGAAGCTGAATTAAAACATGGCTGACATTTTTGTAAAAAAACATAATATTTGATAACTGAAATATCAATGGCAGATTTGGTTGAAATTATACATACCGATGATCGACATTGGTATACAGTAGATCTTTGCCAAAGGAGACAATATTACTCAACTGTTTTTCCTATTTAAGATAGTCCTTAAAATATGTTTTGTTTGGTGGGATTTGCTACTCCATGGAGTGGCTGTTTTCTAGTTTCGATTATTTACACAACTATATATTGATTGATGATTATATTTAACTTTCATTAGGGAGAATATGGTAGTAATAAAGTTTGATAATTCTAAACTTCTTTAATCTTGCAATAATAAAGAAAATAACAAAATTCTCCACACAATCCTGGAGAGAGCACTTATGCCTATGTGCATAAAATGTCTTACTTCCATACTGTCTTTGGAATTGAACTTGGTAGCTGGTGTGTTCTGATAATTCTGGGAGAAGGCACTGAACCTATGACATTCTGTGTCACCAACTCAGGCATACAGAACTCTTCCATACCCTTTGGGGCCTCTTGTAGGTCATGTGTCAGCCTGTATACTATATTCCATGTCCAATGCTGCCCTTTGTAAATAGAGAGAATTAAATGATGTACAAGTCGGTAAGTCAAGGCCATACCTAGGATCAAAAATTTGGAGAGGTTGATAAAGTTTTTATTACAGAGTTTGAAAACAGCAGCCTGGCTGTCAATGACAAACACCTGCCATTGCTTACTGCCAATGGCAAACACCAACCATCACTGACTGCCAATGGCAAACACCTGCCATTGCTGACTGCCAATGGCAAACACCCATCATCACTGACTGCCAATGGCAAACACCTGCCATTGCTGACTGCCATTGGCAAACACCTGCCATTGCTTATTGCCAATGGCAAACACCCACCATCACTGACTGCCAATGGCAAACACCTGCCATTGCTGACTGTCAATGGGAAACACCTACCATTGCTTACTGCCAATGGCAAAAATTGCCATTGTCATTGTTAACTGCCAAAGGCAAACACCTGCCATTGCTAACTGCCAATGGCATACACCTGCCATTGCTGACTGCCAATGGCAAACACCTGCCATTGCTAACTGCCAATGGCAAACACCTGCCATTGCTGACTGCCAATGGCATACACCTGACATTGCTGACTGCCAATAGCAAACACCTGCCATTGCTGACCGCCAGTGGCAAACACCTGCCATTGCCATTGATGCAATTACAATACCATTGAATAAACAAGTTGCTACAAGGTTAATGGTCAATAGACTGAATGCTAACATGTTAAGTTATGAGAACAATGTATTCAACCTTAGTCATTAACCTTACTTTATTTACATCTACATGGGCATATATTAACGGCTGCATTTACTTGATAGATTTGCCAACCATATAGTGTCCTTATTTTCAACCATTGTTTCAGGAGCAAGGCATTCTTCTTTGGTCTGATTTATTAAACTAAAATCTGGAATCTTGTGTTGTTATTGTTCTTATTAAAGGATTTAAGCCCTGAACTCAGTGCATTGTTTGCTGAATCATACCATGAAGGTGTTGTTTCCAAACCTTTGCATGACTGCGCAGGGGGAATGCAAAGTTTAGGAAACAACGCCTGAGTGGAATGAAGCAGCTACAATGCATTGAGTCTTGGGCTAAATTATTTTCACACATTGCAAATTTTTTCTCTATAAAATCATCTAAAAGGAACAAAACACTAAAAGAACACATTTTCAATGACATTTTTTGCAAGGGTCAAGTTGGCACGTCATCAAATCCAATGTGAAAAATCCATTCATCACCATGACAACTGTTTAACTAGTGACCTTGCATGTGTTATTGATATTTCACACCAACAACAATGCATAACTTACCAGACCTTGGATATGAAAAGAACCATATGTCATCAGCCCTGACTTCAAAATCTTTCATGAAATCATGAATCGTTGGTCTAACATACTGTGGATAGTTATATCCGTCTACTTTGTGCACAGGGAATGGTTCTCCCAGATCATCCTTTATGATTGTAGGTGTTCCTTTAGTGACAGCTATATCATCGAAAATTCCACCTACTGCATAGTTTATTTCTGCCATTTTCACCCAGTCCTCTGAACTATCAAGTCCAGTTATATCTGTTTGACCTACACAGATTCCATTAAAGGTGTAGTATGGCCATATATGATTGCCAGAATTGAAAATTAAATGGCAAGAAAGGTATTTTATTCTTTTATTCTATACTTTTAATGTTATAGTAATTTAGTTACATATAGTAAATTAAGATGTTCCAATGAGGTAGCCAGGAAGAAAAAAGCGACGAGGCAAAAAACATTTCCAAACCTTGCCTTGCTTGCCCAGCAATAGAAGAACACGATGATAGCCCTTAGGTAATGAGATTGTTCACAATTGAATCAAAAATTGATAATTTAACTGCTTAAAACACAGATCAAGAAAAGGGATGAGTTTGCTAAGATCCATTTATTGTGAGTGTATTCACAAGAAAAAAGCGACGAGGCGAAAAATATTTCCAAACCTTGCCTTGCTTTCCTGGCAATAGAAGGACATAATGATAAACCTTACTTAATGAGACTGTTTACAATTGAATCAAAAATTGATGATTTAAGTGCTTAAAATACAGATCAAGAAAAAGGATGAGTGTGCTAAGATGCATTAATTGTGAGTATTAACTATAAAATTGAAACAAGCTTTCAAGAGTTCCTTACAATACAAACACCAAAACACAACAATTATTATCAGATATTATTGTACACTTACACCTTAATTAACAGTCAAGTTCCTTTTTAAGGTTTATAATAGGATTCAGAAGCCTGTTAAGTAATAGTTTCAATCATTGTAGAGCCCATTTTGGCAGTTAGTGATATTTTTTGTAGATAGAGGGGTGTTTAATAGCACAATATACCCGTTATAAGTTAAATTGGTGGTTGAATAAATATACAAGTACAAATAAGTTATGCCTCCCAATAAATGTGTATACCAATAAAAAGATAAGACTTTATATTTGATTATATTTTATTATTTTATACTGTTTTGAATCAGCCTTTATTCAAAATGGCTGTCATACATATATTTTAAATATAATGTATGATTCTACCTTTAAAGCACTTAGAATATCAATTAATGCAATGTGCATATATTTTTTTTTATCAAAAACTACCTCTCAGATAGTTAATGATTAAATGTCTTGTAAACTTTGAACATAGCCATGACAAATCATCATGATAAATCAGCCCTGAGATGTTTCAAGTGAAACAGAAAGATGATATGAGTATCAGAATGATGACAAATGTTCTAGTGAACTACTGCACTCTTCAAACTAGTAACCAAAACAGATTTGTTTTGGTAACAAAATATTGGAATGTATTAGAATATCAATGTAATGTTGATAAGTTGCTGGTTGCATTCATTTACCATTCTAGGTGCTGTGATATCTATGTAAGAACTTGTTGGGATGAAAAATTAATTGGTTTCTTACAAATCCATGAACTTTTAACCTTCAATAAAACCAGATTTTGCCATATAAACCTAAACTCCAGGGCTTACTGAACCCAATTGGTTTGGTCCTTCTGCTTCCTACTGACCCCATGATTGACAATATCCTTGCTGGCATTGTCCTTTTTGACCAGGAATTTATCTATTTACAGTATTTTTGGACAAATTTTGAGTTTCAACTGTTTTACAAAACATCCTACAATTTCACCGTAAACTGTATAATGTGTATGAACGGGATACAGGTTAATTGCGCAAAATATTTATAATATAAATTTTGCAGCCAACTTTTCTCGGGGTTATATCTTATATGTTTGTAAAACACCTGAAATCTCGCAAGAAAAGTTTTTATTGGAAAAACTTTTGAACTTTTGGGAAGAACTTCTCTATATTTGACAAAACTTGTGATGAAACAATCATTCTGAATACAACGAGTTTCGGGACCATGTCAAACTCGTACGGATGGTTAGTATTCGGAAATTTTTTCTCGTATTTGTCAATTAATTGAGTATACGAGTGGAGATCTGAACCTCTGATGAATACCACTATTTTTATTCAGTAATATCAAAACTGTTTGAGATGTTTTCGTAAATTGACATATTCTTATGAGTCTAACAAGCCATCATAGACAAATGGTATTCCTTTCATTCTTTCCTTGTAGACTTTATTAAAAGCTCATTCTGTGCCACGGTAAAGTGTTCTTTCCATGCACCAACTACCCCTGAAATAAATTGGGTAACATAAGAATATAATTGATTTGTATATATTGTTTAGAATCTGAATGCCCACATATAAGGTTCTTAAAAGACTGTCATGAATGTAGGGTGGGTAAAAAACATTAAAATCTTTATTAATATTTTCATCCTATATTCATCAAAATTCAAAAAAATGAGCTCAGCTCTATAAAATTAGTCAAAGTGCTGCTGCATTATGGTTTCATAAAGAACTGAACAATGTCATTTTTTTCATATTAAAATATTAATTCAGATATATATTTTTTAATTAAAACTGAAAGTGAAATCTAACAATTATACAGTAATACTTTATTTTCGCCTCACCTATTGTAAGTTGTCTCATCTATTTTTAGAGAGTGGCTATGCCTGACCCCAGTAACCTTTATTATACACTTTTTACCTGGGATAAGGAGATATAATTATTACATGTTGATAATCATCATATACTAAAACCTTTTCTGTACATTACATCTGCCCCTCTTCCATCTCTCGCATAGGCATCATATTCTTTATTGCGAGACTGCATGACATCAATCTTTGTTTCATCAATGATTTTCTTATAGTCTTCTTCACTCCAGCTTACACCTATATAGTCAGCTATCTTCTTTATGGTACCAAGTGTATCCTTAAAATATACACATCCATTGACCTATTAAATTAAATTTAATTGATTGATGTCTACATGGGAAAAATATTGAGGTACAGTATGACATTTTGTTATTGAATGCTTATTTGATCCAGATTGAACAAGGAGTTCATTTTTCATAGTTTAAGAACATTTTCCAAGGTGGCGTAATTCAAAATGGCCACCATTTTTATCCCATCGAATGAAGTTCGGAGGGATATAGGGAACGCCTCCGTCCGTCCGTCCGTACGTCTGTCTGTCCGGGCGATAACTCAAATACCGTTTGCCCAATTTTGTTCATATTTTATACACACATGCCCTATGAAGGTAGAAGTTCTGCTCAAAAGCCGATTTTCAAAATGGCCGCTCAATTCAAAATGGCGGCCATTTTAGTGCCGATTTTACAGTAATTTAGGTGCAATATGTAAAACTGTAATAGCAATATGTTTTAAATGTAAAAAAATTATGAAGGACATTAATAAAGCTACAAATGTAGACATTAAAGAAGCACATGGCAGCCATCTTGAAAAATGGCGGCCTTTACTTGTTATTTCACGATTTTTGCTATAGCTCGAAAAGTAGTGGAGCGATTTTGTTCATATTTGGTATGTGAATACTATAAGCATTGCACACTGTCTAAAGGCACTTTTGGTAGAAGGCGGCCATTTTGAAAAATGGCCGCCATTTTAACGTATTTTACTATAACTCGAAAAGTAGTGGAGCGATTTTGTTCATATTTGGTATGTGAATACTATAAGCATGGCACACCGTCCTATGACACTTTTGGTAGAATGCGGCCATTTTGAAAAAATTTTTGAAAAATGGCCGCCATTTTAACGTATTTTACTATTACTCGAAAAGTAGTGAAGTGATTTTGTTCATATTTGGTATGTTTCATATTTTATATGTGAATACTATGGCACACTGTCTAATGACACTTTGGGTAGTAGGTGGCCATTTTGAAAAATGGCCACCATTTTTACGTTTTTTACTATAACTTGAAAAGTAGTGAAGCGATTTTGTTCATATTTGATATGTGAATACTCATGAGCCTTGCACACTGTCTCATGACACTTCAGATAGTAGGCGGCCATTTTATAAAAATGGCTGTCATTTTTACATTTTTTACTATAACTCGAAAAGTAGTGGAGCGATTTTGTTCATATTTGATATGTGAACAATTTAAGCATGGCACATTGTAGCCATTTTGAAAAATGGCCACCATTTTTATGTGTGTTATTTTACAAGTACATGTATGCGATTTTTCAAAGATTTTATAGGTGGCTACTTAAAAGCATATTATTTCTTCTGATGACAACTTGGCTAGTGAGCAACCATTTTGAAAATGGTGGCCTTTCTGGGGTGTTGTTTTATGATATTTGCTATATATTTCGTTTGTAAAATTGCCAGCCATTTCTATTCGATAGGATTCGCTACATTTTGGCGTTGCCGTTGTTCTGGTTTATGAAAGAAATGTAATTTATGATTAATGAAATACCAGCTTTCGGATATGATTCAAAATTTAGAGGCTGAAGTGTTATGGGAATAGGACCTCTGGAGGACAAGCAAATTCCAATATGGCAACTTAATTCACAATTGCTGCCACTTTTGAAATATTTTTAATGAATAGTGATTTAATAAATGTAGGGTGGTCCAAAAATGTTACTCAAAAAAGTCCCATTTCTGGCACCAAAAACAAATCCCACTAAAATGAAGTACATCATTACTGGAACACCATATTACGAAAAAGTACCTTTTGAATCCCCTGATATTTAAAGAAATCACCATATAATACTGACATTTTTGGTTTCTTCATAAGTGAGGAACAGCATATCTACATTTTCTGCTAGTTTCTTGTATTCTTGTACATGCTTGAACCAATCATTCCATGCCACTATAAATATAGGATTATACAGTGTTAGCGAGTGTTGTGTAAGTATGTTGAAGGTACAAACTTAGAATTAGAAATAGTTAATGGATCATTTTTTTCATTTTTTAATTAAAACTTTTATTTACCAAAAAGCATGTATAAAACATATGGACAGTGCACATTGAAATATATACAAATGGAAGAAATCAGATGAAATTTAACTGTTTCAAATATACTGAAAAGGGAATTTTTACACATTATTATTTTCAACCCTATACATTACATCCTTTATGATGTTAAGAAAACAATCTATGAATTCTTCTAAGTTATTTTACCTTCTCCTTTAAGCCAATTAGGCAAATAACCTTCCCATGTTCCGTTGTAGCCATAAATAATTGATGCTAAATGATGCTTGTATGAGCTATATGCTGCATCTTTGGGGTGACGCACAAGGTTGATCACCTTGCACTTGCTGGAATATTATAAGTTAATATTTATCTGCAATTCAGTGCTAGAATGACACAAAAGTGATTTTATTATTTCTTATTTGAGTGATTTTATTACATCTTATTTGAGATGTACATATATGTAATTTTGAATATGATGGAGTATTATTTAAAAAACATTTTAAAGTTGATTTTTTTACAGTAGATGCCTCAACCTTTCAGATGGTATATATCTTATTAGTGGATACCATATTCTCTCTAATGAGCACACAGTTCCAATAAGAGCACTTGCTCCTTTAATGTTGAATTTTGTCTCAAGGAAACACAAAGTTTAATGCATTATCCCACCAAACAAAGTTTGTAGGGATATAGAGAAGCTGTCCATCCATTCGTTTGTTCGTTTGTTTGTCTGGACGATAAATAAAATACCAGTTGACAGGTTTGGTTCAAATTTTGTATGCCTATGCCTTATGAGTGTAGGACCTCTGGTTGAAATTTTGCATACTGATGATTGACATGGGTGTAGATCTTGCCGAAGGAGACAATACTAATTAACTATTATTTCAACTTTTATTTCTATCATGTACAGTTCAAAATGACAAGATAGTCTTTAAAATATGTTTCGTTTGGTGGAATTTGCTACTCCATAGAGTTGGTGTTTTCTAGTTTCGATTATTTACACAACTAGATATTGATTGATGATAATATTTAACGCTCATTAGGGAGAATATGGTAGTAATAAGTTTGATAATTCTCAACCTCTAAAATCTTGCATTTAGAAAATAACAAAATTCTCCACACAATCCTGGAGAGAGCAATATGCCTATGTGCATTAATTGTCTTACTCCCATACTGTCTTTGGAATTGAACTTGGTAGTTGGTGTGTTCTGATAATTCTGGGAGAAGGCACTGAACCTATGACATTCTGTGTCTCCAAATCAGGCATACAGAACTCTTCCATACCCTTAGGGGCCTCTTGTAGGTCATGTGTCAGCCTGTATACTATATTCCATATCCAATGCTGCCCTTTAGAAAAACAGAGAATGATATATATACATTTATATAGTATGTTATGGGCCTCTTGTAGTTCATGTGTCAGCCTGTATACTATATTCCATGTCTAATGCTGCCCTTTGTAAATAGAGAATGATGTATAAGTCGGTTAGTCAAGGCCATAGCTAGCATCAAAAATTAAGGGGAGTAGATTAGCTTTTATTCCAGGGTTAGAAAACATCACCCTGACTACCAATGGCAAAAACCTGCCATTGCTGACTGCCAATGGCAAACACCTGCCATAGCTGACTTCCAATGGCAAACACCTGCCATTGCTGACTGCCAATGGCAAACACCTGCCATTGCTAAATACCAATGGCAAACACCTGCCGTTGCTGACTGCCAATGACAAACACCTGCCATTGCTGACTGCCAATGGCAAACACCTGCCATTGCTGACTGCCAATGGCAAACACCTGTTATTGCTGACTGCCAATGGCAAACACCTGCCATTGCTGACTGCCAATGGCAAAGCACCTGTTATTGCTGACTGCCAATGGTAAGCACCTGCCATTGCTGACTGCCAATGGCAAACACCTGCCATTGCCATTGATAAATGGTCAATAGACTGAATGCTAACATGTTAAGTTATGACAACAATGTCTTCAACCTTAGTTGTATGTGAACTCTACTATAGGCGTATATTAATGGCTGCATTTACTTGATAGATTTGCCGATCATAGTGTCCTTATTTTCAACCATTGTTTCAGGAGCAAGGCATTCTTCTTTGATCTGATTTATTAAACTAAAATCTGGAATATCTTGTGTTGATATTTTTCTTCTTATTTTTTATAAGTGAACCCAAAAAACAACATAAAAAGTAAATTCTCACATTGCTTTTCTTTTTTCTAATTCTAAATAGTGCCAAAAAGATTAAATCAGTAGGCTATAAATTTAAAAAACAAACAAAAACATATCATGATGTAAAAATCAGTACTACTCGGATAGCAAATCAAGAAAAACAATTAAATAAAGTCAAACAACAATGCATAACTTACCAGACCTTGGATATGAAAAGAACCATATGTCATCAGCCCTGACTTCAAAATCTTTCATGTAATCATGGATCGTTGGTCTAATAAACTGTGGATAGTTATATCCATCTACTTTGTGTACAGGGAATGGTTCTCCCAGATCATCCTTTATGATTGTAGGTGTTCCTTTAGTGACAGCTATATCATCAAAAATTCCACCTACTGCATAGTTTATTTCTGCCATTTTCACTCAGTCCTCTGTACTATCAAGGCAGTTATATCTTTTTCTATTGACATGTTATGTCAGTTTGTCCTACACAGATTCCATTAAAGGTGTAGTATGCCCATATATGATTGCCAGAATTGAAAATTAAATTAAATGGCAAGAAAGGTATTTTAGGTTTTCCCCTTTACTTCTAATGCTATAGTAATTAAGTTACATATAGTAAATTAAGATGTTCCTATGACGTAGCCATGAAGATTAAAGCGGCGAGGCGAAAAATATTTCCAAACCTTGCCTTGCTTGCCTGGCAATAGAAGAACATGATGATAAACCTTTCTTAATGAGATTGTTCACAATTGAATCAAAAATTGATAATTTAACTGTTTAAAACACAGATCAAGAAAAAGGATGAGTGTGCTAAGATGCATTTATTGTGAGTATTTACCATAAAATTGAAACAAACTTTCAAGAGTTCCTTGCAATACAAACACCAAAACACAACATGTTATCAGACATGATTGTACACTTACATCTTAATTAACAGGAAAGTTCCTTTTTAGAACATGTTGAAGTTTTATAATGGGATTCAGAAGTCAATCATTGTAGAGCCCATTTGGAAGTTAGTGATATTTGTAAATAGAGGGGTGTTTAATAGCATAATATACCTGTTACAAGTTATGCCTCTCAACAAATTTTTATACAGATAAAAAGATAAGACTTCATATTTGATTATGTTTTTTATTTATCCTTTTTTAAATCAGCATTTATTCAATTTTCTGTGAGACAAATCGTACCTTCTAGTACTATTCTAGCGGAGTGGAGTTGACTACCAGTGTACATGAACTGTAACAGTAGTTTCATCATAGTTTATGATTATGTTAATTTGCATAATTTCCTATTTGTAATAAGACTATTAATGCAAGAGGTTTAGATCATCAGGAAAACAATACTAGACATGAATGGCAAGTTTTTTGAAAAATTACTAGTATGAGTTTTTACTAGTACAAAAAATTACTTGTGATTGAAAGTATACAGGTTAATGCAGGTATACAGGTTAAGTGGGCAAAATATTTTCAAAGATTATTTTGCAGGCAACCATTCCTGGGGTTATATCCTATATTGTATGTTTGTTAAACACCTGAAATCTTGCAAGAACATTTTTTATTGGAAAAACTTTTGAACTTTTTGGAAGAACATGTGGTTAAACAGGGCGGTTAAAGCTACAAATAAAGTAGTTGGGCAAGAGTTGGAATCATTCTGAATACAACTAGTTTCGGGTCCATGTCAAACTTGTACGAATGGCATGTATTTAGAAATTTTTTCTATTTGTCAAATTACTTGTAAAGTTACGAGTATACGAGTGGGGACCTGAATCCATTTTAGTTCGATAATATCAAAACTGTTTTAGTTGTTTTTGTAAATTACATATTCTTAAGCGTCTAACAAGTTGTCGTAGACAAATGGTATTCCCTTCATTCTTTCCTTGTAGACTTTATCAAAAAGCTCATTTTGTGCCACAGTAAAGTGTTCTTTCCATGCACCAACTTCCCCTGAAATAAATATAAAATATTTAATAACAAATCACATATAGTTGTTGGATCAGGAATCGTTTGAATGTACATTTATGAGGCAGACGAGATTTGCCGCAGAGGAATTTCATATGAAAATATTAATTCAGATATACCAGCATTTTTCAAATAAACTGAAAATGAAATCTAACAATTGTAATACTTTATATTCACTTCAGCTATTGTAAATTGTCTCATCTATTTTAAGATCTTAGCTATGCCCCCATCCCAGTTACATTTATTTCCCACCCTTTACTTGGGATAAGATGAGATAATTATTACATGTTGATAATCAAATATTAAAACCTTTTCTGAACATCACATCTGCCCCTCTTCCATCTCTTGCATATGGATCGTATTCTTGATTGCGAGATTGTATAACATCAATCTTTGTTTCATCAACCATTTTCTTGTAATCTTCTTCACTTCAACTTACACCTAAATAGTCAGCTATCTTCTTTATGGTACCAAGAGTATCCTTAAAATGTACACATCCATTGATTACTCTATTAAAATTTATATGATTGATTGATTTATGTATATGAGGGATATAACGAGGTATGCCATTTTGTTCTTGACTGCTTATTCGATCAAGATTGAACAAGGGACGAGTTCATTTTCATGGTACATTTTCTCATTATCCCACTGAATGAATTTCAAGAAAATTTTCCAAGGTGGTTACTGAATTCAAAATGGCAACCATTATTATTAAGAAATGTATTTTTCGATCATTTAAATACCAGTAATTGGATTTGATACAAATTTTAGAGGCTTTTTTGTGCACAGTGTTCAGCTTTTGGTAGTCGGCATATGTAAGAATGGCAGGTGATGACACTTTGCATGTTAATGCCTTATTGTGAAAATTTATATTTTGAATCTCTTTGAATTAAAAAAATCACTGTACTATACTGACATTTTTGGTTTCTTCATAAGTAAGGAACAGCATATCAACATTTTCTGCTAGTTTCTTGTATTCTTGTACATGCTTGAACCAATCATTCCATACCACTATAAATATAAGATTATCCAGTGTTGTATAAGTGTGTTGAAGGTACAAAAATTAGAAATTACAAATAGTAAATGAATTATTTTTTCATTTTTTTCATTAAAGCTTTTATTTGCCAAAAAGCTTATTATCCCATCGAACGGTGTTCGGAGGGATAAAGGGAATGCCTCCGTCCATCCATCTGTCCGTCCGTCCATCCGTCCGTCTGACTGTCCATCCATCCGTACGTACGTCCGTGTTACAATTTTTGCTTCGTTTGTAAAAATGCCAGCCATGTCTGTTCTATGGGATTGGCTAGACTTTGGTGTTGCTGTTTTCTAGTTTACATTATTATATTCAACCCTATACATTACATCTTATTGATGCTAAGAAAACAATCTATGAATTCTTTTAAGTGATTTTACCCTCTCCTTTAAGCCAATTAGGCAAGTAACCTTCCCATGTGCCATTGTAGCCATGAACAAGTGCTGCTGAATGATGCTTGTATAAACTATATGCTGCATCTTTGGGATGACGGACAATGTTAATCGCCTTGCAATTGCTGGAATATTATAAGTTAATTTTTATATCTATACACTGCAATTCAGTGCTAAAATGACACAAAAGTGATTTTTTCCTCAATGGCACAAAATCTTGTATGAGGTATGCATAGAGGTAATATTTAATATGATGGAGTATTATTTAAAAAACATTTGAAGATGATTTTTTTTTCAGTACATGTTTCAACCTTTCAGATGGTATATCTTATTAGAGGATACCATATTCTCTCTTAAATGAGCACACAGTTCCAATGACAGCACATGCTACTTTTATGTTGAATATGGTCTCAATAAAACATGAAGTTTAATGCGTAATCCCACGAAACAAAATTTGTAGGGATATAGAAAAGATATCTATCCATTCGTTTGTTCATTTGTTTGTCTGGATGATAACTAAAATACAAGTTGATTGATTTGGTTTTTTACAGGCCTATGCCTAATGAGTGTAGGACCTCTGCTCGAGAAGTGTTTTATTCATTATTGATGCTCAATTCAAAATGGCCAATACCACCATTTTTGTGAAAATGTAACCTTTACATTTAATAACTCAAATACCAGTTGACGGATTTGGATTTGGTTCAGATGCCTTGGGACATTGGAGTTCAGGATAAATCAAAGCGCTGAATTAAAAAATGGCTGCCATTTTTGTAAAAAACATAATATTTGATAATGAAATATCAATTTACAGATTTGGTTGACATTTTACATACTGGTGATTGACATGGGTGTAGATCTTGCCGAAGGAGACAATACTAATTAACTATTATTTCAACTTTTGTTTCTGTCATGTACAGTTCAAAATGACAAGATAGTCTTTAAAATATGTTTCCTTTGGTGGAATTTGCTACTCCATGGAGTGGCTGTTTTCTAGTTTCGATTATTTACACAACTAGATATTGATTGATGATAATATTTAACGCTCATTAGGGAGAATATGGTGGTAATAAAGTTTGATAATTCTCAACCTCTAAAATCTTGCACTTAGAAAATTACAAGATTCTCCACACAATCCTGGAGAGAGTAATATGCCTATGTGTATAAAATGTCTTACTTCCATACTGTCTTTGGAATTGAACTTGGTAGTTGGTGTGTTCTGATAATTCTGGGAGCAGGCACTGAACCGATGACATTCTGTGTCTCCAACTCAGGCATACAGAACTCTTCCATACCCTTCGGGGCCTCTTGTAGGTCATGGGTCAGCCTGTATACTATATTCCATATCCAATGGTTCCCTTTGTAAATACAGAGAATGATGTATAAGTCAGTTAGTCAAGGCCATAGCTAGGATCAAAAATTAGGGGGAGTAGATTAGCTTTTATTCCAGGTTTTGAAAACAGCACCCTGACTACCAATGGCAAAAACCTGCCATTTCTGACTGCCAATGGCAAACACCTGCCATTGCTGACTGCCAATGGCAAACATCTGTTATTGCTGACTGCCAATGGCAAACACCCATTGCTGACTGCCAATGGCAAACACCTGCCATTGCCATTGATGCCATTAACAATGACATTGCTGCTTAATGGTCAATAGAATGAATGCTAACATGTTAAGTTATGACAACAATGTCTTCAACCTTAGTTGTATGTGAACCCGACTATAGGCATATATTAACGCCTGCATTTACTTGATAGCTTTGCCGACCATAGTGTCCTTATTTTCAATCAACCATTGTTTTAGGAGCAAGGCATTCTTCTATGGTCTGATTTATTAAACTAAAATCTGGAATATCTTGTGTTGTTATTGTTCTTATTAAAGGATTTAAGTCCTGAACTTAGTGCATTGTTTGCTGAATCATACCATGAGTTTTGTTTTCCACAGCGGGAATGCAAAGTTTAGGAAACAATGCCTGAGTGGAATGAAGCAGCTACAATGCATTGAGTCTTGTGCTAAATTATTTTTACACATTGCAAATTTTTTCTATATAAAACCATCTAAAAGGAACGAAATCACTAAAAGAACACATTTGAAATGACATTTTTTGCAAGGGTCAAGTTGGCAAGTCATCAAATCCAATGTGAAAAATCTATTCATCACCATGACAACTGTTTAACTAGTGAATGTGTTATTGATATTTCACACCAACAACCATGCATAACTTACCAGACCTTGGATATGAAAAGAACCATATGTCATCAGCCCTGACTTCAAAATCTTTCATGTAATCATGAATCGTTGGTCTAACAAACTGTGGATAGATATATCCATCTACTTTGTGTACAGGGAATGGATCCCCAAGATCATCCTTTATGATTGTAGGTGTTCCTTTAGTGACAAGTATATCATCAAATATGCCACCAACTGCATAGTTTAATTCTGCCATTTTCACCCAGTCCTCTGTACTATCAAGTGCAGTTATATCTGTTTGTCCTACACAGATTCCATTAAAGGTGTAGTATGACCATATATGATTTCCAGAATTGAAAATTAAATTGCAAGAAAGGTATTTTTAAGTTTTCCCCTAAAATCGATAATTTAATTGCTTAAACCACAGATCAAGAAAAGGGATGAGTTTGCTGAGATGTATTTATTGTGAGTGTATATTTTTATTTACTATAAAATTGAAACAAGCTTTCAAGAGTTCCTTGCAATACAAAAACCAAAACACAACATGTTTTAAGATATGCTTTTGTACACTTACACCTCAATTGACAGGCAAGTTTATAATTTGATTCAGAAGTCTGTTAACTAATAGTTTCAATCATTGTAGAGCCCATTTTGACAGTTAGTGATATTTGTAGATAGAGGGGTGTTTAATGGCATAATATACCCGTTCTAAGTTAAATTGGTGGTTGAATAAATATACAAATACAAATGCAAATAAGTTATGCCTCCCAATAAATTTGTATACCAATAAAAAGATATATTTGATTATATTTTTATTTTATACTTTTTTGAATCAGCTTTCATTCAGATTGGCTGTCATACATATATTTTAAAGATAATGTATGATTTTACCTTTAAAACACTTAGATATATATTTATAAATAACATAACATCAAATAGAGATAATGACATACATGTTTATGATTCATAAAGTCATACAGATAACATATTTACATAAAACAAAACTAGAATAAAATAACCTAACATTTACTTTGGCTTGGGGCGCGTATGGTGCTAATCATACGCGCTATTGTATAAAGTGGCATTCAAAGTCATTCTTGTTCAAGAATACGGTAATTTCAGGTTTCTCATAAGTTTCATAATAGGCAGAGATTTCGATCTACCTTTGTTAATAATAGCAACTGTTGCTTCGTTGTCACAAACGAAAATTACATGTTTCTTTACCTATAGATGTGACCATAGTATAGCCGCAACTACCATGGGATATAACTCTAGAAAAGCCATCGACAGGTCGCCACGCTCGACTTCGGGCCCGGGACTTCGGGTAATCTAGGCCACATTGAGTAAAAATACTGATTCTGGTAGACACCACCGAAGCCAAGCGTAGATGACGCGTCGGTGTGAAGGCTTATATCAGATGACAAGGAGAAAAAGTGATCATAGAACATATTAACACCGTTCCATTGTAATAGGAAATATTTCCACATTGTTAGATCTTCAATGCAATGCCTATCGAGTGAAACCAATGAGAACATTTCTTTGACTGTCATGGATAGCTTGATAAGATAAGAGACAAAAGAACGTCCCGGTTTGATAACTCTTGAAGCAAAGTTCAAATGTCCGAGTAGCTGTAGCAGCTCCTTTTTATCAATGCGTCTTTTATCAATGATATCCTTCATAAAAATAACGATGCGCTGTATCTTATCCTCTGGTAGCCGCGCTTCCATTTTATCCGAATCTAGAATGATTCCCAAGTATTCGATGCATGTTGTAGGTCCCAGGCATTTGTGGGCGGCAAGGGGGATTTTAAGTACGTTAAAAATCTGTGTCATAATGGCCATGGTTCTAAGACCGGTATCGGGATCACCTTCGATTGTTAGAAAATCGTCCAAGAGGTGTATTACAAAATCGACGTTATATTTGTGCTCCGCGATCCAACATACTGCCTGAGATATATTGTCAAAGATTTTTGGCGATGATCTGCATCCGAAACACAGCCGTGGACACACGTAGTAGTTTCCCATCCATTTTACACAGAAAAGATGCCATTGCCTTGGATCAATAGGGATGATTTTAAAAGCATCCTGGATGTCGAATTTACACATCATTGATTTTTGGCCTCTTTTAATAATCCCCCTAATCGCATCATCTATGGTAACATAGCTTAGAGAACATGCGTTTTTGTCTATGAGATCGTTTATACTTTCAGAATCGGAATCATCGTGGGGTGACGACAGGTCAACAATAAGCCGTTTTTTGTTGGAATATTTTCCAACTGCTATGCCGACTGGACTTACCCTAAATGTTTTAAAGGGTGGTGTTTTGAAAGGGGCGAGAACATATCCTTTTTCTAGTTCCTTCTTTAATAACTCCGTAGTTGCCGCCGGTTGTTTCCTAGCCGAAAGAAGGTTACGGCATTCGAGTGTCGGCAATTGAATTTCGCTTACCATGGTGTCAAAACCGTTTGCAAGTCCAGTACAAAGATATTGCACGAAGTTTTTGTCTGGGTGCATTTTTAACTCGGATGCTAATTTTTTGACGTTCACAGGAGTGGACGCTACCATGAGATTAGGTTCTAGTCAGTTATTTCCACTTTTAGTTACGGAATTGACATCAGCGGTTTCAGACGTTTGTTTTGTAACGTGTGCTCTATTGCAATCTGCATATGTGCAACCACGGGAACTATTGAAATTATTACAAATCTCCCTGCCATCTTTGCATTGTATTGAGCGGCCTCTCATATCCTTTGAGCAGTTGAGCATTTTGCTTCCTGTTGACGAAGAGCTAACATGTGTCTTGACGTTGTCGCTGATCTTACTGTTCAGTACAAGTTGCCATAAGTCCGAATTTCTGCAGCCCCAATCGACCTTTATTTGCAGATTTATCCAGGCAGCCATGCCTGGGAACTGAAACGCTTATGGTACTCATAGAATTTTGGGCCAGGGTAGGAGTTATAAAGTTCTAAAATACCATGCTGGTATCTATCAAGCTCATCGCGTCTTCCTGGGAATTTTTCACACATCACCCTTTTATACTTGTCAAACGCTGTGATAAATTCGGCGATGTTAAGAGAGACTTTAAGCTTTGGGTCATTGTCCATGTTGATGGGCTTCAGACAGAGTTTTCCGTCATCATCCGTATCTAATGCTGGTGTTTTCGAAAGTTCGTAATACGGCGATAGCAAACATGCTAAGTTGACATATTTCCCGGATTGTATCGCCTTTCTAACCCCGGGTGAAATAATGTCTACAATAGGTAAAGAATTCGGGTGAATACCTTTGGAACCGAGGCCTGCTGATGATGATCCATCTCGTGGTCTGGGCTCTTTCGCCGCTGAATTCTCTATTTGCTCAGCTGAGCCAGCAGCGAACGGTATGTTCCGTTGGTTAACAAGGGAACTCACGACGTCAGTAAGATTTTCGACCTTATTTTCAAGATCTTTGATAATTCTTCTTTCTTCAGACATTACTTGTACGGGAGGTACGATAGGGCCGATTTCGATTTCATCCTGCTCCTCAGATGGTATAATCCCGTCGTTAGCTTCATCATTCATAACATTGTCCATATACAAGTTTCTCAACGCTGTGAGCAAAATCTTTTTCTTAATCTTTATCCCTATGTCTGACAATTCTTCCTTCATATGTTCTGATGAAGGATAGGAAATACGTCGGTTTTTAGGTGGCATGATATTTGTGTTTGTGATGAATAATCAACTTTGAAAAATGTTTAAATCTCGTTGTGTCGTTCGCTACTTCGAAAAACTGAATGAATGATATCTTAAGATAGAATGGATGTTCAATTGTTTGGAACATTGCGGAACGACTGTTCAGTGATTGACAATTACAGAGTGACAGTGTGGGCGGAGCCGAAGCTATGGCTGGCCTTACTAACATTTATTTATAAACAATGTTTACAAAGTAAACACATATATATATTTTTTATCAAAAACTACCTCTCAGATAGTTAATGATTAAATGTCCTGTAACCTTTGAACATAGTCATGACACTCAGCGCGTTCTAGTGAACTACTGCACTCTTCAAACTAGTAACCAAAACAGCTCCGTTTTGGTAACAAAATGTCTGAACCTCAGTTATGAATTTTCATTTTCCTTATTTCAAGCCAGAATTGGCATAATGGGCAACTGCAGTTGCTGGCAGTTGAACCTTATTTCTTAGCAATTATGACAACAAAATGGCTATAGTCTTCTTGTAATAAAATGAGGTTTTGTTATAAAATCTTGAATTTCTGTGATGTAAATTTATTTAAATCATTAGAATAGCAATGTAATGTTGATAAGTTGCTGGTTGCATTCATTTACCATTCTAGGTGCTGTGATATCTATGTATGAACTTGTTTGGATGAGAAATTAATTGGTTTGCGGAACGACTGTTCAGTGATTGACAATTACAGAGTGACAGTGTGGGCGGAGCCGAAGCTATGGCTGGCCTTACTAACATTTATTTATAAACAATGTTTACAAAGTAAACACATATATATATTTTTTATCAAAAACTACCTCTCAGATAGTTAATGATTAAATGTCCTGTAAACTTTGAACATAGTCATGACACTCAGCGCGTTCTAGTGAACTACTGCACTCTTCAAACTAGTAACCAAAACAGCTCCGTTTTGGTAACAAAATGTCTGAACCTCAGTTATGAATTTTCATTTTCCTTATTTCAAGCCAGAATTGGCATAATGGGCAACTGCAGTTGCTGGCAGTTGAACCTTATTTCTTAGCAATTATGACAACAAAATGGCTGATAGTCTTCTTGTAATAAAATGAGGTTTTGTTATAAAATCTTGAATTTCTGTGATGTAAATTTATTTAAATCATTAGAATAGCAATGTAATGTTGATAAGTTGCTGGTTGCATTCATTTACCATTCTAGGTGCTGTGATATCTATGTATGAACTTGTTTGGATGAGAAATTAATTGGTTTCCTACAGATCCATAACTTTTAAACTCCAGGGCTTACTGAACTCCATCTGCTTCCTACTGACCCCATGATTGACAATATCCTTGCTGGCATTGACCTTTTTGACCAGGAATTTATCTATTTACAGTATTTTCGGACAAATTTTGAGTTTCAGCTGTTTTACAAAACATCCCATAATTTCACCGTAAACTGTATAATGTGCATGAACGGCATACAGGTTAATCGTGTAAAATATTTATAATATACCGTATTCTCTGTAATTACCGCCCACTCTCTAATAAGCGCCCACCCCGCTTCACAAAGTTCAAGAAACATCGAGGAATCAACAAGAATTGAAGAATATATCAGGAAAAAAATATTTCTCAAAATCCAGGAGCAGGCGATAATAGAGTACTTACCCTAAAACTGCTGTAAACACGACGCGTTTTGTAATTCTATGCATCCTCTCGATACATATCTATCGATGGGTGCTTCCCACACCATACCATGCTAATATTGTCTCCAAATAGTCCATAATGAATGAAGGAATTGTTCTTTATCGGCATTCAGAAATTTCAAAAGCTACTGCGCAGATGTTCTGCGCATGTCAAGGTCGTGAACTTTCTGGTTTCTTTTTAATGTTTCTCGACTTTTACACGACTTTTGCACGAATAATGATGATCTCTCATCAAATTAGAAATAATGTATAACTTTAGATCGATATCCAGCAGTCTCTAGTGGAAATATTGAAGGTAATCGGCGATAATGACAAAGTGGGCGTGCCGGAAATAAATTAGACATAGACGGGTCTTCAACCACTGTCAATATTGTCTAAGCGATCTTTACCGTATTCTCTCCAATAACAGCACTTGTCATATTATTATAAAAATATGTTGAAGAAAATGCATTCTTGTCAAGAAAAATTGCCATACATGAAATTCCTCGGGATTTCTGATTTCTTTCATACATGGGCGCTTATTAGAATGGTCTAAATAATGTATTTTCAATTTTCTAAACGCCCTGGGCGCTAATTACAGAGAATACGGTAGATTTTGCAGCCAACTTTTCTCGGGGTTATATCCTATATGTTTGTAAAACACCTGAAATCTCGCAAAAAAAGGTTTTTATTGGAAAAACTTTGGAACCTTTGGTAAGAACTACTTTATATTTGACAAAACTTGTGATTAAACAATCATTCTGAATACAACGAGTTTCGGGACCATGTCATACTCGTATGGATGGCAAGTATTTTGAAATTTTTTCTCGTATTTGTCAATTAATTACAAGTTATACGAGTGGTGATCTGAACCTCTGATAAATACCACTATTTTTGTTCAGTAATATCAAAACTGTTTGAGATGTTTTTGTAAAATGACATATATTCTTAAGAGTCTAACAAGTCATCATAGACAAATGGTATTCCCTTCATTCTTTCCTTGTAGACTTTATTAAAAAGCTCATTCTGTGCCACAGTAAAGTGTTCTTTCCATGCACCAACAACCCCTGAAATAAATATAAAATAAGTAAAAGAAAAATTAGAATGTAATTGATTTACATGTATATTATTATTCTATTGTATAATCAGATTGCTCAAATATGGAGTTCTTATAGGTGGTCATGAATATATACCTACTTTACAGTATTTTTTATTGTTGTTTTATTTGTTTTAATTATCTTAATTTTTATCAAAGTTCAAGAAATGTCCGTTCCGCACTTTATTTATAAGAAGACCAGACCTTTCGTCACTTTTTATGTTGTCATGGAAATATGGGTGAATTAACCATGCACACACCCCAGTAACATTAACAGTGCACCCTTTGTATTTGATAATCATCATATTTCAAAACCTTTTCTGAACATTCCATCTGCTCCTCTTCCATCTCTAGCATAGGCATCATATGTTTTATTGCGAGACTGCATGACATCAATTTTTGTTTCATCAATGATTTTTTTATAGTCTTCTTCACTCCAGCTTACACCTATATAGTCAGCTATCTTCTTTATGGTACCAATTGTATCCTTAAAATGTACATATCCATCAATTAACCTTTTAAAATTGATTTGATTGTTATATGTATGAGGGATATAATTAAGTATAAGCTTTTGTTACTGCAGGAGAGTTCATTTTCATTGTACAATGTTAATTGTTAGTACCTCAGTTGAAATACTCGATTTTGATTGGTCAACGTGCAGTGAATAATTTTAACTGTACACCGCGCAATGCATTGCCGGTGAATAATATTCCCAGCATTCCACTAAAATGACGTCATTATCAGACGATAAAATGGCCGCCGCTAGCACTAGCCTTTTCAAAAATGTTGAAGATGAGGATATTATTAGTCTCTTAGAGAGTAAAGACAGTCAAAATACGAAGAAAAATCTAAAACTTTGTACAAAGCTTTTAGTGGACTTCGCCCAGGAGAGTAATTTGACTCCATTGAGTGAACTTACTGCCGTGGCAGATATCAAAATAGCATATTGTGCTTGAAATACAACATGAACGTCTCGAGGGTCTGGATCCAACTTCAAGTCAACTTCAAGGGTCAGAAAAATCTAAGATATTCTTCGGACTAACAAAACAATTATAGACCTCTCCATTTGGTTTACTGTCAAAATTATATCCCTCGACTGTAAACCTCGACCTACGGTCTCGGTTTACAGTCTCGGGATATAATTTTGACAGTAAACCTCTGGAGAGGTCAATAATTGTATATTATCCCACTGAACAATGTTCAAGACAATTTCTCAAGATGGCAACTGAATTCAAAATAATGGCTACCATATTTTATTAATTTTACCTCTAGAATGCTGAATTTCATCATTCTGGAATACCATTTTATGAAATGTACCTTTTGAATCCCCTGATATTTAAAGAAATTACCATATAATACTGACATTTTTGGTTTCTTCATAAGTGAGGAACAGCATGTCAACATTTTCTGCTAGTTTCTTGTATTCTTGTACATGCTTGAACCAATCATTCCATGCCACTATAAATATAAGATTATACAGTGTTAGTAAGCATTGTAGAAGTATGTTGAAGGTGTAAGAATAAGACATTACAAAATAGAGAATGAATTATGTTCAAGAGCAGGGTTGGAAACTCCCAGCTGCTTGACTGTCAAATTATAATGGCAATCATATTTCACTCTCAGTGTTTTACCTTCTCCCCTAAGCCACATTGGCAAATAACCTTCCCATGTGCCATTATAGCCATAATAAAGCGCTGCTGTTTGATGTTTGTAGAAACTATATGCCGCATCTTTGGGATGGCGCACAATGTTGATCATCTTGCACTTGCTGGAATATTAATAAATAATATTAAAGGTACACCGAAATTCAATGCCAAAATGATACTTAAAAGTACCGTGTCGAAGCGGGTTTGTAACGGCACTAACATAATTCAATGTTGAGACGACACCAAATCATATTAGGCAGCTGTGTACAGAGAGTTATGTTGACTATTATACTGACATTTCATTTGAAAAACATTTTAAAGTAGATACTTCAAAACCTGGTATAAATATTAGAGGATAGTGTCCAATTTTTGGTGATTCTCAACCCATAGGTTCTACATGACATTTATGTAATAAAAGTGCATTAATGCATTAAAGAAGAAACGGTATGTGTGTTTATTCAGTAATAGTATGAACCATCCCACCAAAATATTTTTAGATAATTAAGACCTGGTCTAATATCATATGCCTATGTGCATAAATTGTCTTACTCCCATACTGTCTTTGGTATTGAACTCGGCAACTGGTGTGTTCTGATAATTCTGGGAGAAGGCACAGAGCTTATGACATCATGTGGTACTAACTCTGGCATACAGAAAGCCTCCATACCCTTAGGAGCCTCTTGTAGGTCATGTGTTAGCCTGTATACTATATTCCATGTCCAATGCTGCCCTTTGTAAATACAGAGAATGATTTAATTTAGTCTGGAGTCTATTTCTTGGAAACATATCTTTAATTATGACTTGCAGATTCAATTGTCCTCTTATTAGCTTTTTTGGTCCACTATTATAATAAAATAATATGTTTCTTACCAGACCTTGGATATGAAAATAACCATATGTCATCAGCCCTGACTTTAAAATCTTTCATCTCATCATGAACTGTTTGCCTAATATTCTGTGGATATGTGAATCCATCTACTATATGTACAGGGAATGGTTCTCCCAGATCATCCTTTATGATTGTAGGTGTTCCTTTAGTGACAACAATATCATCAAATATGCCACCAACTGCATAGTTTAATTCTGCCATTATCACTCTCTGTACTATCAAGTGCAGTTATATCTTTTATCTTTTTCTATTGACTCTTAAAGGGTTACATAAACCTTCCTGTATAAATACAATATGATGACTCCAGACGAGTCTACTGGATCAGTCTATTTTTAAGAAATTAGGGGAGTTTGGTATATTCCAGTTTATTCATATTGTCTTGTAGAAGATAAAACAATTTGTAGAAAAGTATACAATCTTTAAATTTTGAGAGGTGAATTATCCAAAGGATGCATGAACAAATATAAATCCTAGTGTTTGTCCAAAACATTTTGTTCCATTTATACACCATCATATGTTGTTCTTACACTTGATGGGTAAGTCAAGATATCAATTTTCCCATTAATCACAAACAAAAGGTGAAATTGATTGATTGATCAATATAAAAGTGTCATTTTTGGTTTATAAATGCATGGCTATCTATACTACACTATTGCTGCATAAACAGGCAGAGGTCTTTATCCAAGACTTCAACCTGTGCACCCTTGAGAGTATTATTCTGGGAACATGCCTTTTATACTAAATGGGGAGCAACACAAAAAAACTAGCATTTGATTTGCTAAATGATACATGTTACCCTTTAATCATGTCAGTCACTTTGACATATATGTGTAGGTCATAATACACATGAACTTCAAACAGATTGCCTTAAGGTGTTGTACATCGCACACAATTTACTTTATTTTCTCAGAATGGTTAACAAGACACTTAGACTATTAAAAGCACGCAATATGTACAGATATATTTTATCAAAAACTACCTCTCAAATAGTCAATGATTAAATGTCTCATGTAAACTTTGTTTTTCAGTTTTTAGCTCACATGGTGAGCTTTTGCAATCACTCACTTGTCCGTCTGTCTGTCCGTCCGTCCATCCATCTGTCTGTCTGTCCATCAACAATAGTGGCACGTTTTAAAACCTCTGTCGATAGGATTCCTGTTTTAAGTTATTTCTGTTCAAGATCAATACAGAAAACTCCCCTATGACTCCTGGTTCAAAAGCTCGCCTATTTTCAAAATGGCCTTCACTTTTGTGTCGCAAAATTCACTTTTCACCCATTTCCTAGCTTTACAAATAATTTCAGGTGTCCTACACTGTAAAAATCCATGTCAATGTAAAGGGTAGATATATGTTATAATATTGTTACAAAATATCAGCGAAAAATTATATCCATTTTTTTATTTTCAGCCATTTTAGTTAACATTGATTTGTCTATCTGACTCGCGAAATCCACTTTTCGTCAATAACAGTGGCACGTTTTAAAACCTCTGTCGATAGGATTCCTGTTCAAAGTTATTTCTGTTCAACATCAATACAGAAAACTCCCCTATGACTCCTGGTTCAAAAGCTCGCCTATTTTCAAAATGGCCGCCATTTTTGTCTCGCGAAATTCACTTTTGACCCATTTCCTAGCTTTACAAATAATTTCAAGTGTCCTACATTGTAAAAATCCATGTCAATGTAAAGAGAAGATGTATGAAATAATTTTGTTACGAGAAATCAGCGAAAAATTATATCCATTTTTTTATTTTCAGCCATTTTAGTTAACATTGATTTGTCTATCTGTCTTGCAAAATCCACTTTTGGACCATTTACCTTAAACCCTCTGTCGATAGTATTCCTGTTTTAAGTTAATTTTGTTCAACATCAATACAAAAAACTCTCCTATGACTCTTGGTTCAAAAGCTTGCCTATTTTCAAAATGGTCGCCCTTCTTGTTTCGCGAAATTCACTTTTTGCCCATTTCCTAGCTTTACAAATAATTTCAGCTGTCCTGCATTGTAAAGAGCCATGTCACTGTAAAGAGTAGTTGTATGAAATAATTTTGTTACAAAAAATCGGCAAAATATTATATCTGTTTTTTTATTTTCAGCCATTTTAGTTAATATTGATTTGTTCATCTGTCTCGCGAAATCCTCTTTTGGACCATTTACTTAAAACCTCTGTCGATAGGATTCCAGTTTCACGTTATTTTTGTTCAACATCAATACAAAAAACTCCCCTTTGACTCCTGGTTCAAAAGCTTGCCTGATTTCAAAATGGTCTTCATTTTTGTCTCGCGAAATTCAATTTTGGCCCATTTCCTAGCTTTACAAATAATTTCAGGTGTCTTGCATTGCAAAAAGCCATGTCACTGTAAAGAGTAGTTGTATGAAATAATTTTGTTCCAAATAATTGAAAAAAAATTATATCTTTTTTTCAGCAATTTTACTTAACATCGATTTGTCCATCTGTCTTTCCGTCAGTCCAAAATAGTGGCAAGTGGCTTGAAATAATTTTGTTACAAAAAATCAGCAAAAAATTATATCCGTTTTTTTTCTGTCACCATGTGAGCCCAGTACCCACGTTACTAATATTTTTTTAATTCAGGACAAATGTTCTAGGTATTTTTAAAATTGAAATTTTATAGAAAAGTTCTGTAAAGTTTTGTTAAAGGTACAAAAGGGTCTCTCAGATTGTCATTGTTCCTTACCTGTGTATGTCATTTATAAATAAAAACCTTTTATTATGTCTTGTGACATAGATGCAACTTGCAAATTTTCTTATATTCTCCAGTAATTATCTCTTCGAATGGAGTTTGTAGGGATATAGAAAAGCCATATGAAGTTATTCAAGATAATTTGTGTTCTACTTATTTTTGGTCACCCTGTAATGCCTGTATATATGTTATTTAGAATAAGTAGAAATCTGGAGGATTTGATAAACATTTTGTGTTCCAGGGCTCCATGTCTGTACAGTGTGATGTATTGGAATATAAATACCTGACTCTGCAGACGCTTCTTGAGCCAGTCAGACTGGAGTTGCAGGCAACACACATAGACTCAACTGAGGTACATCATGTTAATACTTCCATCAATTCTCACTGCATATTGCAAATATTCTCAATTGTGAATATTAAATATGCCATTAAAACCAAAACTCCCCAGTACAGAAATTATATTGTGTGACACATTTTTTTCCATTTGCTCAAGTTCTTTCTTTAAGTAGAGTATTGTACAATATATTTTACATAGAGATGAATGATATCTTAATTATTAATGTTTACGCTTTTCAGAATGCTAAAGTGGAGTGCAGTGTGGGTGTTGATCCATTGTGTGTTAAAGTTGGACCAAGTACAGTACATACACTCCATGTAGCATCTCAAGCCTGGGACCAAGTAAGTATAGGACTAAATAATTTCATGTGGAATCTTAAGCCTGGGACCCATGACAGTACAAAACTTTATTTAGCATATCAAGCCTAGCTAAAGTAACCATAGTCTACCAGTGCAATTAACAAAAGCAATTTTTGATGGGTTCCTGCAATTGATCTGAATGCATGATAAAAAACAGTCACTTAAGGATTACAACCATATTTTCCCCAAATAGGAATGTAATAAATGATTCACACATAGCGAGGCAAGGTATGTCCATTTCCAGCAAATCAGAACACACCATTTCATATAACTGCATCGCAATATACTTCTCTTATGTACCCAAGTGCTTATGCAGATCAAATGGTAAGTGTAAATACAGTAAAACCTGCGTATAGTGAACAGTTTTTTGCCAAGAAAAAATGTTCACTGTTGGTAGGTGTTCACTACAGCAATGATTTGATTTCGCGGCATTTTGCCGTGTTATATAAAGAGACCAGCTATTAAAAGAGAGGAGGGAATAATCAATTTAATTTGTATTTTCTACCCATATTAACCCATGGCACTCTAGCGTTAAGTATTTGATTTGCTGTCATGTTATATACAAACTAACTCATTTTAGACTGACTGTCATCTGAATGGTCCATCCTTTTATTGTCAAATTTTAATCTCTTTATAATTCTTTTTATCTCATCAAGATGGTCCTTTAAACAGTGGAATCTTTGAGACATTTGAGTCACTTAAAGGACTTTATTGAATTAGTTAAAGGAAATGATAGATGCAGTTAATAGTGAAATGATCATGATTTATAATTCTAATCCTATCTTCTTTTTTTTAAATTGACGGGATGAGAAAAAGATTTAGTTTGGATTTAGCAGATAGAGGTAATAATAGTTAACCAGATTATCTCCAAGCAATCATTCCTAGACGCATATCCTGTTTTACAAAAACAAAGCTTATTAAGAATTATAATTAGTCACACCTGTTTCAATAGAAGAAGAGATCAAGATCTCAAATTGACCTTTTAATTATTTTTGGCAGGTAATATAAACATAAACTGCTTAACTCTGATAAGGCAGTTGCAGAAATCCGCGAGAAATCTTATATCTGATTCAATGTTCACTAGAGACAGGATAATTCAACTGATTTTGCCAAGATTTAGTGTTCACTGTTCATAGTTGGTAGGTGTCCACTATAGGATTGTACTTTAACATGGGAGTCAATGGGAGAAAAAGATTTTGCCGAATAAAAACGTTCACTGTTGATAGGTGTTCACTAGAGAGATGTGTTCACTAACTCAGGTTTTACTGTAGTTATCAAGGTGACAAGTTGACCCTATCAAAAAGTTTCCTCGAAAATATATATTTTAGTCATTTTGTATCTTTTAGGTGATATTGTATAAAATCTTTTGCAATGTGTGAAAAGAAATTAAGCCCTAGACTCGATGCATTGTGGCTTATTCATTCCACTCAGGCCTTGTTACCTAAACTTAGCACCTGATCCTTTGCATTTTGTGCAAAGTTTAATACAACACCTTTGAGGAATGATAATCAGTCCACAATCCACTGAGTCCAGGGCTTTAATTGAAGAGCAACCGTCATATATTAAGTTATACGAAGGGTACACATTAGAAGTCATAGTCATTTTAACCTTGTGCTGTTTTGTTTCAGCTTTATAAAACTAATGGATCCCTCCCAGTGATGAACTACATTATTGTGTGCAATGATACGCAGGATGCACTGAGGTTTGGCCAAGTGGACACTGATGAGTGTGTAGTGATACAGAGTAGACAGATGCACTCATATAGCTGGAGGAGTCATAGGGCACAGAGGGTAAAGTTAGCTCTCACATTTTGACCAAACTTTGTAAAAAAAACTCCACTCGAGATAACCAGAAAATAACATCACTGAGTGGCTCTAATATTATATGACAATGTCATCAATAAAATCTACATGAATTGAATTGTGTTTGTTAGATAGCTCATCATACTTCTATTTAACATCAGATATTCATCAGTTTCATCATTCATCAATTTTACACATAAAAGTGGTGCCATATTATTGAATTATCTTCATCTGAACAATAGCCCCAAGTAATAAAGGATTAAACTATTCTATCCTGATTATGTGCTGTAAAGCTTCAGTAGATCTGACAAGTTACCAGTCAAACAAGTTCTTGTTTGTATGATATATGCATCAAATTCTTCTTTTTGTGTATATTAAGACTTGATTCATACATATTTTGTTTCTGTGAGTGCAATGTTAATGTACTACTATATAAACCAGTCCGAATTGCTCTTTGTAATTCCCTATTTTATGTATACTTCTGTACACTTTATTTAATGGAAGGGGACTATGATTAAGGAATTACCATATTCAAATCTGATAATATATCATATGATACTTGATATTACAGGGCTTGAAAGTATGTGTAGAGGGCATGGGTTGGAAGTGGAGTGACCCATTTAATGTGGACACCAATGGAACTGTAGTTCGTGTTATAGAGAACAAATCAACAAAGGCAACACTCATCATACACATCAAACAGCTTAGTAATGTGCAAAAACAAGTGAGTTCTTTACAATTTCCTTCTAACTATTTATCAGTATAGGTTTTATGATATATCATGGAATTTCAAGAGATTAGCCCATGGGTATATCTAGAAAATGGAAAACATGTATTCAGATATAGTAAAACCTATCTTAGTGAACACCTCTCTCTAGTGAACATATGTACAAACTCTACTGACTTCTGTATAAATTACCTTCTCTGTAATGAACACCTACCTACAGTGAACACATTTTTGTGGCTCCATAGCTGTTCATTGTACACAAGTTTTACTGTACTTCTTTTAATTTTTAATTCTCTGCCGTATAGTTCACAATGGTCTTTTTATTTAGATAACCATAACTGGTCAACTGATCACTACTAGTAGGTTAACAGAACACCTTGAGGTTAAACTTCTCACACAAAAAGATTCACGAGACACCTGCATTGTTGTTGGTGCCAAACAGACAGCGCCATCTTTCATCATAGAGCATGGAGAGATCAAAGGTTTGAAAGTGAGGCTGATGGGCCAAAAGATGGCATGGTCACGTGAGATAGCAGTGACTGGAGCTGATATGAAAGAAAAACGTATGATAAAGGTAAGCAGAATGTAGAATGTCCTTAAACATGTATATAGCATCTCAAACAGTTTTAAACATGGATCAGGGTGAAGGAGGTGGCATTTGTAGTTTTTGAAGTTTGACATCTGTAACAAATGCCAGGTAGTACATTTTGTATGTTAATGCCTTGTCATACATCTAATCTGTTTTGAGGAAAGATAAACAGAAAATGTATATAACATTTACCACACATGTATATAATGTACAGTATAAACATGTCGCTTCAATCATAGCCTCACTATATACATGTATGTAATACTTGTTTCCAGTTGCAGTTACATGACAAGAGCCAATACCTTCATGTTTGGTGCCAGGTTTTCTGTCAACACTTCAAAGAAAGTTCTCAGTACTGTGTAAGTTAACTTTATCAAGTGATTTTGTCCCCATTCACTCAAATTTTCTTAGACTCACCAGCCAGGTGCTCCCTTTGTAAATGTTTGAATTTAAAGGTTAAAATGTTTATTATTTCAAATATATGCATCTCTGCTTTGTTTTAGTTTCCAAATGTTTTTGAAAATATTTCTTGGTAAAGTAATGGAGAAACAGATCTGCTTTAGCCCTTTACCAGCAATGTACCAAGATATGTTTTTAAATATTTTTTGAACATAAGACAAAGCAAGGCAGCAATAAATTTTAATTTAATTTATTTAGCACTTAGACTATCCCCAGTATTTATTAGAAGCCAATGAAAAGGGGACTGATTTACTTTGAGGTTAAGCAATTTTTAAGAAAAAAAAAGAATTGTGAGAAGTACTTGACATTTCTCTATTGATGTCATGCTTTTGCACTTTACCAAAAGTAGATATTCCCCATGTTTCTTCACACCAGGATTTTTTTCATTAATAGAATATATATGGTATACACACTGTAGTTTCTTTGGTTTGCACCCATAATAGGATACAACTGCCACTTTGAGAATGGTAACCTTGATTATATGCATGGGGTGATTATGTAATGTGGAAAGGATTGGGAATATTTTTGTTTCCACTGTTTTGTTTCAGTGATATGTCATGTTGAACCATTTTGGACTTTTGCTGTAACTTTGTTCTATCACAAGTGTGTTAAAAAGGGGTGGTATTCATTTTTTCTGGAAAATATAGTACATGTAATAACAGGCTGTCAGGGAAAAACAAAATGCCGGGTGATGCCAGATTTGCCTCATAAATGACTAAAAAATAAATGGTCAGTTACATTTTTATGTCACCACAAGTTATAGTCTCCAACCTTTTTGTGGATGATGTTAGGTGGTCTGAGTTACTTTAACAAATGGCAGGTGGGGACATTTTGCATGTTAATGCTTTGTTTATTGCTTTTTATTTCAATCATCGAGAAGTGTTGAGCCAATGGTTTGTGACCAGCATTTATCAACCAAGGGTGGTGGTGGAATCTGTAACAAATTCTTACAGTATAGCCCTTTGCAATAGAGGATTGTGGCATTTTGTCATTTTAATTTATTTACTAGCCTTCAGGAAACCTAGTAAAGATAAGCATTTTCATTAATTAATGAAATATCCTTTGAATGAATCAACTATGTCAATTTATGGAGGAATTGAAGGAATCAAAAAAATAAAATAGGAATTTCACTTTTGTGAAGGAATCACTCTGACCTGCATTTATTTAACAAATACTTTTCTCTATTTTTTTAAATGGTACAAATTATTTGGAGCATTGTTGTAAGACTTTCACTTCTCAGTTTCAGTAAAATTCAAGGTCAACATTCTGATCAACAATCAATCTTTCTCTTCCATATACATGTACAGTTCAATACTTTGATTGACAGGTCTATTTTTGCACCTTCCATATTTGGGTGAAATTGATGGCCTGTATTAAAAATCCAAGGTCAAACTGATCTGGTCACTCTGTAAGGCAATTTATGAACAGAATTTTAACTTAAATTGATGGATTCTATCTTTACTTTTCTCAGTAAAAACATATTAATGTAAAAAATGACCTTTCAAACCATTCTTAGCTATCCAATATCAGTTTATTTGAGAGGTTTTATCATCATCATATATTATATGAAGGGAGGAATTTGCAGTGTTTTACAAGGGATATTTTGTTAAAGAATTTATATGCAAAGAACAAATCAGTCTTCACAAGTTCAGGGTTTCATTTGAAATATTGCAGATGATAAACACCAACAGTTGGATTGCACTGATATTTTATTCTAAATGGGATTTGATTTGCGTAGTATTGTGTCATTCTCTACCTGACAGTCATGTCAGTTATATTTAGTAAAATAAAATGATTATGCTCTATGCTAGTAGAATCTGGTTGAAAAAGATAATGAATTGTAATATATTCAAATTATTCACCAGTTTAGCTTACACAGCCAATCTCAAACTGTACTGTACAGCGCTGTTTTTGAAACAGTACTGTACAGCGCTGTAAAAACAGTGCTGTACAGCGCTGTTTTCCAAAACAGTACTGTACAGCGCTGTAAAAACAGTACTGTACAGCGCTGTTTAAAACAGTACTGTACAGCGCTGTAAAAGCAGTACTGTACAGCGCTGTAAGATAAACAGTGCTGTACAGCGCTGTAAAAACAGTACTGTACAGCGCTGTTTTTGACTTTGAAAATGATAAATATATTATATCATAATATATTCTGTTATAATAGAGGGTCAAGGGTATTTTATGTTTTGTTATTGATGTTTGATTACAAAGGCCACTTTTATCAAAAGGCATTAATTTTTTTTTTCAAAACGGGAGGCCCAGAATGAGAAAACCAGGTATTATTGTTCTTATTATTTACACTGCCAAAATAACTCCATGCTAAATCAGCGCTAATCTTTTTTCGCGCTAATTTAGCGCTGATTTGGTACTGAATTGGTACAAATAAAGTTTGTGTGGAATTAGCGCTAATAAATCAGTACCAAATCAGTACAAACCTCAGTTGGTGCGAAATCAGCACTAACTTAGCAGTGCTAATTTAGTGCTGAGTTAGTGCTGATTTAGCACTAACAAAACTTATATTTTTTCTGACTTTTATTACAGTATTATTGATTGATTTAAGCAATATTGATATTACTTATTTAGAGTTTGAAATATTTTATTATAAATAACATTCATTATTGTGATTTCTTCAATTGAGTTTGACATCTTAGGGAAATCCCTGGGAAATCCCTGGGAAATCCCTTTGAACTTTTGACCTATGACGTCACACATTCTATGACTCATACAGGAAGTTTGAGAAGCCACATATTTTAAATTTTGATTTCTGTGCCAGTCTCTGCCATCTGTCTGCAATTTTCACTTGTAAGTATATATTTGATTGTTTTGTATGAATAAATGAGCATATGCTAGGTGCACCTATTATATAGAAGACTTTCAAATACCAGATAGGCTCTGTGGGATAGGCTAGGGTGAAATTCAAAGATAAAAATTCAGGAGGAATTGAAAAAAAAATTCAAATTGAAAAGTCACTGAAAGTCTTGTCTTAAAAGTCCAGGGCATAGGCTAGTTCTTTGGAGTTTTTAAGAAAATATATTTATAATCTGCCAATCCTGGCCAAAATGTAATTTCTGAGTGATTTCAGTTTTAAATTCAATTTTTTATTCTTTATAAAAGATCATTTTCTTTTATCGGGAATGCATTTCTAGGCTACCTTTTTATTTTATAGACTTGATGTTGGCACTATTGGTCAGATGTTGGCATATCATGAGGAGTGAAGGCAGTAAAGAATACAATACATAATCAATGGATGGAGGGCCATGTATCAGCAATGTGGAATGCAACCGGGAATGCAACATACTTATGCCATTTAGGCTAGGTGCGTAAAGTAAACGTTTTAACAGTTTTAGGAAATCTAATAATAATTTATTTTGCTTATTCAGCGTATCGTTGGAATCGTGCCCCCATGTCATATTACCATGTTCATTTCATATCACCATGTTCCCATGTTATACCACCATGTTCATTTCATATCACCATGTTTCCATGTTACATCACCATGTCCATGTCATATCACCATGCTCCCATGTTATATCACCATGTTCATATCATATCACCATGCTCCCATGTTATATCACCATGTTCATTTCATATCACCATGTTTCAATGTTACATCACCATGTCCATGTCATATCACCATGCTCCCATGTTATATCACCATGTTCATATCATATCACCATGCTCCCATGTTATATCACCATGTTCATTTCATATCACCATGCTCCCATGTTATATCACCATGTTCATTTCATATCACCATGTTCCCATGTTACATCACCATGTCCATGTCATATCACCATGCTCCCATGTTATATCACCGTGTTCATTTCATATCACCATGCTCCCATGTTACATCACCATGTTCACTTCATATCACCATGCTCCCATGTTATATCACAATGTTCATTTCATATCACCATGCTCCCATGTTATATCACCATGTTCATTTCATATCACCATGTTCCCATGTTATATCACCATGTTCATTTCATATCAACATGTTCCCATGTTATATCACCATGTTCATTTCATATTACCTGCTCCCATGTTATATCACCATGTTTGTTTTATATCATCATGCCCCAATGTTATATCACCATTCATTTCATCATGCTACCATGTTCATAACCTTATTCATGCCCTCATGTCATATCACCAATTAAACATGTTAATAGCCTATGCTTCCTCACAGGGCTATAATAAAATTGTAAATACGTCAACCCTAACTTTGACAAAATAATCTAGCATTATATTTTGGCCCTGTAAAAATATTGGAAACAATTTGTGTATGCAAACTGAATTCTTTGTTCAAAGATATTATTTCGAACTTTAATTTATATTGGTAAGCAAATCTGCGAATATTCATAGAAAACTATATTTTCAGGTAACTGTTGTCAGTTATAACAACAAAAAGCTTGTGGTACCAGCATATAATCAATTTGAACCAAATCCGCCAACTGGTACTTGAGTTTTCAAAGATTACAATTTTTTATGAAAAATGGCTGCCATTTTGAAATTTAGTGGCCATCATCAAAATGTCTTCTTCAACAAAGCTCTATTGTCCTGAGGCATCAGCATATAAAATTTGAGTTATCAAAGATTTAATTTTTTACAAAAAAATGGCGTGCATTTTGAATTGAGTCGCCATATTGAAAATTGATAAGAGGTCAGAGGTTCTACACCGATAAGGCATTAGACTATAAATTTTGAACCGAATCCAGCAACCGGTATTTCATTTATCGTTCGGACAGACGGACAAACGGACGAATGGACGGATGGACGGATGGCTTTCTATATCTTCATCTAACTTCCTTCGGTGGGATAATAATGATAATTATGTACATTTGTCTCTCAATTTGTCTTTTCAGATTACAACAGCCAGACAGTTCAAACTCTTCGGAGTTATAGATGGCAGAAAGAGCAAGGGGGCAAACCCTGTAGACCTGTTTGGAAAGTCCAAAGAAAGACTTGATAGGTTAGCATAATCAATATTTAAGGGCTAGTACAGACAAGTTGATAAAAACCAAATGGTTCTTTCCAAACATCATGGCAACGTTAAATTTAAACCCGTATCTGAAAAAATAATTGAGATATAATTCTAATCAAATATTTGATTTAAATGTCAAAATGCAACTGTATCAAAATGCTGAATATATAATAGTAAAAAATAATAAAAATAATAAAGTCACAAATCAAATCGAATGTGTACCCATTATAGTATTAATTATCAATCCATTATACTATTACTGTATACAATTTAAATATTGTGTCACTTTAATACTACTTAGGCCTGTTTGGGCGTTATCAGTTGCTCTATTCTACAAATGGACTTATTATTTCCTCTTGTTTTAAGATACACACAAATGGAGAGAGAAACGCTGAACCGAAAATGGGAGCAGGAAGCAACCAGAGCGGCGAATACAAGCACAACCGTTACAAGGACTGAATTATAAAATTAAAATAGAACTTTTTGACATTAGGACATTTGTAATTTTTAACAATAGGCTCAGACTTCCGTAACACTATAGTATCTGATATATTTTGTATATTTTGTATATTTCTAAATAAAATATAGGTTTTGTATTAGTATTTAATATTGAGTGTTTTGTATATTTATGGGGACAACAAAATAATCATTAAATACAAAATCCAAGTAGTAAATGCAATTATATAGCCTACAATACACCAATATTAGGATCAAAGCATTTTGAATTTGATACCCATTAATATATATATATAATAGAAATGAATACAACTAAATAAAAACCAGGGAATCAACCTGAAACCAAAAACATAAATTCCTAAAGTGGCCTAGCCTATAAAAATTAAAAACAGCGCTGTACAGCGCTGTTTGAGTACAGCGCTGTACAGCGCTGTATGAGCTACAGCGCTGTACAGCGTGGTACTCAAATTGTACTGTTTTGTACTGTTAATACAGCGCTGTACAGCGCTGCAAACAGCGCTGTACAGCGCTGCAAGATGATGATGCGGATTGGGGGTGTACTATATTTGCACATAGCCATCTTTAGATTGATGGCTATGCAAAACTTGATATTCCCAGGCCTTTATAAAGGTCTTTTGTAAAAATGTAAGAAATCTTGGACACTTACGCTACATGGAAAAAAACAAGACCAATTACATTTTTCGTCAATTACACAGTCTCCCGACTCCGGATCACGTGATATGGTCAGGAAAACGATACTTTAGAATTTTATGCATCCATTGAAGTAGGGTAAGTGTTTCCAAGATTTCTTACATTTTTACAAAAGACCTTTAGGACTGGGAATATCAAGTTTTGCATAGCCATCAATCTAAAGATGGCTATGTGCAAATATAGTAAAGTTTAGCGAACATGTTTAAGCAATACAATACCCCAAATATTGTGTGAAGGATTAAGTTCATAGTTTATTTATTATTTGATAATACTGACATAATAAGCAAAGCTTAGAAATCTAGCCTATTTTCTTGGGTTTGATTTCTTAAAGCTGTAAGCTGTTCGTCCCTTTTCATCAATAAACTTCACATACAATCTTGTCTCAGTCAACTCCACTCCACAGAAACCATATGCAGCATCAAACTTGTATGATTTCACCTAAAATATATGATAGGATAATAAGATATTGAAGTTTAATTTTGATATACATGTATTCCTATTCTTATTGATTAAAATTCTATAAAACTTTGGGTATCGATTGTTTGTATATTTTTGGAATAAACTCACATATGAAAAAATTTATAAGATGAGAATGATATCAATAGACAGGAGTCAGAAGTATAAAAGATTTTTATTTTGGGTATGTTCTGTGCTCTGTCATTCATCTGTCAATCAAATAACCATGAAAGGAACCATCTCAGGTAGGAACAATTTCAGGTCAAAATCTGCCCCATCTCCCTCTAAGTTAGATCGTTGTTTGGGATATTTGGGATTTGATTTCCTTATGACAGGTTGAACCCTTTAATGTTTCATTTTCTTCCTTTGGCTTTTACACCATTTGGTATTTCCCTGTTAACACCTATACATACATTATTTAATTTATTTATTAATTATTATATCATATTGCATGCTAATATGATGCAAAAATATTAAAGTGATTTGATGTTACCCCATGTTTAGTCATCTGTTCTTTGCCACGTGTGCCCCTTGTAGTTCTTCGAGATTTACCTGAAGTTGTGCACAATCAGTATGTTTGAAAATGCAAATTAAGTGGACAGGAATTTGCAATGAATAATAACACATGCATGTAGATCAAGCTGTAAAGTATATGAAAAAGCTAAATATCTATCATTTTATTTAAGATTCACGAAGAAATAATGAAAAATAAACATTAAAAGAGAGTATAGGTTTACCTCCACCTCCTTGGACGACCAGATCCGTGATTGGGCTTTTGCCAGATAATGTTCTTGATACTCTGAGATGTTCATAATTGTGGTCATGTCCAGCTAGATACAAAGCAACTTTATATTTCTCCATCAGAGGGAGGACATCCCTGTACATTGTGGATGATGATCCATGTGATCCTGTACTGAATACGGGATGATGTCCTGCCATTATAATCCAATCAGCCTAGAATTTGAAATAACAATTTATGCCTGATGTGTATGGATGGTAAAAGTCCCATGATCATTTTCTCAGAAAGCAAATAAATAGGATTGATTGATGAGACTGACCTATTTTGTACACACCAAATTTGGTTATTGTGATATAGTAAGATTAAAAGTGAATTGAAATATAGATGGCATGCTAACAATAACATTAAAAGTAGATTGAAGATAGATGGCATGCCAGTTTTTACCCAGAAAAGTCAGTTGACAAGAAGTGGCCATATATGAGACATGTAATAATTAGTAGCAGAGAGAGGAAATAAAGAAATCGAAAGACCTAAAGGACAATAGCGACAATAACCGATAGATATAGTAGTAAGTAACATATTCACATGGTGGCGGCGAAGAAAGAACAAGCGCTTCAGGAGAGGTAATATAGTTACATTACTTTGTGCTCAAGGATTCTGACATTTTGATGAAGGCAAGAAGCCCATGCAAAAATATCTGCATCTCAATACAGAAAAGTGAACATTGGCCAGTCAACTCAAGTTATAAGATATAAGATAAAACCCAAGTGGTAAGGAAAAGCAAATCTAGAGATAAAAGCCAAATTGAATAAGTGAGCTTCATTGGCAAAATATTGAGGTTTCAAGATAACCAAAATAAGAAAAGCAAAAGTCAAATATCAATCATATACAGTGGCAATCATAAAGCTAAAAAGTAAAGCAGTGCCCTATAGTAAGCATGATTTGATATGAAGGAAATACATTGAAGTTGCATCCAGGAGTAAAAATTGGAAAACTTGAAGTTTCAAAAAGGAAATTTTACAAAGTTACAATTTGCAATTTACATGGTATATTTTACATTGGTTTTGTAGACAGTGCAATATATTGATTTTGAACACTGTTTATTAGATTTAAGTGTCCCAGTTAGTTAGTTAGGTGTGAACTGTGAAGTTATAATTAGCCAATATTAGATGCTCTTTTCAACTTTAGGCGCACTCACTAAGCAGAGCATAATAGGTAGCCTGAGTTTATGTTATTGAAGGCCATTATCAGATTTAGAATACTTTTTGCCATTTTAGAAGGTCAAGTTGACCTCTTAGTCTGTTTACAAACAAGTATGGCTTGCCAATAGGGGCAGTGTAATTGATACAAAGCCTGTCAATAGATGACTTACTACAGTTTAGTGAAAGATTGACATTCCTTTAAAGAATTATAATTAATTATAGTTAAGTGATTAGTGATTTAGCATCATAGTCTACAACTTGTGCTGTTTATTTATGCCAATTGCGTTTCAATTTTAAGCTTTAGGACAGTTAGTTTTGAAACTTCTCATAATCTTTTAACATATAGTTACAAGTTAGAATAAAGTTAGATAGAAATGCAAGTTACATTCTCATAATCAAGATATAGAATACTGGATTCAGTTAATTCTCTATTAAGATATTAGATTTATAGGAAGCCATTTCTTTTAACATATAGTTACAAGTTAGCATAACGTTAGATAGAAATGCAAGTTACATTGTAACGACACTGTGATGATATATCAGGTACTATTCAGATTTTGTATAAATTAAAACAGATCTATATGGTACTTGTGTTATTGTTTGGTGTGGTGTATTAGTTAATATTCAATGTTATGGATACAAGATCAACAAAAGCTGAAGACAGAAAGAAAACAGGTATGGCTGAATCTAAAGATAACACTAAACCTACTCAAGCTGATGATGATCAGTACTATGATGACTTTGACCATGGTGTTGAAACTAAGCCGACACAAAGGGATCCTGAATTTGGTCCACAACAAGGAGGTGATAGTACAATGATGATGCGTTTCATGATGGAGATGTTTGACAAAATGGAACATTCCCGTATGCAGCTAGAAGAAAGAAGAGTTAGGGAACAGCAAGAATACCGTGAGGAAAATAGGCGACTCATTGAAGAAATTCGTCATGAAAAGAAACAAGAAGAAAAGCGGCCCAAGGATCCCTACATAACGAAACTGAAAGATGGTGATGACATCGAGGATTTTTTGACTGTGTTTGAGAGAACTGCAAAGATGTGCAACTGGAAGAAGGAGCATTGGACACTGAAATTAGCACCATCTTTATCAGGAAAAGCACAGGCTGCTTATGTCAGTTTGAATGCTGTTGATGCCATAGATTATGACACAGTCAAAGAAACTATCCTGAAGAGATATGCGATTAATCAAGAATCTTACAGAACTCGTTTTAGGAATCTTCACAGATCTAATGATGAAGGAATTAAGCCCTTCGCAATTAGACTGACTGATGCTTTTGACAAATGGTCGAAGGATGCTGTAACAAGAGATCAACTCAAGGATCTTATCGTCAAGGAGCAGTTAATTAGCACCTTCCCCAGTGATGTGCAAATTTGGGTCAGACAGCATGACTCAAAAACAACTGATGAAGTTGTGCACTTAGCTGACAATTACATTGAAGCAAGAAAATCTCAGAAGGAAGATGTAGAAAAAGCAGAAGCCAAGTCAAAGTTTAAAAAGTTTGGAAACAAAACCAACCCAAAGAAGAACAAAGATGATGAAGAAAAACGATCTGATACAAGTGAATCAAAAGAAGACTACTACAAGAAAGTCAAGGAGACGTCACGGTGCTTCAAATGTGGAGTCCGGGGCCACCATTCGGCTTCGTGCCAGAGTGGGAAGGAGATAATGAAATGTACAAAATGCAATAATTTGGGGCACGTGATCTCAAATTGTAGCACAGATATGTCCTTGAAATGTGAAAATTGTAATATGTTTGGTCATGTCACGAGCAGGTGCCGTAGACAAGGCAAACAATCTTTCCTTTGCAAGGCAAAATCTGACATATTCTCTCAATACAGCAACAGTGATGATGGGACAGTTCAAGGGATGCTGAATGATAAAGAAGTGACCTTATTGATTGATACAGGAAGCTGCAAGACCATCATTCACAAAGATTTGGTACAACCTGAGGACATTTTAACAAATGACAAGGTTATGATGACATGTGTTCATGGGGACCAGGAATCTTACCCGACTACAAAAGTAAAGTTCGCCATTGGTGATGATGTATATCAAGTGAAAGCAGTCGTTTCTGATTCAGTCCCTACACCAGTCTTACTTGGTCAAGACATATTGAAAAGATTAGACAGGGATAAAATGAATAAGTATATATACAAAAAGATCAACCCTGTGCCTGCATATGTTACAACGAGGCAACAATGGAAGCAACAGTTGAGAGATGATGCAGATGAGGAACATGAAGTTGAGAATTCAGGAGTCAAGTTAGTTGGACAGCATGACGAAAATGATGTTCAAGAAGATGATGTTCCCATTAAAGAAGATGAGGATTATCCAAAAGAAGATGATGTTCTCACTGAAGATGATGAGGACAATCCAAAAGAAGATGAAGTTCTCACTGAAGATGATGAGAACAAGTCAAACGAAGATGATGTTCTCACTGAAGATGATGGGAATATCCCTTGAGATGCAATTCTCTCTGAAGTAGATGAGAATGATCCAGTAGATGATGTTCTCATTGAAGATGATGAGAATAATTCTAAAGAAGATGACATCAACACAATAGGCAAGTGTAAACTCAAAGATGATATTCGTGGGCATAAACCCGTACCTGTAGTACACAATGTGACACGGAATGAATGTCAAACCAAAGATGATGTTACATTCCCTTTTTCATTTGATGAGACAGTGTTTCTACCCAAGTCAAGTGACAAGCTGTACAAAACCAAATCACAAAGAAGGGCAACCAAACAGAAACATGCAAATGTCAATCTAAACAAGGAATGTGAACTTGATGCAGTCAGTCCAGAGGACCTAAAAGAATTGCAGAGCAACGACCCAAGTCTAAGAGACGTGCGAATGAAGATACTTAACTCGACTGAAGAAGTGCGAGAAACTCCATACTTTATTATGAAAGATGGAATTCTGATCAGAGTTACTAAGAATCCCCTTAATGAGTATGTTGAGCAAATTGTGCTTCCTAGAAGTTGTAGGAAAAAGATACTACAATTGGCACATGACATACCTCTATCAGGGCACCTAGGAATAAAGAAGACAACAGACAGGATATTGAGGAGATTTTTCTGGCCTGGTATCTACAAGGACATAAAGCAGTTTTGTAAATCTTGTGATATCTGCCAACATACAGCGAGAATGAGAGTTGTTGACAGAGCGCCTTTGATCCCTCTGCCTGTTGTAAAAGAACCATTTACAAAGATAGGTATGGACATAGTAGGACCTCTTCCTCGCTCTACAAAAGGAAACAGATTTATTCTTTGTATAGGAGACTACGGAACTCGCTATCCAGAGGCAGTCCCACTTAGAAGTACAGATGCAAAGAAAATCGCCAATGAATTGATGATACTGTTTTCAAGAGTCGGCATTGTAAAGGAAATTTTAAGTGATCAAGGAACCAACTTCATGTCTAAGTTGCTGAATGAGGTGTACAGATTACTAGGTGTCAAAGGAATCAAGAGTACCCCATATCATCAACAAACAGATGGCCAAGTTGAAAGGTTCAATGGTACTTTGATTAACATGCTGAAGAAGTTTGTTGTTGCAGAACCAAAACTATGGGATGTTTACCTTCCCTATGTTTTGTTCGCATATCGTGAAGTACCAAATGAATCTACAGGATTTTCTCCCTTTGAATTGCTATATGGACGTGATGTTCGAGGACCATTAGATGTTCTGAAAGAAACATGGACAGCTAAAGAAGACACCCCACAGACTGTTGTTGATTATGTTCTCAAGATGAGAGATAAGCTAAGCAACTTACAGATTCTTGCTGAAGAAAATGCAAAACAAGCAAAAGTTACCCAGAAGAAGTACTACGATGAAAAGAGTAGAAATATTAGCTTCAAACCAGGAGATGATGTTTTACTCCTACTACCATCAAGTGAAAACAAACTTGAAGCACAGTGGCAAGGCCCTTATAAAGTAGTAAGAAGACATGGTAAAGTCAATTATGAGATTGAGCTCTTCAATGGAAAGATGAAGATATACCATGTCAACTTACTGAGAAAATACCTAGACAGAAGAGACTATTGTTTTATGGCGGCAACTGATGAGGAAGACAGTGATGTAGAGGAAATTATGAATCTTCCTACCTACAGTCTACACAGTACAGTTAGCTCTGATGGCAATGTGACTAGTGATTGTAATATCAACCCAGAGTTGACTACTAACCAGACAAAACAGATCAAGAAGCTATTAGGCAGTTTTAGTGATGTTCTCTCAAACAAGCCAGGAAGAACAAGCCTGATAAAACATAATGTGGACACAGGAGATAATATACCACGTAAGCAGCCAAGCTATAGAATACCTCAAAGTCAGATGAAAGTCGTCAAAGAGGAATTAGATACAATGTTGAAGGAAGGATACATAGAGCCCTCTAGAAGTGAGTGGATCTCTAACATAGTATTAATTCCAAAGAAAGATAATACTATGCGTTTTTGCATCGATTTTAGATATCTAAATAGCGTCTCCCGATTTGATCTTTACATGATGCCAAGGATTGATGCCATTTTAGATAGATTGCATAAGGCACAATGGATTACTGTGATCGATTTATGTAGGGGCTTTTGGCAAATATCTCTTACAGATGATTCTAAAGAGAAGTGTGCATTCAGAACACCATGGGGAATCTACCAATTTGTTGTAATGCCGTTTGGTTTACATGGAGCTCCTGCCACTTTCCAAAGAATGGTTGATGAGATGATCAGAGGATTAGAAGACCATGTAGCAGCTTACATCGACGACATAATCATCTATAGTGAGACTTATGAAGGTCACATGAAGCACGTAGAAGAACTGCTGAACAGACTACGTCTGAATAATCTTACTGCAAAGCCTTCAAAGTGCCAGTTTGCATTTCAAGAAGTAGTATATTGTGGCCATATGGTTGGAAAAGGTGTTGTTTCACTAAAGCCAAGTGCCATAGATGCAATCAAGAATTTTGACAAGCCAGAAACAAAAGAGTTACTGAAGACCTATTTAGGTATGACAGGCTACTATCGCCGTTTTATAAAGGATTATGCAACCAAGGCATACAACTTAACAGAACTGACCAGAAATCAAGCACCAAAGAAAATATTTTGGGAAGATAAGTCAGATGAAGCTTTCTACAAACTCAAAGAATACCTTTGCAAATACCCAATACTTCGAAGCCCAGATTTTGACCTACAGTTTCTAGTCATCACTGATGCAAGTGCCTATGGTATTAGTGGCATACTGAGTCAGAACTTCGAGGATGGAGAGCATCCCATCATGTATTTGAGTAGGAAAATGTTACCAAGAGAAAGAAATTACTCTGTAATTGAGAAAGAATGCTTGGCGATGAAATGGTCTATAGAGAAGTTGAGTTACTACTTGCTAGGAAGAGTCTTCAAAGTCATTACTGACCACAATCCTTTGGTATGGTTGCATAACATGAAGAATACAAACCCAAGATTGATGCGTTGGGCACTCGCTCTACAGCAGTACAATTTTACAGTGGTGCATAGACCTGGATCAGCTAATAAAAACGCTGATGCATTGTCAAGACTATGAGATGATAAACTGTTAGAAACTTGTATATAGATAAACATTTTAACAAAATTTGTTAGGGAAAAGCCATCCCTAATAGGACTTTATATAAGAAATAGAGATACGAAGATGTGACTGTTTTACTGAGATGGAAAAATTTAAAGAGCAAAAACAGTCAAGAAAAGGGGGAAGATGTGATATAGTAAGATTAAAAGTGAATTGAAATATAGATGGCATGCTAACAATAACATTAAAAGTAGATTGAAGATAGATGGCATGCCAGTTTTTACCCAGAAAAGTCAGTTGACAAGAAGTGGCCATATATGAGACATGTAATAATTAGTAGCAGAGAGAGGAAATAAAGAAATCGAAAGACCTAAAGGACAATAGCGACAATAACCGATAGATATAGTAGTAAGTAACATATTCACAGTTATATTCTACATTTTCATGAATAGTTCACAAATAATACATATGATTTGCATGATTATATCTTTATCGACACATCCAATGAGTCGTAAATGATGATGTCATAATGTCAGTATCTAGGTACAATATACTAGTTTTCTTACCTTGGAGTTTTGTAGTTGGCTTTTAATCCAATCGAGCTGCCTGCGGTCCCTACGTCTAGATAAAGGAGTGGTGTCCATCATAATGAACAACACAGACTTTCTGCCTACTTTCTTAGTAATTGAGTAATAATTTGTTGGAAGATACCATCTAGAGTTCACCTTGCTATAGGCAACCTTTAACAGTTGTGTAATTATGTAATTATTCATCTTTGAATAATTTTTGCAAGGTATCAGTAATCTATAGGCCAAGAGTTAGTCATGTGACATATTAGACATGATATATTATGCTATGGTTCATTGGCAGAGCCAAGGTTACCACTATCGCTTGGGTCGATTCGCTTGATTCCCGGTTCAGATAAATTTGTTTGTGCATTAAGTATTTCTGGGTGTTTGACGGAGTGGTCAAGACATGCCAGCCAGGTGTTAGTAACTTATAATTTGTGAATAATTATCTTTACTTACTTCATTCTTGGCATTGTCACGGTGATGGTCATGGTTGCCTAGGGTGATATACCAGGTTTTCTGGAGGGACCTGGCTGTGTAGACATCCTTCCACTTCTTATCAAACTGAGGATCTTTGACACTACAATGTTGGTTTTTTTCCTTATTATAATGTTTTTGTTAGTATACCCCACTGATGCTAGACAATCCTATATTACTTAAGCCTATACCTCCACTCAGGCCCACAGCCAGCTTTAGCCAACGGCGTTCATTTTTCAGAAAAATTCCAGAGATGTTCACTTTGACAAATTTACATAAAAAATGCTTAGAATCGTGAAAAACTGCATGAGTTTGATAGAATTTTTGGCCAGGGGGGTTGGGGGTTAAAAGAGAGCCCTGAATATACCTATTAGCACCATCATTGTAGAAGTTATCTCCAAGGGTAACTATAAATTCTCCTTTGTACTTTGCCATCCAGTCTCCCATTGATTTAGCCACCTTCTTCTGGGTACTTCCTCCAGTTCCCCAGTCACCCATAGCAGCAAACCTCAGGGTGTCTAGAATACAAGTACAGCAGATTTGTTTACTTAGCATTGTAAGATTCAAGTACAGGGTGTGCCAAAAAAATCGACATTTTTATTTTGCTTAATTATGACATTAAATTTTATAAGAGTATATACATATAATGTACACCCAGTATATAGAATATAGCAGCACTATAATATGACTTTGTAATTGTTTAAAGGAGTAAGCCACAATAGTTCATAATTAAATAATTAAAAGCAAAGTGTATTTTGCACAATGATTCCTACTTAGTCTTCTTTTAGCCGTCCATTTTTTCCAAATATTTCCCATCTACGGTAATCAAATTTTTCTGTTAGTCTGAGAATATTATTATGACTTTAACCCTATAGCTGAATGAGGTTCTTGTTAATGAAGTTAACAAGGGAACCCTCTAATTGCAAAGCTTATTTTGACATTATTTCAATAAAAGAGAAACAAAAACATTCAATTAACAATAAAATCCCCTGAAGCTCCTCTGCCAAAGACATACCTGCCGCATGTGTCACGGCTAGCAATCCTGCCAAAGCACACACCAACACAACACCATTCTGGAAGAGGCGATTCTTCATTATCATCCATTCAACAATTGTTCTTGTTTAATGCTCTTCATTGAATATGATAATCTTAGTATATAAGTAAATTGTGAATAAAATTATTACCAGCATATTAATATATTATGGTTTATATTTATAATTACTATATATGCAGGTAAGAGAAATATAATGATGGAAATATGAATACAGTAAGAAAAGAATAATTTGATTCATTACGCTATGTTTCTCATGGTATAATATACCTTGGCATATGTTGTCTAAGATCTCAGTGTCTAAATTTAAATGTTGGCAAATACACATTCATCTTTTTTATCAAATGATCAGTTCTTGACCAATGACAATGAGAGAAACATTTCAATGGTATAAAACGTGATAACTTGACTGTAATTTAAGAAAAAAAACAATTTATATTCAGTTGGCCCCATTCTGATTTTCCATGGAAATTTTTATCTACTGATCTATTTTGGTCCAAAATATATATAAAAGGGTGTGGAAACAATCATTGACTTGGCCAACATCTATTCTAAAAGTAAACCTTACCATATTGCTTGATGCCAGATCTCTGAACATTGAAAAGTTGATAAATATGGGACATTATTATATGACTTGTTATCTACTCATCATTTCCTTATCTTATCAGCCTATCCTATCTCCATAGTCCATATGAATGGAGCCCATACGAAAATGTCAAATGAAGTGTTCCAAAATAGACAATCAAGAGATTAACCAGCAATTTGTATAAAAGTCAACATGTCCAATTGTTTTATTGAAATGCTAGAAAATCGAACAGTTAATTGTTATCTTAGAGAAAACAAATTCTGATGGATGGGTAAGCAATGTAAACATGATACATTACACATGATACCGTGTACATGAGTGATTGTGACTGTAGCCCTGATACTGTTGATACCTACCTTAAGTGTGGCGCATGCTCAGGAGATTTTATTTATATTGCATAAGGTTGGCTGATCAAGGTCAAATATTCAGATTGCTCTAATTGCTGTGATGTCATCAGTATGTTACTGAACACATGATCTGCGATATAATGATAAACATCTAGACTATGTGAAACAGTGTAACAATACACACTTTTTCTGTGATACTGTCATCTGTCATTGGTGAAAAACATGTGACAAGTTGTTGGTCAGTTCTTTTGTATAATCTCCAATTTTAACTCCTAACCTTATTCTAAAGGGTGGGATACATCAATTAATGCTCTTTGAGGTGACAAAATACCTGAGAATCTCTCTGTCAGTTAGATATATGGATTTCATTGTGCCATGTTCCTTATTCCATTGGATGATAAAGAGAATCCTATCCTATCCATAGGGCTAGTATAATTCAAATACTGTTTGGTCAGTATTGTTTTATATTTTTATTCACAGATATGGAAAAGAAGAAACAGGAAATTTTGTTGATATTTTATTCATTTATTCGTTCATTCATCCATCTACATGTCTGTCTATTTTCATGTTTGTGCATATTATTTGCACTGCTTAGTGGATTGCATGGGAGTTCCATAATTGTATCATCCAATTCATGCTACTGTGCCCTAGGTGGTGAAAGCTTTCTGGCAATTGTTGTATTGTTGTACACACAACATAGGAAGAATTCCTTAGGTGATGGAGATTTGAAAACATTTTCATTTCGATATGGCTAGAATTTGAAAAACTCAAGCTCCCCAGGAAAGTGGTTTGAATTGATGAAAAAGAAAAGTTTAAAATTGAATTTTCATTCAATATATTGGTATTTTAAAAAGCACCCTATGCAGACAGAGCCTGTGGGAAATATTGGGTGGGGAGCAAATGAGCGGAGGGTGCGCAGCTAACGGTCATTTTTGAATTTAAATTTGGGATATTTCTGGAACTAAGCCGTTTTGGGACTTCAAATATACCAAGATATGTGTATTTGACACCAAATATCAATACAATTGTGAAAATAGTAGCGCAATTCATTCTATAGCGACGCAGTGTGCCTTAAACCTTTCCCAGACCTATATATTTTGAAATTATCCTTTTAATACTGAGTCCCCAGCATTCATAAAAAATGGTGTTCAAGGTACACTATCTATACAAATTATTTTTGCATCTTGGAAGCCAGGCAGTATCAGTGTGATTTTATAAAAATTCGGAAATGTTTTTCAGATATGAGCCCCCTCTAAATATTGGGTGCGGAGCAGCTCCATAAACGTAGCTCCGCACCCAATATTTAGAGGGGGCTCATATCTGAAGAACATTTCCGAATTTTTATAAAATCACACAGATACTGCCTGGCTTCCAAGATGCAAAAATAATTTGCATGGGTAGTGTATCTTGAACACCATTTTTTATGAATGCTGGGGACGCAGTATTAAAAGGATAGTCTCAAAATATATAGGTCTGGGAAATGTTTAAGGCATACTGCGTCGCTATAAAATGAATTGCGCTACTATTTTCACAATTTTATTGATATTTGGTGTCAAATACACATATCTTGGTATATTTGAAGTCCCAAAACGGCTTAGTTTAAGAAATACCCCAATTTTAAATTCAAAAATGACCGTTAGCTCCGCACCCTCCGCTCATTTGCGCCGCACCCAATACAGGGTGTCAAATGGCGTTGTGCCCCCCTTTCACAGCATAAACTTAGAAAGGTACCTACACATTATGTATGTCATTGGAAAGAGCATTCAATTCTGGATAAAATAAATCCTAGATGACCTAGGTCAGATGTTGCTATATAGTGTTACATGCATTTGAAATGTACTAGTGTAGTGCTCTATTTCATTGATTTTTGAGAAGTGGCTGACTGTAAAGTGTAGTGCCTTATTTTATTTATTTAGACTAAAGCTAGTTCACAGTTGAAATAAAGATGACAAAACAACTTTTTGATGATGATAATCAGCAATATAGAGACAGAATAAGGTGTATTGCATATAGAGAATGAGGGTGCTAGTTTAATTACGAAGTATTAAAATCTCTTGAGAAAGACACAGCCCTTTTCCATTCCCTTTTAGCTTCATATCCGGCTAGATTGGCAGCGGTTAAGGCTGCCCAAGGGGGGTCATACTCACTTTTAAAAGTAAGTTGAAAATATATCTTATTTTCCATCATGCATCTTCATCTTTTCACATGTTAACAACAATTAAATGCTCTTTCCAATGGTATATGGTATGTGTGTGTATCTTTCCTAGTTTATGCTGTGGACGGGGGGCACAACGCCATTTGACACCCTGTATTTCCCACAGGCTCTGTCTGCATAGGGTGAAAAGGCATGGGTCATCTTTTAACTGACTCAGTGATGATACAAGGTACAACTTGACTTTAAGGTGTACATTGTAAAATATACCACAAATACATTCTCCATTTTGTAATATCTCTATAATCTCATTCTAGGTGCTGTTCAGTCCACTGTTTGTTGCTAGAAGTCGCCTTCCACAGCCTCTATTTGTAAATGTTGAGACCCCCCGTTTAAAGAGTTCTCACCAGATGGAGCTGTTAGGACGTGGCAGGGAGCAACAGCTAAATGTTCTCAGCGGAGACGTCACACATCATCTCACCTTTCAACTCGGGTAAATATAAACAAATGACAGATTGGCAGATTGAGGGGTTCCACTTATAAAGGTTCATTTAACACTAAGTTTGTTGGTCTTGGGACTCTGAAAGATGTTCCACTTCTTGAGGTGTTTCACTTTATAGGTTTCACTGTCTTTTTTGCTATATGATAAATTCTAAATTGGAAAGTGATTTTTTGTAAATATCACATCATCAAAGATGAATTGAGTAATATAAGAGTTAATATTTTGCGTAAAGTCACTCAAGCTTGTGTGTAGGTTTAACAAGTAACATGTACTGTGCAATATTAACTATCCTGTATTGTTTTAGACCAACTGCCAAGAAGTCTAGCCCTCATGTAGATCTCTCCGTCAACTGCTTAGATCAGCAACAATACAAGACTGTTGAAAACCCATCAATAGAGTCTATATGTTATGATTGGGATAAACAGGACAGTGCTGGGAGAGATATGTGGCCATACACAGATATTCAAAGGTACTGAAGTAAATTACTCAATTTAAACATTACTTTAAACTTCTTGCTGTGTTCTGCTATTTTTGGGACTTTCTCATTAGTCTACATTGGCACTTGGACATACTATACATAATTAGGTTTATGCTGTCTAAACGATATGCAGTCACATGAAGTGTGAAATACTCATATTGCATAATATACAGTAGAAAACAACAGATTTTAATTTAAAGTTTCAATTTATTTTGTTTTTATTCATTGATTTACAAAAAATACTATGATTTGCAGTCTGGATTTGTTTTATATGAAGGAGTCATATCCAACATGTTGCTATTCAGCCTGAAAATACATTACAATATAGTATCACATTCTCCAAGCATCTTTAAAGTTGATTCTTTTAGATGTTCAGAAAATTAAAGAAATATATACAACTATAGAACTAACTGCCAAGGGGGGGGGGGTTCAATTTTAAAAAATTTCCAGGGGGGTTCACATTTGACAATTTTGGCCAAAATTAGGCTATAATCACTTGAGAAGTGCTCAAAATGGTCAAAAACTGCATGATTTTGAAAGAATTTTTGGCCAGGGGGGGGGGGGGGTTCGCCCGAACCCTGCGAACCCCCCCCCCCCCCCCTGGCTACGGGCCTGCCTGTGATATACTAAGTGATATATTCTCTGATATCCAGAATAAAACATCATATCCCATGAAATAATAGCAGTGATTTTTTCTCCAAAAATCAATAAACAGATAGCACTATTTTGAATGTACATGTAATAGTTACTTTTCACTGTAACCATAACTATATGGGTGGAAACAATCACCCCTCAGATTTATGGGTCTACAATATTATTTACAGTAATGAAATTAGTCAAAGCATATGCCTGTCTTTTATTTCTGGGACAGTTTGTACCATACATGTACAGAGCTAACCCCTCTAGTGACCCAACAGTTTACTTACTTTATATTCTCTATTTGGCTATGCTATTGCTGCACATCCACAGGTGTCACAGAGACATGTTATCCGTGGTTTCTGCCTTTGGTCGTAGAATTCAGGTCCCTCACACACCAGAGTAGGACATTTGGGGCACTCGATACTACACAACTTCGCCTCTCTAAAAGACTGCATGCTGCGCCCACTAATCTGTGACACCATGCATAAGGCCACCAGAGCCAAACATAGACACCTCATATACATGATAACCTGGAGTATATGACATGACATAACTTGACATGATTTGACACGAGGTATAAGGCCACCAGAGTCAAACATAGACACCTCATATACATAATAACCTGGAGTATATGACATGACATGACTTGACAGTAGGTATAAGGCCACCAGAGTCAAACATAGACACCTCATATACATAATAACCTGGAGTATATGCCATGACATGACTTGACAGTAGGTATAAGGCCACCAGAGTCAAACATAGACACCTCATATACATAATAACCTGGAGTATATGACATGACATGACTTGACAGTAGGTATAAGGCCACTAGAGTCAAACATAGACACCTCATATATATAATAACCTGGAGTATATGATATGACATAAGGCCACCAGAACCAGATATAGACACCTCATATAAATAATAACCTGGAAAGGAAGTCAAAAATCCTCAAGCTCAATTAGTATTTTAACATTAAAGTTAAGCACATAACCCTTTTAAATCTTTCTGTTTAGATTTGGCTTCTTTAACCTATCAGCAGTGTCTGTTTGAGGATTATCACCTGTTAGTTTTTGAATTATATTTATTGTATAAATATATAAAAAATAAAATACTTGCTTACAAATAAGATAAATTTTACCTTTAATACTTCTTGTTAGGAGATGAAATATAAAATCGAATGGCTTGTCTGTTTATATACCCTCATTTAAAGATAGAATATTTTTTCAGTTGCTTTAATTTTGACGTTTTATTTCCTCAAAAGTAGAATTTAAGTAAATTTTCATTATATGTTTTTATTGATAATAATAATGACTAAAAATGTTATTTTACAAATTGCTTTCATCTGTAACTGTTATCATCCCATCGAAGAAGGATATAGGGAACACCTCTGTCCGTCCATCCAGACGTCCATCCATCCGTCCGGGCAATAACTCAAATATCGTTGGCCCGATTTTGTTCATATTTTGTATACGTTTACCCTATGAGGGCAAAAGTTCTGCTCGAAAGTCGATTTTCAAAATGGTCGCTCATTTAAAAATGGTGGCCATTCTAGTGCCTCTAGTGCTGACTTTACAGTAATTTAGGTGCAATATGTAAAACTGTAATAGCAATATGTTTTAAATGTAAAAAAATTATATTGGACATTAATAAAGCTAGAAATGTAGATATTGAAAAATGGCGGCTGTTTTAATGTAATTTGGTATAACTTGAAAAGTAATGGAGCGATTTCGTTCATATTTGGTATGTGAATACTATAAGCATGGCACACTGTCTAATGACACTTTTGGTAGAAGGCAGCCATTTTGAAAAATGGCGGCCATTTTAACATATTTTGCTATAACTCGAAAAGTAGTGGAGCGATTTTGTTCATATTTGGTATGTGAATACTCTAGGCATGGCACACTGTCTAATGACACTTTTGGTAGAAGCTGGTGGCCATTTTGAAAAATGGCTGCCATTTTAACGTACTTTAATATAACTCTAAAAGTGGTGGAGCGATTTTGTTCATATTTGGTGTGTGAATACTATAAGCATGGCACACTGTCTAATGACACTTTTGGTAGAAGCTGGTGGCCATTTTGAAAAATGGCTCCCATTTTTGCTATATACTTTGTTTGTAAATATGCCAGCCATGGCTGTTCGATGGGATTTGCTATGCTTTGGCGTTGCTGTTGTCTAGTTATTATAAAATGTTGGATTTATAGTTTTCATTTTTTAAATACTATTTGCAACCTATTATCCCTTTGGATATGACATAGACTGGCATATTAATCATGTCAAAATAATTATGATATTAACTGATATAATGATGACATTTATTTGGTTCATGAATATTAGTTTAAATTAAGATTGTTATTTGAACTGAATTTCATTTATGAATGAAAAGCTAATATCCTTCATGTCTTTTCACTTCATAAGTATTTAATAAATACAGAATATCACATCATTTTGAGTGATATCATTTTTATCGCCGAGTTGATATCAAATATCAACACGAGTGAGCGGAGCGAATGAGTGTTGATATTTGATATCTACGAGGCGATAAAATGATATCACGAGAAATATTGGGTTTATCCAATGATTACAATCACCTCGTGATGTTCATTTTAGTACCATTTTTTAATCGTTATTTAGCAGCCTTCTAATCAAATTATATATACAATCGTAATTCAATACACCAATGAAACATAAAGAGAATAAATTTACGGACCTATTTTCTCAAAATAGAATAAATTATCTGACCTAATTTCCAACAATATTGTGGCGCGAAATGCAAATGTGATATCACACGGATATGCGTGGGATAAACGATATCACACGCATATGAGTTTTATAAACGATTTTCTGGAAAATATCACACGGATTTCAATAGTATCAGAAATATCAATAGCTGTTATTGTACAGATAACACATTAATCGTGGGATAAAGCAGAATATTAGATTCTTTGCATTTGAGTTTTGCACATTGACATAATTATACTGCATATTTGGGATTGAATATGTAGGGATTTCCACATATGCAGCCAATATATCTTTAGTGTGGATATTAGATAGCCTTGCCCCAAGTCGGTCTCTTTAATACCGACTTGGGGCAAGGCTAGATATTAGAGTTTGAGCGGTAAAACTTTTGCTGACTAATACAATGTGATTATGAATGAATGAAACTTTGGTTGCCATTTTACAATTTACTGGTCAATTATTTCCAGGATATGTACTGTATGTATATCTATAAGAATTCAATCATTTATCTTGACAATGAGGTGCATTATAAGTCTATAATACAAGTCTGTCATTGTTGGTACTAGGAGGCAGGTTTTCAAAAAAATGTTATCTTATTCACTGGATTATTGTTTAGATATGTGTTTTTTTGCTGATGTTTTAACATTACAACACATAGAATCAATAAGCAGACTGATAAAAAGACAAAATGACCACTCAAGTCAACTTATTATTTCAGAAAACATCCAATAAATTCAATTTATTAAAAAAAACTAAAACTAAATATCTTACCTAGATTTTTGTAAGGGTTGTCAGGCATCTGAATGACCGCCATATTTGAAATGAAAATATCACTTATTAAAGCTTTGCGCAAATTACATAATTACTATACTATATGCATATAAGATATGTATATAATTTCAGTAATGAAGAGCCGCCGAGTGAATTGGGATACCTCCACTCAGAGCCCGTATCCATGCCCAACACCAGAACAGTCCTTCCAGAGAGTATGAGGTCGCCTCATGTTGCCATGACAATGCAATCAGTTGTCAAGGTAGTGCCAGACATCATGGCCAGACATATTGAGGAGACGCAAGATTTTGACCAACCTGATATCCAGTTGAACATTACCAAGCAACAGTACTGGGTAGGATGTCAGACTATTTTACTGGATGTTGCTCCACCTTGGCTGCTAGTGAACCACACCCCCATTGACCTTACTCTGGTGGAAAGCTCTGAGGTGATATGGCATATTGGCAAAGGGAAAACTATGGCTCCCCCTTATTTACAGGTACTATCAAATATGTAACATTTGAAGTTGGAATTGAAATGCACATTAATTCTGGGGAATGAAAGTACATTTTATAACCATATTCTGGAATAAACTTATCAAAAAAGATCAATTTTCTATACATAATATGTTTCAAAATATGCTGTGTGAGTTTCCTTTAATCAAAGTGAACAACATGTAAATCTTCGAACCTTCAAATTATAATGCAAGATTTTACCACAATTCTTTCAGAGTCCATTTAGGTTAGGCATCCAGGTTAAAGATACATTATACACAACAGACCCTGTTGAACTATCGAGCCAAGACCCCTCCACCAGGCGCTACCTCCCCAACATTCAAGGGGTACTATATCTGGAGGGCACAACAACTGTTGTGACACACATCAGAGAGAAAAATCTGCCTGTTAAGGTATCATTTAATACATTTATTACATTTATGTGTTTAGGTATCATTTAATACATTTATTACATTTATGTGTTATGGCCTAGTCACATAGCCCGGCCGATGTCTGGCATCGGTAGAGGTCGGTGGATTTTTTTTGTGCCACCGAGGTCTCCTCATCGGAAGCAGAGCTCGGTGACGTGAACGGACTCCGTCCGGACATCTTCAGGCGACCGACCGAACACCGGCCGGTGACCGTACGGAGTCTGTCTCAAAATGGTAGTTTTTTTCTGCCGATGTGGCAGCAACTACCGGCCGGAGGTCGGCCGGACATCGGAAGGAATACGGCTTCTGTCTGTCCCACATCGGCCGGAGCTCGGTCGGAGCTCGGCCGCTGTCCGTTAAAAAAACCTCGTCCTCTGGTTGTCTCAGATGCACGGGACACCGGTCGATACTCGGCCGTGCACCGGCTGTTGGTTTTCCGATGTGGTTATGATGGGGCTGCGATGACATGATGAGGGAGCTCGGTGAGAACCCGGTGAAATTTAACTCCGAAGTTAAAATTTCACCGAGCTACCACCGATGCGGTTTTAAGCAACAAACGCCACGGATGTCCGGCCGGTGAAAATTGCATCGCTGGCTCATCGTAACCTCATCGGCCGGGCTATGTGACTAGGCCATTAAGGTATCATTTAATACACTTATTACATTTATGTAGATGTGTCATTATAAAATCACTCAAGGTTATGCAAAATTGTAGTTTATATGTAACAACTTGCTTTCTTCATAATATTTATAATGAAGAATTGAATAGCATTTCAAAAAATAAAAAGTAGTCTATTAGTTACTAGTATTTAAATAAAAATTTATTAAACTACATGTATATATAAAAATCCTTTACTGATTTTCAGGTGTGTTTCTTGACTCTAACATCTGTTATGAAACAAGGACTTCGAGTTATCACAGTGCAGCCCAAATATCAGTTTGTCAACTCATCTCAGCACCCTCTATATGCTGCTTGTTACACTATACCACAGGCTCAAGGCAGAGTATGTAATTTTCTTGTCGTGTCTGGATGATAGAATTAGCCATCTGAGGTCCAAATTGATCATTTGTATGATTGTATATATATATCTTAGAACAATGTTCTTTAATCATTTCATCATAGGATGCGGCTGATAATGCTAATGCCCAGCCACTAACACATGTGCACCTATTTTGTATTCTTTGTATTTACAATGTAAAATAAATAAAAAATGTTGTTTTGTCAGAGAAAGTGGGAAATATTTGTATATGGCTTCTTTGTTGTACATTCCATTTTACCGTCATGATGATATCACATATGAATTATTTCAGGTGTACTTGGATCCTAGTCAAAAGGGAACAGATATCACAACAATAGACGGTTCTAATGGTGACACTTCTGCCCCACTACTCTTCTGGACTCTGCCCCATATGAACCAATCAGATTTGCCGAGTACAGATACTACAGACTTTGTGCAATATATCATTTTGACCCATGGCCACAAGAGGACTGACATCCCAGAATTCAAGCAATGGAGTTGGCCAATCAGAATTAAGGACACGGCAAATGGGACTCTGACAACAGTGTCTGTGCCAGGACTATCCTCTGAGACTGATATGACTCCTTATAATATTTCAATGCATTTGAATGATGGGATCTCATTCATGGTTGCCAGTGTTAATTGTGACTCTGCAATGAAAATCCAGAATAACTGTGATGTTCCACTCAGCTTTGGCCAATCTGTCATGACCATCTCACTGCCAGGTAAGAAACATCTCATTTCCAAGAAAATCACCCCTATCCCTCTGATAATGGAAAAACATAGAGACCAACATTTGAAAAAGCACAAACCATTATGAAGCATATATACTACATGTATATAATTAAAACAATCTGAATAGTCAGCTGTTTCTAAATAAATAAATTTCATGTATTATGTGTTTTAGCTGGAGGATTAGAATGTTCATTATTCATGTGTCAATATCCAAACGAATAATGTTGACCTCTGTTTTATATTCAGATACTACAGTACATGAAGAGATGGAGCTAGTCACTAATCTCCCTGTTGTACCACCCCACAGTGCTATATATTACACCTACCCCCATAGCACACAAACATTCCCAGAGTTACCATCTGGGGACACAGGCCCTAGGTTACACTTGAGTGATGGCAAAATGTCATCAAAGAATAAACTATGGAGCCAGGGTATAGATGTCTCTGCTGAACAAGATATGTTTGTCACAATACCTGATGCTTGCGATGTGAAGGTCCATATCGAGAGATCTGGCTTACGTGTACTTGTGACAATTGATCCAATCAACAGAGCTGAGGTTTCAGCCAGGGAGATTCGTAGCAGGATTAAAGGCAGGGAAAGTAGTGTAGTAACTGTAGAGTCACCGACAGAGACATTTATTACACCACCTACTACACCTCAAGGTTCCATCATAGCAAGTGAGGAGAAAATCTCAAGTCGATCTATGACACCTTCGTATATTACACCCCCCACCTCACCTAGGGATAATACACCCCAGAGGTCCTCTTCCCCGGAGGATACCCAAATACCACCGAAGTCAGCAAAACATGAATCGAAACAGAACAAAGCTAAAACCTTATCACTGTCTTTATCTGCATTTTTCAAACAAATTTCAATTGCGTTGAGAAATGAGAAAGAAACTGTGACCACTGAGATCCTACGTGCAAGCTTCGATGAGGTCTCACTGTTCTACTACCCTGTTAAACCTGTACAACACTATGGGAAGCCTATAGAGCAGCACAAACAGATCTTAGCAGTTTGTATAGAGAACATACAACTAGACAATCAGCTCTACCCTGAAGGCAGGTTTGACTTCCCTGTTGTAATGCTACATCAGAACGCAGCCCGATTTGACAACAAAGCACCCATCAGTGACACCTATAAGAAGCTCCAAGAAGTGAAAGAGAGAAGCCTTGTATTTATGGAAGTGGTTTTCCATGAAGATGAAGGCACCCAAGCTTTATCAGTCCTGGGAGTTGATATCTCAATGCAACCTGTTACTTTGTTTTTGGAAGACATCTTCGTGTATGACATCATCAAACACCTTGATACATTCATCCCAACTAAGCTGACACGTTCTCCAACAGCCAACAAAAACAAAACTCCTGCTGTTATTCCAAGAGCTGTGAGATGTGCAGATAGAGGATTGACCCATCCAATAAAGCTAGAATACATCAGGATACAACCAATGAACCTGCTCCTTAGTGTACATGCATCATTGAAGCTGTATATCGCATCAGATCAAACTCCATTGAGTTTTGGAAGCTTTGAGAAGAGGAATGTGTACACCAATAGCCAACAGCTGGTGCAGACTTTGACCATGCATTACGCATCGGGGGCTTTATTTAAGGCAGGGCAGGTTGTAGGGTCTCTAGAAATGTTGGGAAATCCCACTGGACTTCTACGGAACATTGGAACCGGGGTGGCTGATTTTGTGAGATTGCCCTATGAGGGACTGACTAAGGGTCCTGGAGCATTTGTTAATGGAGTCACACATGGAATGGCATCTCTTGTCATGCATATCAGTGCAGGTATATTTAACTTGTGTTGCTTTTTCCATTTCAATTAAAATTATGACATTACCCTCAGCTCTCCCTCTGAACAGATGCAAGATCGGGGCCAAATGAAAAGAAAAGAGTGAAGTTCTATGAAATAGTTCAATAGAAATGATTTCAATGGATTCTCATGTACTTTAAAGCTAGTGCAGTAAATATGTGTAAATGCACACCATTTCTAGTTTAAAAATGGAAGCAAGGACAGCCTTAATGTATGAATTTCATCACGACAGTATACAAAATTATGAGGTTATATAATGGTTCTTTCTGTATATCGTGTTTATACTCGAGTGAGTAAGTGAGCGTAGCAAACGAGTGAATATATTATATTCTCACGAGAGTATAAAATGCACGATATACAGAATGAACCATTATATAATCTTATTATGCCACTCTAAGTTCAATTACAGTTAATTCGAGCACAATCATTTATGACGTGGCTTGATTCTAGCAAATCATGCCGGAACCATTTATGACGTCACTTGATTCTAGGAAATCATGAAAATTTTCATGATTTTTTTATTCATTAGTTCCCAGAATGCACTTCTACAGTGGTATACGCTGGAGTGTATACGGAGGAGTTGTATACGATGACGATATACCACTCTCCACTGTATATCGTTGTTATAGACCCATGTTATACAACTGTAATTGGACTTAGAGTGGTATAATATACCATATATAAGCAATATGACATTTTTATGATTCTAGGTACACTGACATCTATAACTAACTTTGCATCTAGTGTGTCTCGCAATATGGAACGTCTCTCCATGGATACAGACCACCAAGAGAGGCTACAAGAGTCCAGAAGGCAACGGCCAGAGAAGGTGACTGATGGTCTTAAACAGGGTCTCTCTGGCTTTGGGATTAGTTTATTAGGTGAGATATTGGCATTTTTAGCTTATTACATGGGTGGGCTATTGTAATCACCCACTTGTCTGTCCAGCTGTCTGTTCCCATTATCCATGATGATGGTTCATAGATTTATCATTGCTATATTGCTTAATTGTACAGATTTGATAACCCAGTGATGTCATATGGTCAACAACAATGTAAAGTATATCCTTAATCATGAACTATCAGAATGTGGCTGTTAAATGAACTTATATTGCCTGTTTGGCAAAAATGCATGGGATTGAAAATATTACTTCTGTACATATACTAATTGCCAGTTTGGCAAAAGTTCATGTGTCCCTGTTTATTAAAGACCAGATCATCTCATCTGATAAACTTTTACTGTTTTCCATAGGCGCCATAGCAGGAATAGCTGACCAACCAATACAGGAAATGACACGTAGGGGAGACACTGAACGTAGAACCTCTGCCTCTAAGACAGCAGTTGGAGTCGTGGCAGGGGTGGGCAAAGGTCTCATGGGAGTTGTCACTAAACCTATAGGGGGAGCTGCTGAATTTGTCTCTCAAACTGGCCAAGGTAATACCTTGTACAGTAAAACCTGTAATACTGAAACACCTCTATAATCTGAACATCTCTTAATCTGAACATTTTTTGAAATATGACACCTGACAGTCTGAACATTTTTGTGCAGTCCCAGTGGTGTTCATATAAGACAGATTTTACTGTATTTATAAACATTTGCATTTATTCTTCAGGATTTCAACACAATGTCATCTGCTTTGTTGTGTTTGTTTATTTAGTGGTTATTAATTGCATTGTATAAGTTAGTATTGTTATCATGTGTTCCCTGCAGTGGCTTATCACTAGTTATGACATATGTATGCTTTTAATGTAGGTTTGCTGCTGGGAGCAGGTCTGTCAAAGTACCCTACTGTTCGATGTGCTACAGACACCGAATATGTGGAAAGCAATATCAACTCTGACACCAAGTATCCATGGTAAGTCTATAATGCATTGAAATGTTTAACTAACACTAATGTTGGAGTTGCTTCGTGGTTCTCTGAATCTGTAATACCATCTCCCATACATGTGTGACATTTCCTGACTAAAATAACAAGTATATGAAATGTAGATGCCTCTTGAATGACAGAAGGCGCTTTAACCTGTTATTACTCAATTTTAGGAAAATGCTTCAAAATCTGGTGAACACCGATGTAATTATGTCACTGGATGCCAGCCAAACAACATTAAGTGGCAGCCATCTTCCCACAATCCTCCTGCTGACCCAGGACATCCTGTTTGTAGTCGGCTTCCTTGAAGACAGCCAACTGCAGGCATTCTCAGTGACTGAAGTGAACTTAGAGGCCAATACAAAGAATGCAAGTGTCATCTATATAAAAGCAAAGGGACAGCCAAATTCTCATGAAAAATCAGAGGTACAGTGGAATTTAAAATGATTTTAATATCTTAAAAAGTGGATTGATTTTAAACAAATATTTAAAAATAGGATTTGTTAGTACTTTATGTTGTAGACTCTATTGTACTAGTTTCTCTCATTTAGAATCCATTGAATCCTTGGCTTTTGAGGATGTGAAACTCACTAAGAAATAATACGAAATGATAATAGCTTCAATTAGTGTCCATGGGAGCTTTTGTGTTCTTTTCCCAAAAACTAAATTATATAGTAGCCAAATATTTGCTGACACATTAAGGTACATTTTTCCCTACTATTCATATTTTATTTCTAATAATATCCTCATCAAATTATAGTTTAATATTGATAATCACTTTAATGTTTGTCATAATCTTTCAGGTGGACGAGAGTAAGATAAGTAAAGACAGAATTGCAGAGTTCATTGACCACACCTCTGGCTATATTTCCCAAGGTCAGAGCAGCATCGCCAGTTGTGATAGCCAATCAGATGTCAGCAGCCTCATTCTGGGAAATGGTCGCTATGAATTTCACATCGACCCACGTCTCCGAACATTGTTTATGGGACAGTTTAAAATTGCCCAGGATAAAATCAACAAAAAAGGTTTTGTGCTTTGAAGCAGGATAGTGACGATTGAAATCATAGATCCCGGCCAGATTCTTTTGTAGTAGGATCAGTAGCTCAATAATATTTCCTCAAGATGAGACACCTCAGAAAAATTCAAATTTTAAAATGACGATTCTGGAGCCATTTCTGAAAAATATGAGACAAATCATACCTCATTCGAAGGGTCTTGTTATTCTTTACCTTTTTTATCACCAATGGCCGTTATTCAAGCAATACTGCGTTGATAAGAGGCCAAAACAGTGATATTTTATCGCCGGACTCTTGTCTGTCCAAACCTGAATGTTGCTCCCGTGGTTCCAGAAATGTGACGTCATCATTACAATGATATTTGGACACACAAGAGTCCGGATTTCGTGAAAAATATTCGCCGTATTGAAAGTCAAATAACTGCATCCATAGGTTACTGTATTTACTCGAACCAAACAAGTAGAAATAGATGATGTGATGATGTGCCTATGATCCTACTACAAAACGATCTGGCCAATATCTCTGATTGAAATAGTGAAACAGTTGCAGTATGAAGTTCACTTTAGACATGTTGTCTGAGGTGTGCTTATATGGTGTTAATGTTTAATTTATTATGTCACCACCACAAATGGTGACATGTTGTTATAGTGTCCAATTTTTTTGGTCGGTGTTTGGCAGTTGGTGTTTGCCATTTGGTGTTTGGCATCTGTAAAATATGGTATTCGGTGGGTGGCATCTGGGGCAGGTGGTGACATTTTGCATGTGAATGCTTTGTTTATTATGTCACCACCATAAAGTCAAGTCAAACATGGAGTGGCATATCTTGCCATGCATATCAAATATGCAAACATATTGTTATAGCCACCAATTTTGTGACTGATGTTTGGTGTCATTCTTGTATGTTACATTTGCAGGTGATGACATTTACTCATATAATTGCCTTTTTTTCAGTGAGCTTGTTTGTTAACATACAATGCATAATTTAGTGAAAGTGAAATAACCAGTTTGTTTTAGAGTTCTTGCACATTGTTTTTTTATGTCACCATCAGAAGTGGTGGCATATTGTTGGAGTTTCCAACTTTTTTTGTGGTCGGCATTTGATGCTCTGCGGTTGGTGTTTAGTGTCTGTAACAAATGGCAAGTGGTGACATTTTGCATGTTAATGCCTCGTTTATTTAAGAAATAGGTGCAATGCAGTTTCTGCATTGTTCATGCATTGGATTAACCTCATTCGTCTTAATTAAAGATTCTATGTTAAAATAATGGCACATATATGAGCCTACAGAGTTCTTGATCTATGACACAGTTTACAATTAATATTCCCATTATATTGCAGTATTTGAAGAAATGATATTAAATGCTAAACCACAATATGTACAGGTATATAAGATATATAATATATACGGTACATAGGAGGTATTCGGACATGTAGCTTTATAATGATTTGCATTGGTGCCAAATGCATGTGTACTGAGGTAATATTATAGAATTACAAGAATGTACAGATTATGGTGAATAATAATAAGGTACTTGATCATTGTTAATATTTCTGGTGGCAGGTTACACCATTATATTATTTAATAATAATAAATAAGTTGTTGAAAGGGATAAATCATGATTGTTGTTGAATTTCAAAGGTGGAAAAATATGTTGCTGTAAAATATGAAACAAATCTGACATTATTATGGGTTTCAGTTCTTCTTTTACTTTCATTCCGCTTCCCTAGTATCAACACATTCACACCAAGAATGTGGATGTAGATTTTTTCATCAAGATATCCCTGAGAAACATATCATTCAATAGAATTTAATACAAACAAATGAAAATTTGTGATTTTAAACATTCCGTAATGAATGAAATGTCCATTGGTGTTCTGGTCCTGAATTGTGATAATGGAATTTAATGGCAGGGGAGGGGGTATTAGACAATGTTTTTTTTCATGTTGGATTATGGTTTGGGATAGTTGGGGTTTGTTTTGCAGATGACTTGTATACACTTGGGTGTTTTTTCTTGCTGTGTTCTGTATTCAATGTTGGTATTTTCCCTTTGGCACATGTACATACATACCTTCTCACATTGTGATGTGAATTGGATATTCTACATTGAGGAGATTAAAACACATCAAAATAACAGAAGTGAAAATTTGTGATTTCAAACATTCCTTGTTGGAAAATATTTATTTAGTTTGTACATATTACATACAGATTCATCTGACATACCATTTTGAAATACAAATCTTAATAAAAAGGATATAGTGTGCTTTTGGATCTTTGAGCAACTTCAATCTTATATTATTAAGTTCCAAATTCATATCATATGTTATAGATTCATTTTATGTTGAATATGTAAAATGATAAAATCACAAATTCGTTAAATAATTACGACTAGACTTCCACATTCAAAGTTGAACATTACTTTATCAACTATAAATACATCACTTCGCCAACTCAAATAAATAAAATATTAAAACAAATATATTAATATCATTCAAAAAGAATGAAACAAATATAGAACAATAAATTAATAAATACAGAAGGAACCGATCATTTTATTCCAGCAGTGATGTGCTTGAAGAAAATGACAGGTCCCCTTATGGCAAATTAATATCCCAGATAGCTCTTAAAAGCCCTGTGATATCTTACAAGCCTAATTGACATTCTATTGTCAATGTGGATATTACACACACAGCAAAATCAAGACTTGGGTTCTTAAATGATGACAACAATATGCTATACAGATTTCTTTTTTTGTATTTCATTTCACATGGGTCACAGGGAAGACTTAGTGCTATTCTAGGAGGGGGTGGGGGTAGCATCTTCACTTTGTAAGCTAATGTTCAAGATGTTAACACAGATATACATACAAGGGAGTAAATGAAGCATAGCAATGATTTATTTGAGACAGAATCCACTATTTCCCTTCTGTGACCCATGTGAGATGACAGAACCATAGTTTGGGCAACCCAGTGCCATTTCACCACAATAAGTAGACTTGCTAGGCAACACCCCATAGTCACTTTATACAGTGCAATATGTCATTGTTCTACACTGATGGGTCATGGTATAACAGGGCTTTTAAACGAATTGCTTCTATGATGGTTATTCCTTCAGATATATAACATGTATGTTTTAGTTTTGCATCAAGGCCCTATACTCCTCCACTCACGTTATACATAACAGTTACCTCAAAAGACAGAACTAGTTATGAGTGATGAGATGAGTGATTGGTGAGCCTCTTTCATAACCAATATCAGCCAGAGTTGATTGGTCATTGCAAAACTGTTTCAGGGAATTGCTATAGTGATGTATAAGAGACTTTATGTAGAACTAAAAAATCCATTTACATGTTGAACTCACAAACCTCTTGATAGACATTAGACAATTACTGGAGTAGTGTTTGTAGTTGAAATTCTTTTGAAGAAATAAAATCAAAGTCCAGAAAACCTGTAAAGTGGAACTCCTCTGTAAGTGGAACACCTCCACATGTGTACCACTTTTCAGGGTCTCTTGACCAATTGATGAAATGTTAAATGAACCTCTGTAAGTAGAACACCTCCCAAGTGGAACACTAGAGGTACCAATGGTGTTCCACTTACACAGGTTTTACTGTATTACAAAGGATAGATTATGTTATGCTTTTACCCTTTTAGTGAGTTCAAGATGCAAATGGAAATAAGATATTTCAATGTTGTTAAGGGTAACTCAATATCACCTTGACTTGGTATGTTTAAAAATCACAACAAATGACTGGACGATCTTCCAATCTTGAGAGCCTATAAATAAAATGGAAATTAAAGGTAGAATCAGAAATCGAAGGGGGGCATCTGTCCCAAACATGGGGTCATATTCAAGTCATGTCTCTTTTCTTGAAGTTTTCAAGAAAGTTACATGAAGTTCATACCTATTTCATTTGACTTTTTTTTGTAAATGTATTCAAGCCATATTTGTAATTCAACAACACCAATCTTCATGTTTATATCAAAGTGCAATGTTGTACCTTGCTAATACAGCTTAAATTATATATCTTATTGTGACATATTATACATATACATAAATCTGTTTGGGTTGGTAGAAAACCAACCAGTTGGTGAATTCAAAATGTAGCTTGTTATCATTTTTCTTGTCTTAGAATTACATATTCTACCTTTAAAATGTTTAAGTCACTCCTGAAGGAGTATGACAAAACCCCTCCCACTCAATACATCTGTATAAACTAGGAAGACTGGGGCAAAAGGGTAGAGTCCACTATAAAGTAATGCTAACATCTAGTAACATCAAACAAAGCTGAATAGTAGCTACTTGCATTCCTAGACTCCAGCATCCCTTACTGAACTCAAATATCAAAATTTGCTTATCACATTGTCAAATATTGTAATGGCTGACTTGCCTACCGAAAGAATAGTGCATTGGTCACCTGACTAGGCTGACTAGCTCACCGAATTATTAAAATCTCAAGTCGGGTTTTTACACCAGTTTGTAATATTTAAACAGGTGTCTCGCTGAACTTCCTCTCTCGTGCTACAGGATATAGTCGATCATCGAATGATCGTCGGAGAGGGTCAGCATATGACCGTCTTAGTGACGTAGGGGTAACTATTGGAGTAGACTTCTCCATTGATGGATGTCGCCATCTTTGGGGTGATCTCCTAGTTGTAGGGCTATGTTGCTGCATAGATGGCGTGACCATTGTCGGAATTTGGAGACCTCTCATTCGCTAAAAAAGAAATTACATTTTATATCATATTGACTGTAAAAACAAATACTACATAATTGGCCAGAGCATTTGTTTTTTGCAACATGTTAACTCAGATTAAACTGTCTCACTTAATTAAAAAACGACACCTTTTTCTAACTAACCCCAACATATTTTTGTTACCATATGCATGCCCCACAATACAACAATGACTTTCACTATGTTCAACACAGAATGTGAATTTTTCCATCAAAATTCAAGCTTAGAATATGTTATTTTTTGGGAAGGATAGATCCCCTTTACTTAAAGGGCAGCCCCTAAGTACAAAATGAAAGATGAAAATAAATATTCTCAATTTTATGAGATATTATTATACTATGTATTCTGCACATTTTAATGAAACCTACCTACAAACTGAGGTATCAAAACAACATCCCAGACCAACTATTTGATGCATTAATATAAATTATAACAGAAATTATTATTAGGAAATTAAATCAAAATATTCATTTTCACTATGAACAATTAATTATCAAAAATAACCAACATTATTAACATTAACAGTACCATAAATGAAGGAAATCAAATATTTTGTAGGGCTTCAAACATGCAGACATGCATTATATGTTGTTAGTATTCAACACTGTAACAATGTATTATAAGCTACATTTAAAATTTTTAACGTAAAATCGAAAATGTAGCAAGGGAATGGGCATTTAGATTTAAATGATATTATTATTCAATAACATTCAAAAGGGGCCAGGTCCTTCCTGATAGGGCCTAAGTCACAACCACTTGCATCCATTATAGCATCCAGTATCATATATATTAATATGTCTGCAGAAAAGAAAAAACATCATCAGACACTCCAAGTTCAGGGAATGGGAACACAAAATTAATCATAAGGCCGGAAGAGATAATTCAAATACAGCTGTCAGTGAAAATTCTGTTTTTCAAATTAGTTGTTATTTTTTGCCTTGGAGTGTCTTTTAGTCAGTAAAGGTTAGGCAGTAATTTGGGCTTCATTCTTATAAACTGGTCACCTCTTCCAGATCCTCATTTCCAGCGTGAGAAACGAGACTTTGTTCTTCCACGACGTTCCTGCAGAATTCAATATGATTTTACATAAGAGTTTCAAAACTCAAACACTACATAAAATATGCACATAAGCAACACCTGTGTATCTCAATTTTATTGTTATGTTATTAATTTCAGAATTACCTTTCCTAAATATGCCATACATTGTGAAACAGAATCATGGCTCTCAATTCTTGAATCATTAAAGTGCAATGAAAATTCTACAATTGCTTGTGCTGAGCTTTTAATAAGTGTTCTTATATCTACAACTGGATGGGTGGTTTTACAGTTCTAAAGTTAGGCTAATTAATATGTGTGTAGACTTTGGAATGTGAAAATATTTGCATCTTACCGATTCGAACTCCCCATCTCTTGGACTTGTCGCTGAAGTAGCCCTTGAGAGACGTGAGGAGATACTACTCTCACTAGATTCACGTGTCACCGAGGGGGTTGTTGATGATGAAGATGGAGACAAAAGGGTCTGAGATGGGGTTGTGGGGGAAGGTTTCGGAGAGGGCTTTGCTTCTCGTGATAAGTCAGGTTTAGATCCCCGATCTTTTGATCGATCTCGGGATCGAGACCGATTTCTCCTCCCAGGGATTAGCTTAGCAATGTCCAAACTGAAAGATCTTCGGTAAGGCTTCTTTTTGGTCTTTGGTTCAGGTTCTGATGGCACTACTGGTGTTGGCTCTTGCGAAGTGGAGGGAGCAGCTGGAGCTACAAGACTAAGTCCTGCTTGCCCTATGGACTTTTCTGTATTGGAATTCTCAAGACTGGAAGACTTCTGAAATAGTTTACGTCTTGCTCTCACTGACAAACCGAATACTGATGATTTGGATTCTTTCTCATCCTTGGAAGATTTAATTGATGTTTCCGAAGTGGATTGGCCCATAGCACCTTTAGCACTGTCCTCTGATTGTCTGTCAGAGTCATCTGGCTTCATATAGTCAATGTCCTTAACACTAGTCCGTTCACGTTTTGATTTGGAACCACGCCTATCAGGCAAAGACATAAACCAATCACTCTTATTATAATCATCATAGAAAACCTGTCTTTGAGATCTCGGTGATGATTTCTGATGATCAGAATGTTCAACAGTAAGAGTATCAGTTTTACTTCTGCCATAACGTTTTTGTACTCTGGGTTTGGAAGTATCAGATCCACCAGATGGGGTGGGCGAATGGTCCATTATAGTGCTCCCAGGAATCACTGGGCTCTCATCACCTCTCTCATCAAGAGAGGCACTTTTCTGAAGCATTGGTCTATCCTTAGTAAAGTACTGAATTTGTTCATGTTTAAGTTTATCATACAAATGTGACACATTCTCTGATGTAAGAACATCAGCTTGATAACGATCCTTAATTTCTTCATAACGTGTTGGGGTACTAGGGACTGACCCTGACCTAGAGCCACTGGGGCGGATGAGGAATCCTCTTGGTGGGTCAGGATAGTTTGTCACTTTCTTAACAGGGGACAATGGACCCCTTTTCCTGTCAGGTGACCCAGTCCGTGATCCTGTTGCACTCTGGGTACCAGATGTATAAGCGCCATAGCGGGAAGTTGGTCGACTGCGGATTGGTCTAGAAGATGTTAAGCCATATGATGATGGGATTTCTTCCACCTCGAATGACGTTCTCTCTGTGTCAGAGATTAATGTGCTTATATCTGTGGGTGGGGTCTGCTGATATAGCGCTTGGTTGCTCATGTCCAGCTCAGATGATGATAAAGTCCTGCAATAAAACATTGTTTGTTTGTTATACCAATGACTCAAGATCACGTTCAGGGAGAGATTGTAGGCTCAGTTTTGAAACCATTGAGACAATCATTGGTTGATACCAGTTTTTGGATGGAATATAATCACTACTGAAATGAAACTAGTTTCGACTGTAAAATTATAATGGAAATCATAAATCCAGATTGTACAGTAATGAAATCAATCTTATTCTGTTTTACTAACCTTCGTAGTGGTAATGGTTCACCATTTTCTAGTTTCTGTTTGTAATCACTTAGGTCATCTGTGACTCTCTCTATTTGATTCAGGGCCTATAACAACAAACACAACATTTTAAATAGTACAGGTAGAATTGCCCTCGCCTCCACCAAACTCATTAACAATTGGTATGTTGATGAATAGATTCATCACATGATGATACCCGTAACCCATTTTAAGTTGTGTATCCTTGTATCATGCACACTCAACACAAAGTGAAGATTTTCTTCTCAGAAGTCATGCATTATTTAAACAAATTGATATATTGTAATATGGTGACAGAATAAATGGCAAGAATAAAACTTTCAATATTTCAATCAATCCACAGTCAGATTGCATCCTTGTTAATTGTATATAAGAAAAAGGAAATAAGCACAAATTGAAACACACTCAGGTGTGTATAAATTGTATACTGTGAATAGTACATGTGCTAATTTTCATAAAATGACATAAATGCTCCACAATATAGGTTTCCAATACAGGACCCTGTATATAAAATGATTTAAATTGATATCCTCTTTTTCAATATGGACATGCAGGACATTCCTTATTTTATTTTGATTAAATGTGTATTTTCAATCAAATGAAAACCATGTGATCATCACTGATTTCCAACTTGATTGAAATACACAACGGCAGAATACCTACATCTATGGTATTATGGTATTCTATCTACTACAAAGGGAGAACAAAAGTTTGAGTTGATAAAAGAGGAAGGAAGCTATAAGTAAAGTAGATAATCTTTTACACCCAAGGTTCATATCATTAATTAGCCTTAGTTGTAAACCTGCATAAAGAAAGAAATAGTTGATATCTAAGAGGGTCTAAAAAGAATCCCGATACAGTGATAGATTCAGTGGTAAAATAAAGTAGGCACAATTTGCTATGGAAGCTTTTCAAGCATTCAGGTATAAAAATTCTTATATACATGAATGTACATATATACATACATATACTGCAATATTGGCTTTCATAGCTAAACAATTTTGCATAAGGATTTACATGTATTGAAGAATTAAACAGAAAGGCACCACAGTGATATAAAGAAAAAGTGGGTATTAAAACATAGATGCTTATGTATAATTCCATACCTGACCAACTCTGGATGCCAAGCGCTGAAAAGTTACATAAAAATAAATAAAACATAGCAAATCATAATTTGCATTTATCGAAATGGACATGAACCATTTCACAAAGCAATTGTATTACAAACAGTTGAGTAAATGTTATACTCAAACAAAAGAGACATGAATCGCCACATACACTGTAACACACTGACTTACATTAAACATTTAACTCAACTTACGTCATCAAGAGTTTTTGCCAGTTCCATTTCTTCCCTGTTGTTTCTGTCCCTGGGGGGTATATAGAGAGACAGACCAGGCCTGGACTTGCTGGGGGAGGCTTGGGAGGTGGAGTAGTGCTCAGATTTAGTCATTTCTTCAATTACAGGAGTTATAGTCTTCAGCTTTTGCAACTGAAAAATACATACATGACCTGTCATGAAAAAACATTTGAAATACAAAGCAATATTCACAACCCTTTAAAACAATTTGAAACATGTTTGAAACTGACCTATTTTTATGTAAACTCTATTTTAAACAAATGGATAAACTACAAATGGAACTGTTTGTTCTGATTTCATGTTTCTTTAAGTTTACTCTTTGTTTGTGCTATGTTTTCAAATTGAGCACAAAGGCCAAGATTTGCATTTGTTTGTGCCTAGTTATAATGAATTATGTAATAAACAACACTTGTATGCAGATTTTGAATCATCATCTTTACAGTAGCTAAACCTTATACAATATACTGTATAGGATACGTATACAATATACTACCTCTAGGATAAGATCATCTATCTTTCTTTTGTCAGACTGCTGGACCTTCTTGCTGTTATCTATACTTTGTCTCAGTTCTTTCCTCTCTCTTTCCCACTCCATACGCTCAGATTTAACGTTATTCTGGGCAGACTCAAGTTTCTTCTGTAGACTCGTGATTTGTCTGACTTTCTCTTCAACCTAATTCATTTAGAAGACAATAAAGATTTTTGCAATTCATGTATTGGTATCCACAATTTATTAGATGATTCATATTAACTACAAGTTTCTCAATCAGTATTTTACAGATATAGATATGTGAGACCATGAAATCGTTATGCCAAACGTCTTTTACATCACAGTTCAATAGCCATTTGTAAATATTTAATAAAAATCATTATTGGTGTTTATGAATTATAGGGAAACCTTGTAGCATGACCCGAGTTTATCACATGTTCTTCACATTATTTTGTCTTGATCATTGATTGCTCACCTCAGCATTTTTATCCATCATTTTCTTCCTCTCATTCTCCCACTGTCGTTCCTTTGATTCTAACTTGCCCAAAATTTCTCTTTTGTCCAACTCCCTAGACCTCTCACTTTTCTGAAGCTGTTTCTCCAGGTCTACAGCATGGCTGTGGGACTTATCAAGTAGTTTCTTTATTTCAGTGTGCTCTTTCTCCTCTCGACTTTCGAATCTAACACGCTTTGGAACAGTTCCTTTCTGGTTCTTTAGTTGTTCCTCCAACTGGAAAGTTAAACCAGACATTTTTTCACCTATTGTCTTATTCAGTAAGAAAATTGTCATTATGAGAAGTCATCATGATGTTATTATTAAATATATATGAAGGCTACAAAGGCTGTGAATGAAGGGGACAGATCAAGAAAATGCTAAAACAAAAGCTTATGTTAAAATCAATTGTACATGTGATGTACTCATTTGTTTCATAGAATCCTAATCATTAATCAGGTCATCTATACAGGGAAAAACTGCCTTACTTGATCTATTTTATCCTGCATATTGACCCTCTGTATTTCCCATGCTGTCTTCTCTGTTGTTAGCTTATTATCCACTTCTTTCCTCTGTCTTTCCTCCCTGGACACAAGTTCCTGTAGTTCCTGAATCTTCTTCTCAAGCTCTTTCACACTCCTCTTCTTCTCTTCCATCTGTCAATGAAGAGTAATTAATGATGAAGCTTACATTAGTGGCCACATTTCTAATGATAACAATTAATATATATCAGTACACATATCAATTGCAATATTAAGATGTTGCCCAATACAATATTGAAGAACCTTTTGCAAGAATTTCACCTTAGTTCAGTCTTTGAATAAAATAATTGTCAAGTGTACAACATTTTACATTTAGTTACAAATATTGTGTAACATAAATCAGAGAAATAAACCCGACATAAAACAGAGAAGTTTCAAGACACATTTGTTTGATTGAATAACAGTTCACTTCACCTCTTTAGTAGCTGAAATAACTCTACGGTGCTCTCTCTCCCAGTTGTCTGTTTGTGTATCATGCTTGGTTTTAATTTCATCAAAATTCCTCTGTGCTGTTCTTAACTGGTCTCTTTGTGTGTCATTCTGCTTCCTCAGACTCGTTGTCTCACCTGAAAATAGCAATCAGTTGTTAAGAATGAGGGTTCATATTGGTTAATTAATAGTTTGAAAGAGGCTGTTGAGTTGGACCCACCAATCACCTGGGGAACCTCTGAACCCAACCCCAAAGGCCTAGTGGGGGACTCAGACTATCAATCAAATGCTAACATAGAGGCTGCTTTTAAGTTACCGTTTTTGCATCTTTATACACTTTTATCTATGGTAACGCTAACTTGCCATGCATGTAATTATAATATGATCTATTATAGAGATGTATATCTATTTTAGATAATAAGTTATCTTTTTCTAGATTTGAATTGCTTATTTACATCATCAATACAGATATACATCTGATGTTGAACATATACAAATTTAATGCATTCAATTTTGTTTCATATTCACCTTCCAAAATCTCAATTTCTTGTTCCAGAGTTCTCATCTTTGATGCATATTTAAGTTGGATCGCTTTAGTTTCTGCCTTCAACAGTTTCTCTTCTCTAATGACTCTATCAAGCAGATCCTTCTTTTCCTTATGCCAGCGTTGTTCTGCTAGCCTCATTTGCTCCTTTGTGACATCAGAGCCCTTACTTGCTGCAGCCAAGGCATCATTGTTTTTGGATATCTGGAATGAATGTTATCATCAGATATATCTATGAATATGTAACGTTTAAGTACTAATGGAAAAATGGTTACAGAATACAGCAAGAGAAAGAAAACATCTAAGAGTAACAAGTCATAAGGAAATTAAATTCCAATTATCACAAATAAAGTATGCTTGAAATATTTTAGTTGATGAATTCAACATTATTAAAAGAAGTAAGCAGTGCGAAATGTTAAAAAGTTGAACAGCTAGTTTTCAAAGTTGGTATTTTGAATTGTTTTTTATTATTCTATTTTGATTTGAATTTTATACTTTTTTAAATGTTGTCATTTAAACATTTTTATTTTAGAAATGAATGTAATACCCTACCGAGCTCTTGAGCTTTTCAATATCCTTCTGAAGCATCTTAATGATGGACATATTATCTTCTACAAGTTTGGTCTTGTCTTCAATTACTTTCTTCAACTCATTTCTCTCATTATTCCAGTTCTTGTTGCTTTCTTTCATCTCATCACCAAGTTTCCTCAGATCCTCTTCCAGCTTGTGTTTTTCATCCATTAGGTCTCGCTTTTCCTTACTGAGTGTTTCAATAGCTTGACTTTGGCGAAATTTAGTGTAAAGTTCAGTTGAGCGAACCTTTTCTTCCAGTTGTTTGATCATGTTATCCTTGTTAGACTTTTCCCTTTCAAATTTCTTTTCCTTTGCCTTAAGACTCTCATTGACACTAGCTAGTTCTGATCGTGCAGTCTCTCGTTGCTCTTGAAGCTGTTGAACATTGCTTTCTAATCTTACTTTGTCAGATTTTAATAGTTCTATTTCCTTTTGAAGTTTTTGAGAGCTGTCTTTATTTGTTTTTTCATATGCTGAAAACCGTTCATGCATACTCTTCAATTCTTGGTTTTTCACTTCAATGTGATCTTGTAGTGTCCTAATATCATTTTCCTTGTGATTGAGTCTCTCAATTGTCTCTTTAAGAGTATTGTCCATAATAATTACTTTGCTTTCTTCTTTTCTTAATTTTTCCATAATTTTAGTATTGTGATCTTCCTTTTCTCGAAGTTTGTCATCACGAGATCTAATGGTATCCTTCAGAGTTTTCATTTCATCAGTTTTTAGTTTTAACATGGAGTCTTTTTCTTTTAGTTGATCTGCACTGCGTCTGGTTTCATTTTCTCTTTGTTTCAATAAATGTTCATTTTCTTTAATGATTTTATTTTTCTCATCAACAATACTGTCCTTTTCTTTTAAAATATCTAAGTTCTTTCGCAACAATTCTTCTTTCTCTTTGACCATTGTATCCTTGCTTTTAATACTTAATTCTAGTTGTTCTATTTTGGTTTTGTATGATTGCTGATTTTCGCTCAGTCTTGATTTTTCATCTTTCCATTGTTTCTCCTTACTAGCCCAAGTGTCTTTCTCCTGAAAGTTATTTTATAGAATTTATTAGAAGCTTCTGATTATTTAATCATTCTAATTTATTAATCCATACATTAAAGTACTAAACATTCCTATCATAAAAATATATTGTTTCGTTTTGTATACCTGATGAAAATTATTTATATATTCATGGTTCGATGCACTTCAGAATATGAACATGCTTTAAATCTACACTTCAAGAAGAGTACAACTTGTAACTAAACTCAAACATATCAAATTCCATTCACATTGCATAATAGGTCTTTAGACCAAGAAATATATGTAACCGGTCTTTCTATGAGTATGTACATGTAATTTATGACTTTTACCTCTTTGAGTTTCAATTTCAAGTCCTCTACTTCATGTTTGTGTTTGGAGCAATCTTCTTTTAGTTGTCTTGATTCCTTTTCAAGTAGTTCCTTGGTCCTTGTTTCAGCCTGGAGTAGAAATAATGGGAAAATGTGAGATAAGATTTCTTTCAATAAGTCAAGTCCATGTTCAGTGGAAACTGTGATTTCTAACAATTCACGAAATACAGTGCATTGACCTAGTAATTAGAATAAGTAAAAAACCTGTACATACTGAACATTTTTTTGCTGAGAAAAAACGTTCAGTATTGGTAGATGTTCACTACAGAGAGTGTACTTTATACAGAAGTCAGTAAAGTATGTGCGGAGGAAGGGTGTCCACTAGAGACAGTTGTTCAATAGAGAGGTGTTCACTAAGACTGGTTTTACTGTATATGATATTATTATTAATTATCGATTCATCTTTGGAACAATGAACTAAGTTGCTTTTTGTGTATCAATGTTTTTTGCTAGATTTTCTGTTTCTAATATTCAATTTACGAGTTGACCAAATACCATTCATTAACTCACTTGGGTTCGTTCATATCCACTCTTCCATTTGTGCTGAGCCTTCTGAAGCTGAGCATTGAGGGCCTCTACATTGGCTTTGTAGTCTTCCAGCTTCTGGTTCAGCTCTTGTTTCTCTCTCTGCCAAGCCTGACTTCCAGCTAGAGTGCTCTCTGCTTTCTCTTTACTCTTACTCCTCTCATTGTCCAGCTGTAACATCAGAGTTAAGTAAGCTCTAATCGGTTTTAATTGGGTTAGTTCAATAAGTATTTCTTTTATTAATAAAATCTTTCGCTATCATGGTCTCATTCTTTTGGTTAGAAATTAGTTCATCATATTTTATTTAATCACTTTTCATATGATTTGAGAATTCTAATGTCATAAGGAATGATATTGAAGTCATTGTTCTTTTACTGTTGCCTGATCAACATAACAATCAAGCATACCACTCTGTATCACATCCCATTGATAACATTACACAAACCCCTTATTAAACACAAAATCCTTATTAAACTTACATCATTCTTTACACTTTCCAGCTCCTGTTTAAGTGAGTCTTGGTCCCCAACCTGTTTGGACAGTTCATGTTGTAAGCTTTGGTTCTGCTCATTCACTTCATCAAGCCTTGTGTGGCATAGAAGCACCTATGAGGCATACAACTTATAATCAGACTTATTCAATATTGGCATATTTGCCAGTACAGTAAAACTAGTGTGGCATTATGTGTAAACCCATAATTACCCTCCATAAAAGTTGTACTTTAAGAAATAAGTGAAATCATCTCTTCCCTATAATCACACTACTATACCTAACACCTAGAAATGCATAAGATACTTTGTTTGTCTAATTGAATTGTTTAATATATTTTTGAAAATGCCTTACTGGCATCTAACTTTCAACCGATAAACCATTCATAAGGAACAGACAAATAAAAACAAATACATAATCATTACTAATAAGCCAAATGAGTTGCTCATGAACACCAAATGCAAGGTATAGTAGAGTGATAATATACTGACTATATTATACACCCCGGTTACTTCACTCACCCCAATTATGTAAACTAGATTATATTACTAACATAAATCAGAATTGCCTGATGGATAGAACAGCTAAAATGCATGAGTTGAGTGACTGCAGAACATGGATATACATTGCCCCTTGAGTACTTCACAAATAGACTTTGGTATCGAATCTTGATCCAAATGGGTGAACATGTTATTTATTGGATTCTGATATTACTGATAAGATATAGATCCGTGTTCTCAAGAGATTTGAATAAATCCGTGCAACTGTCATTATTTTACCACTAACTATAAAGTAAAATCATTTAAAGTTATTATGTAAAAAAATTAACTGAAATAGCAGACTGTTGACTTGAATTGTATTTAAAGTCAAAGGACAAAGATCATCAAAATAAAAGATTAAATAAAATATCATTCAATATCATTCGAGTTGTATCGAGTTGTTTTGGACTGTCAAATTGCGTCCCCTGAAACTCCTATCACATTATGACGTACCTCATCAGAAAGAAGCTCCTTCTCCCTATAGAGAAGACTGATATCATCACGTATGTCAGACCTTGGACTGTCCCTCAGTTCCATACGTTTCTCAGCGGCTCTGCTCCGTTGTCTCTCTTCGGCTAGTAGACGTTCTAATGATGTTATTCTCTTCATGAAGTGTTCCTGAAGTAAGACCCGAATAAAAATTGTAAAATGTTTATAAAATTAATTCATTGGATATCCTTTCACGATTGTCATTTTCTTATTTAACTGGCGTTAACATTTTCCATTTTTGGTGTAATTGTTTATCCTTTCATTAATCTATATTTCTGACAATCAAATATCACAAGATATAAATATATTTTGATAGTTGTGGTAGATGCACCAATTTGAGAGTTCCATCTTTAAAACGTAATATATAATTTAAATAAAACTTCAATTATAGTTTTGGAGCAGACGCCTTTATAACTGATTGAGCTGGTTGAAATCCGTATTACGAATTCGAAGCATGTCGGGGAACTCGAGTCTTATTTTTTCCATTTGCTCTAGATTGCAATTTATTAGATAATGGCTTTCACCCGCAATTACATTCATCCCATTCCGGGAACAATCAACACTGCAACGTTAGGAAATGTGTTGTAATTTATTAAGAAACAAATTTACCCAATCCTCGTCAAACTTCCTAATCCGTTCGTCAATCGTAACGTCTTTATTTAATTTCAACGCATTCAAACTTAAACTTTTGTTCATGGTGTCTTAGATTCATCATTTCAATTTGAAATTAAAACAATTATGGTATTTTCCTATCATGTCACGATGATCCGAATCATATCCAAATCGCAATCACCTCCAAATCCCAATCAATTTATTTTGATATCTAGATCGCCATATCTCTCAATTGGTAATGAAATACTCTGCGATAGAATGTTTTATATAATACTGAGGTTGGCTTAATCATACTGAGGTTCAATCCTTTTGTTTCATCTCAAGGCAGATTCTTAACTCATAAAAACTGATCAATTTTACACTAATATTGTTTTATCGGTTTAGCAGAAACGCCATCATCATTGCGTTTATGACTGCAAATGAACCGTTCGACTTTTATTGATGGCTGTATTTCTCTGAATGCATAACTCAAATCACTTAACTTCTATCAACAGAAAGTGCGATTTAACGCGGTACATTTTGGCAGTACTGAGCACCCAGTGGATTTCTTTGGAATAAAATACCTTGGACAAGTCAAGTTGCCTTTCACGTACACTCCCCTCTATAAGTTTGGCAACTGGAATTTTTCATTGGATGGCATATCAAAGCATGTCAATGTTTGGATCTAAATGTGTTCCTTAATTACGATAGTTCGAAAATTAATGACAAATCTGATCTTTTTAAAATCATCAACATAAACAAGGACATAAGTGATACAAAAAGAAACGTATTGCCAAACTTATGAAGGGGAATGCAATCTTGAAGCGTATTTGGTTAAAAATATTCACCATAAAAATGTTGTTCCTTATGTAATTCATACTTCATTATCGTTAGCACCTACAGTTCTTTTACCATTTTGCTAATGGATATCAGGCATATATTTTGCTAAAATGTGTTTGTGTATATTTTGGTATCAGGCATATATTTTGCTAAAATGCAGTTGTGTTTATTTAAATGAGACCAATAGTAATATTTTCCTCTGAATCCTTTTAGCAGGCGCTTCAAACGAAACATATAAAGTAATGTTTTGGAAAATGGATACCTCCAGATATTACTCTGCCTAGTTATCTTAAGTTCAGAGCAAATACGGGGACGTCTTCCTATGATTGGTTAGGCTAATCCTAGATTCGATCGGTGCCACTCGAATGTCTGAACCATGTAATCTTGTTTGATAGACAAGGGCCCATAGGGAATATTAATACAAATCATAATTTCTAGGATATAATTTTCTTTCCCTGTAGCTGTCACAGTTCATCAAGTGTGTCAATAGACAATAAAATCCATATATCTACGAATGGTATGGTATGTTAGAATAATGTGAAATTTCGTTCATAAGCTTTCAGAAATTGTCGTTCCACATTTTCAAAGAACGAAAACTTGAGAAATGTTGTATGGGCACTTGGCACTTGTGAGGGTTCATCTGCCCATCTATCAATTTTAATTGTATCTTTATTTCTGTTATTTATATTAAGAAAACGTGTAAATATCCACATAAAGTGTGAAAATCATTACCAATTTAGTGTCTATTGCACAATTATACTGAACATACGAATTTACTACCTTTTAAAAGGAGGGAATTGAAGTTAAGGAGTACAGCTGGTCAAAACTCGGGGAAACTAGCTGTTCTTGTGATATCCCAACTCGTGGATCATCTCAACTCCAGAGTTAAATAGATGTCAGCAAGCAACATCTTTATAGATGGATTTGTGAAATAAGTTGTGGATTTCATGAATGCGAGCTACCCTAACCATGTTTAGCCACAACAGAGGTGATCATTGATAGTAGTCGTGTAAAATTTCCACACATTTCCCCACTCTGTTGTTTACCTGGTCAGAGCATGCCCCGCTTTCTTCATAGAGAAATAATGAACAAAGTAAAGAACCGTATGATAAGACATGTATGTATAAATGTTACTGACTGCAGAAGACCGTACGTTTGCCGTAGCAAAAACTGGGATTTAAATATCAATGGCGAAACTAGTTGAACTTCGTCTAAAGTGCCACACTTAATCAGGTTGGTGAAGAACATACATTAATTGCCAGTATAAAATGAACATATTAAGCGTACCTCCCATTCCCGTAGGACAGTTGCTGGATCGCCTGTCGTTTCACTACTGAAGACATCATCACTGACACTGCTCACACCACCTGGTGGAGAGGAGCGGGTAAACGTCATAGATGTCACTGTGTTCGTCTTCTCGGCTGTCAGCCGTTCAAGCTCCCTTTAAAACATCGGATATTAAACCATATAATTGTTATTGATTAATATTTACATTTCATTTAGTCAATCAAGCAAGCCACCAGAGTTCAGATATAATATACTTCAGGATATGCAAACGTATGTATCATGTACAAAATGAAATTAGTGAGATTGCAATACCTCTGTGCAACATCAAATCTATCATTTACAAGTTCAACATGTTCCCATGTACAAAATAAAAGTAGTGAAAAGATCGTTTTGCAATACCCTGCGCAACATCAAATCTATTATTTACAAGTTCAACATGTTCCCATGTACAAAATAAAAGTAGTGAAAAGATCGTTTTGCAATACCTCTGTGCAACATCAAATCTATCATTTACAAGTTCCAACATGTTCGCAGTGACACTTTGTTTGCTGTCTAACTGGTCTAGTTCTTCAAGGAGCTCCTTCTCCCGTTTTCTAAAGCCATCCTTCATTAGTTCTAACTCATCTCGAAAGTGTCTCACTTGGTCCTCTAGGTCGACATTGTCCTCTTCTCTACTCTTAACGATGATAAAGAGGTCAGCTGAAACAAGACATGTCTACGTATACGAATTCTTTAGAAGCACTATTTTAGTTTGATTGTGCTCATCAACTGTTCCCCTTGCGTTTTCCTCTAAAACTATGCGGATGGGTTGATATATACTATTTGAAATTATGAAGAGGACAGTTTACTTAGAGGACAAGATAAACGAGTGTATTTCAAGATTAAATTATGCACCCAAATAAAACGTGAAACCAACAGGCTTACATACTACACTTCAAAGAATTCAAATGACTAAAGATTAAAGGAGGAAGTGTATGAACCTTAGCGAAACATAGCCAATATAATGGAATTGTATTTAATTAGAACAATAAACTTCATCGAAGGGATGCATTTGGACTTACAAATCTCTTCCTCCATTTCTTTAGCTTTTTCCCTGAGCTCACGAACTCCCAATTTGTCAAACTGAATTTTAGACTTTTTGGAATCCACTTTCCGTTTGGATTTATAGTTGAGCAGTTCCCTGGAAAGTTTAGAATTTTCTGACTCTAAGTCCGCCACCTTTTTTCTCAATATTGATGTATCGTGTTCATGAAGACGCAGTTGTTCTTGTAAGTCTTTAGATTGAACTATGGAATCTGACAGGCTACCCTGAGCTTTGGAACACTCCATTGTAACAGTTTGTGAGCGATCACTGAGGTCTTTGCATCGTTCTTTGAGACGTGTGTTCTCATCCTGCAATGATCTCAGACGCTGTTTAAGCTCCATTGTCAGAACAGCATCATCATCAGATTGCATTGCTTCAATGGAAGTACCAGACCCTACTTGTCTGGAAGAAACTTGCTCTAGTTTTCTATTCCTAGATATTAACCTCTCGTTTTCGGATTCTAACTGGGCTAACAAACTACGTAATTTCAACTCTTCCTTTTGGTAAGAGTCAATCTGTCTTTGCATATCTAATTGTTGCTCAGAGTCTAAGGAATGACTTTTTTGTAACTTCGGTCGATTGGATTTTGCTTGCATATGAGATCTGGCCACCTCTGAAAGGCGTTCGATTTCTCGATTTTTCTCAATGATCTTCCATCTGAGACTGTCCACCTCCTCTGTTAACAGGCGGATCTTTCCATCGTAGTAGCTATCGGGGAATGGTGAAGACATGGAATCGCTTGAGGTACTCTTTAAACGTTGCTGTAGGAACTTAACTTCAGATTGCAGATTGTCACACTCTAGTTGCATATCGCTTATTTTCCTTCTGAGCATACTAGCTTCTTGTTCAGCTAGTTCCATTTGTAGCTTAAACTCAAGCTCCTTCTCAGTCAGAACCTCTGGATCTTCATCTAGGCCTAATGAAGATTTCTTCCCGCCAGTCTCACGGAATCTGGTTGACCTTGCAACTGCTACCTTTTTTAGTTGTAGCGACAGGCCTTCGTTCTCCTCTTCCAGGTCACTTAGCTTTCTCCGCATGATCTTAGTCTCTTCCTCTGCATATTTTAACTGTTCTTTCACATCTTGTTCGCGCTCCATACTGTCAGAGAGGTCCCTCATCAGCTGCTGGGCGTCATACTCATATGACGACTGTGCACTACCCGTCCTGGTTAACCGCAACTAAGGAAACACAGAAAATAATTGAAGTTTATGTTAAAATGTTGCAATTTAGACGATTTAAAGAACAATAGGTTTGGGCAATGCAAGATATCGTTGTTATGCTTATTAGTTAATGCACAAGAAATTTTCATAAAAAGGATGGAAATTCAAAAGCACACAATCAAAAAGAAATAGATAATAAACAAATTGGAGGACTTACTGGATGCTGTAATTTGAACCTGTCAATGTTAGAGATGTTACTAGTACTCAAAGACTGAAAGCAAAGAAACAAGCACTTTTGTAAAATACGAGCCATAGAAAACAATACACACAACAAAGACACTCCGTCCTGTTAACGCTGACCCAACATTAATCGTTGATGTACTTGTCACAAAAACAATACACACAACAAAGACACTCCGTCCTGTTAACGTTGATCCAACATTAATCGCTGATGTGATATATGTTGTTAAAGGTCTTGAATGGGATATATGCAGAATTAACAACATAAACAGTTAGCATCGACAAAAGATGTCTCTATACTTTCCCGATGCCTTGTAGAACATAAAGCATAACATAAAGCGCATAATCGTTAATCATCTGTTAATTGAGCAGCAGAACGCAGCAGGCTAATATAACATAATCATTTATTCTACCAAAATACAACAACAGCAGATGTATATTTTTATATCGAATAACAAATCAATGCTATACTTGATATTAGTTCCCTGTACAAAGTGTACAATGTTGTATCAATGCTTCCCTAACGTTAGAATTCCGTTATAATAATATTTGACAGATTAACCCAAAGGAACATATATTGATTGTTTCTTACTGGCATATCTAAGATATAGATAAATCATAGAACAATGAAATATGGAATGTCACCTTTTTATCAGAAAATGTCGTCTGCTGTGAAGTTTGGGCGGGAGAAGACGGACTACTGGCGCCATCTGGGGTTGGTCTTTCCATAGACGTAAAGGCTTCCGAACGCAATTTGATCAGCTGCAATACATAAGAATGAATAAACAAATGTTCAAAGGATGAGACAGTTTTTTGTTTTCTTTTGCAACAACATCAGCACCTGGTAAGTGATAAAAATAAGTATCGGTAACGATTGCACTACTTTGCATCTACCCCGTGATGTTGCTTCTGAACGCGTAACCATGGTAACACATTTTATGTTAGTTGATTCAAGTAAAATGTTTTGTTAGATAATCATACTGTGATATATAACTTGAATATCTTGAACTTATCTCACATTCTCCAGAAATAACAGTTACTGAGAGGAAGTGGATCGCATTATAAAATAGCGTATGCCTACAGCCAATTTCAACATTGCAGTAAAGGCGATAGTTTTCCAAGTATATGTACCATATATTATAGAACTGCGGGAATCCATCGTTTCAACACTTGCAATCAATTTTAAGATAAATATTTAGAATATTAAAGAATCTGTATTCATAATTATTGCATCAATTTAGCATACTGGCATATGTGCCAATGGATGTTATCTATTTCAATCAGGAATTTCTATTACCGTACAGTTCGGAATGCTGTTCATATAAACAGAAACATACGAACAAGAATACGGCTGTAAGGGTTAGGATGCAGTGAAGATGAGCAACGTTTTAACCTGTTTACAAATGTACACATGTACGCGCATGTGCTAAATGGGAAAATAGTCCAAATAACGAAAAGATATAATAAATAGTAGAACTATAAGCAGGAAAAAGAACACTGGTCAAAGGGAATCAAACCCCAACACCTAAAAGAATAATCTAACGTGCGGGGAAACAATGTCCAACGCCCGCTTCCACCCCACCCTTCATGAACCATAGTCATAGTCCAAATCCATTAGAATATGAGACTGTTCAGTATTACAGGGTGAGACAGAAAATATCACACACATAATGTCGAATAAAATGTGGGTCGCATTTTGTGTCGCCCTGTACTTGAGTCATTACAATAAAAGAGAACATTAAAAGACTGATACATTAAGAATATTTGTGAACACTAGCACAAGATACAGCCACAAAAGAACAGTATCAATTGAAACAATATCGTATGTGCCCATCAAACTACTGAATAAAAATACTAATGTAGCATAATTTTATAAGAACGAATGAGATTTGCTACATCTCGTTTACAAGTGAATGGAAGACATGGCATTTGTACATTTCATACGAACACTATCTCTTCTGAAAAATGTGTCTATTTTCATCTTGAGTGGTTCAGAATATTTTGTAGTTTGCGGTTTTTATGCCTATGTGGATTTTGAAACATTTTTTTATGTTGGATTACATTTGTGCGTTCAGTGGTTCTTCAGTGCTTTTTTATAGAATAAAATCTGGGTTTGTCCTGTTGATTCATTATTTTCTGGAAGTTCTTTTTCAATTGGTTTCATTTTCTGATTAAGTTTGTAATTAGTAATATTATGAAGGTACAAATGTTCGAGAGGCAAGCAAACTTGTAAAACGATCAGATGGCTAACAGCCAGAGGTAACAGTTACTGCCTTCTATCTTTGCATTTTGTACATATCTACAGTAAAAATAACTTTTTTATTAGACCAAGGTACAGTTGCTATTCTTTATAAACATCGTCCTCTTGGCAGCAAATTTTGGTCGTTGTGTTATGTAAAGATTTAACAGGACACAATTTGAAAATTATTAATGCAAATCAGTGTGCATGAAAGAGGGATTTGCCGGAAATAATTGTACTTTTTATGCATATATTTTCATAACTTTTATCAACAGAAGATGTTCTCTTCTTTCTAAAATACAAATTCATCGTGAAATTCATCAACTAAAAATTCAGATATTCTCCATCACTTTTAATACAAAAACAAAAACTAAAAATATCCAGTGCTAGGACCAATAACCCAAACTAAACACCAAAGACCGACCTCCATATCGTTATACATCACGGCTGTTTCCAACTGAACTTTTAATCAAATCTCCAGCTTTACTCCATGCAGCAGTAAACAAAGTCGCAGATTTATTCTGCCATTCAGTTACATGGGACTTTTTTACAATTAGGTCAAGTTTAGAGTCTAAATGCTCAGAATGTAGTGATTTTAATTTATTCACTTTTTGATGATTAAAACAATAAAGGTATCCTTTATATTGTCCATCAAGAATTACATGACAGCACCATATAGACAAAAAGTTATGAATTACTTTAGAACATGTGTATTTGGAAAAATATGCGGGGATATACCAAGATATCAAATATCTGCCTATGCTATAACTGCTGCAGACATTTCTGCTAGGGCTATTTACATGATGTTCAGCAGATTGCCCTTGCATATTATTTAAGACTGAAATACAGTTTTGTTTAAATGCCTTTAAAAGAACTTATGATAGGGTCAATTTAAAACTTTTGCTAACAGTATTCTTATAAGGTTTATCTTCATAAGGTGTATGTTTTTATAAAAGCATAACTATTGATAAAATGCGTCAAGAATTGAGAGTGAAATTGACTTACCAAATTGCAGCAAGGGACTATGATTAAATACCCATAAATGCGCTAATGCTCATTTCTAATCCAAATGTTAATCTAAGATAGATACTATGTTATGTAAAAGTCAATCAATGAGTCACTTCAATATCTTTTTACTTTCTTCAACTTTACCCCCTTTATTTGTGGGGTAATATCCTGAAATTCTGGTTGCTGTTCAGTTCTAGTGATCATTGATACGCTTGATTTTCTCAGCAAATGATGTTGTTAATGATGATCATTGTCTTATTAATGTCATGTAACATTTACTGCCTATATATGTAGGGTGATAATGCGCCTCATCTAATGTTACATGAATTCCTTCTTTCGTTTTGATATTTTCAGTTACCTATTTTGCATTAATTGGATTTACCTTTCTGCTTTTCTGTAAATGTTTAGTTTTGAATGTAAAACGCTTTTTGAACAAAACCGGCAAAGTGATTCTATGGATTTTGAAAAAAATTCCAGATTCATACTTGTTTATTTAATGAAGGCCATACTAAAATCCATGTTCTGTTACAATTTACAAAGTAAGAATCTTTAAAGGAGAATGGTAACTTCAGGGAAACTAAACTTTAAGACAAAGGGGTGCTGTCATGACTTCTAAATATAGTTGTGTATATCTTGAATAGTTCTTTCCTGTGGTGTGTCATACTTTAAAAACAAATCTCAACTTTTTTAGATAGAGGGGTGAGAAAGTATAGACTTTACACAGATTTATGTTCATTAAATGATACCAGATTTGATCAGTTATGTCTCAATTCCTTGAACCCCTTCTAGATGTTCACATGTTAATGTTTCTACCAGGAGCAATTAGACTGTCAACAAGTTAAACAAAGTGAATCTAGCTTGATTTATTGAATGGAAGGAATACATTGAGGGGGAAATGCTACACAACTTTAGCTAAAGAATGAATGACCCAATTTAACCGGATATGGCTAAGAGCGCATGCTCAACATCTGGTTTAGATTAACAGTCAGAATGACCTGAACTTAAGGACAAGTATTAAAGATGCCAAAAACAAGCCATTTAAACAGCCGTGACATATGAATCAAACTGGTAAATTAGTGAATAAAATAAACTAATTCAAATCTGAAAATCCCTCGAGTAACTGGAGGTGGTACAGTAGTGTTGAAAACATATGTCACTAAACCAGAAAATGGTCCTATCTTGAATCAATTACACTCAAAGTGAAAGATAAATAAGATATTTATGCACTCAAAGAATCAACGTTAATTTTCTTACGTTCCATAAATAATTCAGAAGAGATTACAACAGGCATACCAATCCACTATAAGTTTTGTACATCACGCCACTCGATACCATATCACCACTCCCAAGGTGAATACATACAACTCAGATGATTATAAGTAATTCCCTTGGAACTGGAACTTCATTTTGGAACTAATTTCATTGGTTAGATACACTATTTTTAAAAACTCCTAGAAAGTGCATGTATGTCATACTTCGTTCCTTCCATGAAAGGAAATGAGAGCCCAGTATAGGTCATCATCAAATAAAAAGCTTTAGGAGTCTATATACATAGACTATGTACCGCTACTACAGTACCAATGATCTCATAGTTTTAATGAATAATATAACAGGACAAAAGAAGCGATGATGATAGATTTACAATCAATCAAAAGAATACGTCAGGGAAGTTACTTTAACATGAATGGTATAATTTTAGTTGCATACCTCAGATCTGAGCATATCTACTTCACTCTCGAACAGCACGCATCTGTTCTCTGACGCCCGCAACTGTTGCTGTATGATCTCATTGTCTTCTTCAACCTACAAAATATGAATTTGTTATTGGTCACATTCACTACAACATGCTTAAACAACTCACTGACAAATATGTGCCTGTATTACAAATAAATGTGAAATTAGGTCTTTATCTTTTGCATTTAGGTCCGATCGAAACCGAAACGTTATAATGTTTTTCAATCCGGGGTTATTATGGACGTGTGGATTGGACGAGACTACAACATGTACGTACAAGGTGTTACGAAATAACACTCCAATTTAAATTGAATTGCTTTGTGTCAAATTAATGTGATGTTGCGTTTTGGAGTCACCTACCTTACATCTTCTTTCTTCCACCATCTCCAATTCATCATGTAATCTAACCGATACTTCCTGTGCCATCTTCAGTTCTTCTTCGAGCTCTGCAATATGTTCATTGTCGCTAGTCGCACTCGCCCCAGTCGACTGTAGCTGTCTCAACTTATCCTCATATGCCATCTTGTCAACCTCCGTCTATAAATAGATGTAACAATCACATAAAATTGGCGTTTATGGGTCATCTATTCAGAGTAAAATAGGGAATTAAAATGACAAAATGTCAGCATTGGTTGTTGCAAAAGTGTAACTTGTTACAGACGCCAGAAATGGTGATTATAACAATATGACACTTGTTGATTGTGACATAATTATTTTCAATAATATGGTATCATCGACTATCAATAAATCACATGACAGCCTTTGGTTTCATAATCAAAACTGATATCTTCAAACAGGACCCCGGCAATCTGAAACACCTGAGAGGCGTTATTTCCTGACTTACACATCAGGTTGACCTGAAGATGATGATGTGGATGTTGTCGAAATAACAATGTGTGAATCGATGATAACCGAGATGTAAACCAGAGCAACCAATCAAGCAATGGGCATCGTTCAACACGTTAGCATTGGGGGACGCTGTTCTCCAGATAACTCTGTATCTTCACTGGTCAAGTGCCAAGGGAGAGTGTTCAACACAACCTAAACCAGTTTACAAAGATACTTTGTGATAATACAATTCATTATCTACCCTTAAGCCAAATTGCTAGTCCTCATTACAATTCATTATCTACCCTTAAGCCAAATGGCCAGTCCTCATTACGATGAAAATGTGTTTTAATGATACGAAATCGAACACTTGAAAAGGGTCATTATCGGCACTCCTTGTTATGAATGAACCAGGGACATCATGCGGGGGTGGATCAATATTATTAAACAGCATACCTCAGGAGCCCGGAACAGGACAAGTGGAGTACAAGTGCCTTGTGAAAGGAAAAAATCTGGTAGTGTTTTTATAGTTTGACAGGCTTAAATTAAAGCATGGTATAATAACAGACCCACCATGCTACTAGATCGATTGTAAATACATTGATATGAGATAATACGAATCTACATGATGCCAATTCTATTGATAATCAATGTAATTTCATTAAATAAGTCGGACTGATTGCCCTTGAGGTTGGCTTTAATGCAATACGATTTGCACTATAAGCGGTCATCGGCATCATTGAACATGCCATCTCATTCTTTCACGATGATACAAAGTGTCACAATTTGGTATTTATTACAGACGCCAAAGTCCGACCGCCAAACGCCGAACACAAAAAAGTTAGAAACTATAACAATATGTCACCACGAGTGGTGATGACATAAAAGTCAAAAGATTTCAGTTGGTCTAAATTGTATTATTACACCTTGGAAGTCGAAGATGGGGAGTCCTACGCTAATTGGTTACCATATACCAGCAAGGGTTACTGAATTATTGAAAAACAATTATTTCTATTTGTATCGTAACTTGCGAAAGTAGTTCAGAAGTAAAGTTGATTAATCAATGAATTGTTCAACCTTTTTTAATTAAGAGGTTGGATATCGATATGTAATCACTACAGTTCTAGTAACATCCTCCGAACACGGGTGCCCAGAACTAATTCACGTGCTTCTTCTTCACATGGGAAGAAGTGGATAATGTCTGGGGTGCTGCATCCTTGGTCCGAGGGTATTTCACTTCTTTTCTGAATTTAGGAATAAATGAAGTCCTCCGAACACATCTAACAAGTACGCATAATGATATTAGCCACTATTTGTATGTTCTCAAATTATGTGAAGGGTGTATTCTAGATTTTCATATCAAGATTTGATTACATAATATGACATTCATGATCCATATATCTGGGTATAATGAAGACGAAACATCAATATCAGTGTTAACACGTGTTAAAATGATTCAACGTTGCCGCACATAATGAAACAGGGGACCACCGCGAATGAAAGCTGGAAAGAAGCTATGTGGTCAGACCTGAACGCCACACTGAGCGCTGAGTGAGTGTTCTTGAACTACGTTTGTAATAACCGCATCATCTCCGACCACATGAATGAGTTTTTGTCGTTTGGGGCGGTTATCAAAGACCTGACATCACTCACCAACGCGTGCATTCTGACTTTTAAATCCGAATTATCATTCCACTGAATTTAATATTTTCGTAATCAAGGAATATACGCAATTTGATAAGACTGGCATTTTTAGTATTCAGCTAAAAGAAGTGACATTAGTAATTTGATGATTTTTAAAAATCGCCTAACATAAGCGATCCAAAAAGAAAGGGGCTTTCGGTTGCTAAACTTACGGTGGGGTTGTAGATTGATATTTTGCTCATCATAGTATGGCCTGCATGTATAATATTTTGAACTGACTTCATCTTGAGTTAATTTATCAACGTCTCCTGCACAGGTGATACTATGAACAGAGGTGCGACCTTTCCAGGGCTGTGGGTGGTATGGGACCATGGGGACAAACCATTGATTATTATTGGTTATCAGGCACAGAATATTTTCCTGTTGCAGTCAGGATATTTAATGAAAACATTCCGATTCTCAAGATCTATTGACTCACCCCTGAATTTTTAGTGCAATATTTTTATAAATCCATGTTTCAAGTATTACCAGCAATGGCATTAGCCGAAGATTATCTGAATACGTAAGGATTTCTAGCCAAAAGCCCTGGTGGCCCATCCCTTATTTTGTTAATTTATAGGGTAATTCAGGTAACATTCCAGGTAAATCGAGATTATGTGTAGTAATAGGATCTGTGTGTAACCAACTTAAGTTGGGGATTATACCAAAACATTGCCACATGTATGTATGTTAACAGTATGTGAATCCAGAACAAGACTTGGGAAAACAGTAAATACTTTTAACTTGAACAAGTTTGCTTCAAAAAGGAAAACGGCATCGGTCCCCAATTAATTCATTTGATGTAATATCGTTAGATTTAGATTCACATGTTCAAGGGAATTTTAGATTGAACAGATTTCTGAATTTCTTTCAGTAAGCAAAGGGGATAGCACAAGTTCCCAATTAATCCATTTGATGTAATATCGTTAGATTTAGATTCACATGTGGAAGGGCATTTTAGGTTAAACAGGTTTTCTCGACTTTCTTTTAGTTAGCAAAGGAGATGGCACAAGTTCCCAATTAATTCTCTTGATGTTGTATCATCTTGGATAAACACATATGATCATATGGGCTCATATGCATGTGCATGCCGTGGTAGTTTAAAGATTTTGCTTGAGTTAAAAATACAAAATTCGTGTTATTTCAAGTGAATTATTTTGTCCATAGTGGGAATGCACGTCGGGGGACAGATGGATGTTTTGTTGAGCGTTATGCTTACGTTACGTACAGCGCAACCCACTCCCCCTCCCCCATGCCACCGTACTGTTTGATGCATCGGTCCATGGGAATGTTGTATTACTTCAGATATGATTTCTATGAGCCATCTTCAGATACCTGAGTTTACAGATCTCCGACTGTTTCCAATAACATTAGTGCCTGTTAAATTCGTGATGGAAAATACGATTCTGTAAAGACATAGCTATTTTATCCTATACCAAGTAGAGTTTTAGGGAGATAAGTTGGTAAGATATATCCCGTATCCTGATTTTGAGGTTTCCATATCCAGAACCTCCATATCTCCCGCCATATCTCCCGCTTCGGTGCATATCTTCCCGCTTCCGGTAATTTCACTTCACATATTTTTTAAAAATTAAAAAAAAAGTTTTTGAACATTTTTCACATTTTTTTCAATTTTTTTTTAACTTCTTTTTTTCAATTTCTTTTGAAAATCTCGCAAACTTAAAGACCAAGAAAACGCGTACCTAAGTATGTTTAGGAATTTTGGATCTTTATAAGGTATGATGTACCTAGAACCTCAGTAGGTATGAAATACATCTGTTATGTACGGTCGGTTTTGGATCTACATTTATCCTTTTGTTACATTGTTAAACAACAATTTTTTATTTCAAAAAGTTATCAATGTTTTTAAAATTTAAAAGTGGAAATGCAATCAAATGACTTTGCAAATGATTTGTTTATTTTTACACCTTGTACTATTGAAATGGCCATATGCCCCTGAAAACTCTACTTGGTATAGGATAAAGCAGTTATGTACGGTCGGTTTGGATATTGGGTTCATCCCTCGTGAGATATGCACATCTACCTTCGGTCCCTCAGGTAGATATGCATATCTCCCTCTGGATAAAACCCATATCCAAAACCTCCCAGTACCTAACCCTTATTTATTTGAAGAATTTGGCGTAATGAAACCGCATCAGAAAACGCAAGGGAAAATTAAAACAACATAAATACATGTACCAAAAAGTGAAAATGATAAGACCGTCAACAAAAAAACATGTATCTGCTATTCATAAAAATCAATCAGTACGGTGTCATGAGAGCAAACCACGAGATAAAATCTCAGGTAAACGGTTGTGCAAGATAACTAATGCAGAAACACCAAGCGCCGGAACCATAACGCCGACAGTTATCATATGGGTTATTACCAATCTGCTTGTATCTGTATTACACAGTCGGACACAGAGCATGGAGTAAAAATAAATCATGCTGGAAATAGCTGAACCGCACATGTGAAAACTACTTATCTCTTTCGGCGAAAGTTTTATCAGGCCTACACTGTATATGCTACCCTACAACAGTTAACCAAGGTTATTCCTGAATCTAGTAAATAGGCCAGAAAGATAATTTACAGGTGCATCTTTCAGTAGATGTATTACAGCGGACTACAGTGCTAAACCAGACATGACTGATTTTACAGCTGTTTTTGCCTAGCATTAGATTGTGCATTTTGTTAACCCCAAAGAAGTTCGAATTGTGTACCGTGGACAAAGTTAGTTATCTATTAGATCAATAAAAATGTTTACTGATGGGTATGTTATTGGTTTATATTCAACAAAGAGGTGCTTTATATTCTGGTATCTATATGGTATGTAACAGTGGTTAGGTAAACACGTTTATCACATATTAAAAAATATTCGCATATCTTTATGTTTTGGCATGCACCAGAAACAATGGCCGCATTCGAACCTTATCCTCTTATCTCAGTAATAGACGCAAAAAATAAGATAACTTCCTCTCATTAAAATAGGCCCACGTATGCATGTAAATCACTGATATAAACGTAATGCTGCTTAAAATCAATATGATGAGGTTGCATACGTTCATGTGGCATCAATTTAAAGGGAGAACCAGATCTAGTGAGCAAGCTAAACAAAAAACTGTTTCAATTTTAAAATATTTTAAGTTCGCATCATTCCTTGTCACGACTTTTAAAAAATCCCCAAAATGCATACATGTACTTTATTTCAGGATTTTTACAATAATTCTTTCTTTAAATTTGTATGTACCATTTTCATTATTTGGGAGAACCTAAACATTTTCCCCATTTTTGCACTTTGATTCCTCAATAGCTTCACCAATTTGTAATATAACCTGAATCATTTGGGAGATATTGTATTAAAATCATAAGAAATATAAATATATTGGTGGGTGAATTGTACATGTTGCTTGTAATCTTGTCACCACCTTTAGATCTAAATCTAACCTTTAACAAATACCTATCTTTTAACTTGAACGCGCCTGGTTCGCTCTTTTGACCGAAATATAGGCTATACTTGCTTCTGTTCGTGTCAGTTAATAACGCAGATGCGAGTAGGTAGTTACCAGTTTCACCACCAGGTGGCTCGTTCGGGTCAGATAGCATGGCGGGTATAGTAGAAAGTTCCCTTTAACTTAAATTACATCTGTTTTAGTGGTTCAATTTTCATATAACCCTTATGTATCTAATAGTTATGCAAATCAAAATATGTCCAGTAAATGAAAATGTTATCTGACCAATACAAGAAAAGATATTCCACTTTTTGTGATTTCGTAACATGGGCTCTATGGAGAATCAACCCGAACTAGAAGTCACACATTCAAAAAGAATTTAATTTTCAAACTTGATAAACAATTTTCGAAACCATATTTTAGATGTACTTTTACATGTAGATTTCAAATATAACATCGCTTTTTGACTGAATTTTGAATATTTAATGGCGTAAATCAAGATTTTTTCTACTCGCATCTAGTCTATTAATAATGATTTCTTAGTTTTTTATTTTTATCAGTGTGTCTAGGCCTATAAGGGTATGGTATTGCTATTTATGCTTCCCTGAGTTTCTCAACATCCATATATTTTCAGATAAAGCCAGAATCAATCCGACATAAAGATGCTATATCAAGATATCGCCGAGTAAAAATTCCGTGGCATACTGACACCATGCAACAACGTGTACAAGCAAGTGTACAGTATGCAACGTTCAAGTTGTCAACGTTGCAATTGCAAGCAGAAAATCTCTCTCTAGTTAGCGTGTGACCTCAGGGCGACCTTTGACCTCGACCCCATGTTGGAGCATGGGCGTATTTTTTTTTCGTATGACCGCGGTACAAGTTAATTTAATACGGTCTGAGCGCAATGGTCAAGGTGATAGTTAAACAAACAGATAAACTGTCAGACCTCTTCCGAGCTTCAAAGTAAGATACAATGTCAGTTTGACTGACTAGATTTGTTTACAAATAGTCTACACGATCGCTACCTGCCTACAGATTCTACGAAAGTTCAAAGTTCTTGCATGTTTTATCCGCCTGTAGACTTGTCATACCTGGAGGCCTAGAGAAAAACACATCACATCAAAACAGACGATTGTTTCATTCCTAAAGAATTTCCTCAACAATGAAAGAATAAACAACGTACTTAGACCAAGTGGCTTTTATCTAACAGTATTAAGTATCTCTTTGGAACATCGTGTCATAAGACGTTACTTGATTCAGTAACTGGCACCCACCGGTGAACATTTTGAAGGGATGAGAGATAAGGATAACCTCGGTATGAAGATGAGATGTTTTTAGATGCTCATTCTTCGAAGAATGGTAATAGTAAGAATCGGATGGTTTTATTGATTCTACCAAATATTGTTTTATTGGGATATGCTGAAGGGTCATTTTCCTCGTAAGGGTTGACTTAATCTGGCATACTCTGGGTTGGCGCTTTGGAATCCATTTGAGAAAAGGAACGTTACCCATGGTTCAATTTTGAAGAAAATTCATTTTTGTGTATTTTCATGGGCTTCTAGTTGAAAGCCCATGATATTTTCCAACAATAAATATTCACTTTTTACAACCAGGAGAGGTGAGAATTGAGAGCTTTAGAGTTGTTGTTGGTTTTATCGTTAGATATACTTTATTGGGGTTTGTGTGTATTTTGATCCTCCTAATGCTACCTGTGATTTCTATTCATACTTGTTAATAGATTATAACAACTGTCATAACACAAACAAGTGGTATTCGAAGTGGAGTTTTGTTTGAGGCTAATAGAAATTCAATAATATACCTGTTCCCTCAGGCGTTCAGCCTTTCGAAGCTTGAACTGCAGAATTCTAACGTTTTTCGATGTCATCTCAAGTTCTTTTTGGAGTTCCCTATAAAGAAAACATTACATCAGATCAATATAGGCAATGTGTTTACAAGTTCTCAAAATTAACAGCCTAACCAGAGCACTCATACATATCGGATTTTATATCATGGAATTATTCAATGTAATTGATTATACAACTAGAAACAACGCTTGAAACCAATTCGAAGCGGCGATGTGTGGATTACCGATTGTGAACAAGTATACAAACAGGCTCTCTCAAGCGGTTAGCCTAAACTTCAACTTGCTTATGGAAATATATTTATGATAGTGATTATTACCTAAATTCAAGAGTTTCTTCCTCTCTAAACTGATCCTGCATCTCTTCCATTTCTTGCTGCATTTCAAACATTTCCTCCTTGATACATTGATTCTCTTCCCGTAATTCATCGCAGATCTTTTGCAACTCATCCATGTTATCTTCAAGCTCTTGAATGACAGCATTTTTGTCTTCTTCCTGGGAGTCTCCTGATTTTGTCCTTTCACTCTCTGGAAGGCTTGATTCCATAATTTTGTCCCTGAGCGTACAGTTTTCACGGTCTAGCGTTCTGAGTTGATCCTGCAAATCACTAATAGCTTTTTCATTTCGAAGATTTATCTCTTCAAATCGTTCTTCCTTAGCCATAAGGTCATCGTCGAGGTCCATGTAGTCCTGCTCGAGCGAGGCATATTTGTCCTCAACCTGCGAAAGTTCCCGTTCAAGATCCCGAACACTTTTCTTTGATCCTTTATCATTTTTACTACTTTGCTTATCATCTTTACTGAGTGCTTTAGCGCCATTATTCCCCGCTGAAGGCGTCTCGGAACCTAGTTTTAATTGGGTCCTTGGAGACATTGTCTCAGCTTTTCTAGCTGCCCGGCGTTCCATACTGTTTTCCCGTCTTACCTTTTTACTAACTCCATCTTGTTGCTCAGACTTTCCCTGCGAGGAATATAATACTGATGATTTAACATTGCCAGGTGCGCTTGTCATTTGAGCCGAGGATTTATTAGATCGCTTATCATCTCCCGAAGTGTCCGAAATATCGTCTCTCCTCCGGCCAACTTTATTTGAAGCCGGCGATGTTGGTCTCATAGACCCAAGTGCACGACGGCTTGGACTTTGACCCGGACTACCATTTGCCGTTCGTGTACCTGTTCCCCTAGCCTTGTTCCTCGCACCACCACTGCCGACGCCCCCTCCCGCGCCATTGCTATCTCGTTTCGTATTCACGTCATTAGTGCCTGTATCAATTGCTGTTTTATCCTGCCTGCTGTTCAAAGAACTATTTTTACTACTATCATCAACATTTTTATCTCCATTTTTGACCTTTTCGACAAGCTTCTGGTCGGTGCTACGACTACTACTGGGAGAATGAGACCCCTCACTACTATTGTGTTGTGATTTTGTCCGGAAACAATGTTTACACATAGATCGCCTCCATGTTTGTGATTCGAATCCTGGGCATTCCTTCTTAGGAGCTTCCTTTGCCTTTGAGCTCATTTTCCTTAAGAACACATCATAATTCCTTATCTCTGGTAGTCTTTTACTCTTTTAATAGCCAAATGCATGTTGTTTTTCTGTGGCAGCTAGGTGATATGGACGGGACTACGAGGCCAAGGCTAGGCAGGTGAAAGCAGCAGCAGCAGACGATCTACACGAACATCCCATTCATATCATACTACGTCACTCGTTCTTATTGACACCATTTACCTTTTTTGGAAAAGGTTAAAGGTAAACCGTATATTTGGATGCACAGTAATCCAATCCAAGCATTAGCTTTCGATATCTGCTTGGAGATTGTATCAAGGATAAGCTTCCTGCAATCTCCTTCCAGCAGTGTATACCAGCGCTGTTTGTTTAAACCATTATGATAATCCCAGATTATCCCTACTTGTTACAGATCCATCTATTTAGATAATCAAATACAAATAAATAATTTGTGTGAAAGGTATGTATCGATTGTTCAAAGTATGATCATGCCATCTTTTCTGTAATATTCTATATATTTTTGAATGACATTTTGGACCCTCTGGTTTGTGAAAGTTTCCAAAGAAAGACAACATGGACTTACATGTTCCAATTTTCCAGTCATTTTGACTTTATGTCGATGATGATATTTTATTAAATTTCGTAGCCCTAAAATATGAACTTTCTGCTGCGGCGTGGAAGAACTGAAATCTACCGATGTGTGTGTAACATGAATTTTGTACCATTTGTGAGCATAGAATGAAATATTTGTTTTATTATATCAATTTCATTTATGCCCTATAATCTGAATCTATGAGCAAGCAATGTGCAAGTCCAGAGGTCTTTCATCAATTCATTGACCGATGATGATCGATATGTGTGAAAATTTTTGGTATTTTTGATCACATGATATTCATATTTTCCTGCAAAGCAATTACTTTTAAAGTCAAATAATTGCTACCAAGGTAAGTATTACTTTGATATGACCGACATTCTGTAGCATGTAAAAATAGTTTGGTTTATTTTATTTACATATATATTATGTACATTACCTTATCATCCTTACATTAGTTTCAGAGCAAGTCACATTATATTCTTAGAAAAGGCAGAAACTAATAATATCTCATTTTATATCCATTTTGCAATGCTATTTTAAAGGCAGAACTGGTAGCAGAACAACTGTAAACAATATGTTTCTAAAGTAGCATGTTTGAAATTGATTGGATTATTCAGTTTTTCCTTTTTATAAATACACTACACTTTTCTAGCAATATAAATATGCATCAACAAGTCATTTAGGTACAACCATGAGGTGTTCCCTTAGCTGAAAAAGTGTTACCTGAGCCGTTTATCTCAAAACAGGTAGACAATTTACCCATTAGCATACTGTAAATGCCCCATCAGATCAAAATATCCAATGACTACTTTAAGAGAAATTAGCAAGGCATTTCAAATTATCCAAGTATTGGATGCAGCTTCAATGTTGGGCTCGGATCACTGCATGAGCTACAGCTATATATAAATCCAGTTTGTATTCACACCATGGTGATCGCAGCAAGTAATAGTTCTTACTAGTGTGTGTAGATTAAGATGCAATTTATTTCTTTCCAAAGGTTTCATTAGATGACAATAGAGCAAATGCCAACGACTCCACTGCAAAACAGAAAAGGTATTAATAATTAATGGCACAACAACATTTTCAGCTCACGCGGGTGATCTATTGTAATCACCCACTTGTATTTGCTGTTTGTAGCATTCATTTATATGTCCAAATGTTTTGTTCATTTCATTGTAGAGCAAATGCTCCTTTTGAGTAAAAATTGGAAATGTTTACTCTATAGCCCTCACACCAGCTTCTACTATTTACACCCTCAAATTCCCACATTACTGAACTGCTACTCCCTCTTCTACTCTATTTTCCCCTATAACTGCTCCTCCTCTCTATTTCCCTCAGAGTTTTAGGAAGACGGAGTTAGGAGGGAGGATAACATTTAAAATGACTTGGTGCAGTACTAAATACATGTTCAAGTGCATTACTTACAGTGTTGGAAAGAGCCTCTCTTAATAACATTGTTGAGGAATGATGTGAGGAACTGTATACATCGAGAAAAGTCAAGCTCCATCTCTGAAAGGATCTCCTCACTGGAAAATAATCACCCAATTTAATTCAAGTAATATTGAATAATTTATAATAAAAAAGTCATATGAACATAGTTCTATTTTATACGAGCATTATGTCATTTTTAAACAAGGTATTTAAATGTCTGGTGGCACATAGTTTTTAAAACTGAAGACTGCTTTACCGAAACTAAGACGTAGCAAAATTATGAATGCAAATTACAAGATTCAATTGTACAATCTTTGTTACAGACAATGAATGCTGACACTGATGTCAAATGCCAGTCACAAAAACCAATGGCTATAACTAGTTATATTTTAAAACTGGGTTCGATTTTTTCATTTTGCAAATAAATTATTTTTGTAATATTAAATAAATTGTCAAAGTATTAAATAATGTTCAGTTTTAATCAATTAACAGGAATGAGTTATTTGTAACTTTCATCAACAAAAACATATTTTGAAGACTTTCCTTTAAGACATTTTTATTTTTTGGCTGCCATTGTGCTTACATAAAGAATAGTCACAAATATGAGAATTTTCAGATAGTACATACTTGACACTGTTGATGCCACTGTCCCAATTTGCTTGGAAAGCGAACACCAGATTGAGAACTTTGAGCACTGCCTCTTTTATAAAGGCAACCCTCTGGTGCAAGAGGCACCTGTCATATATGTTGGCAATGTAGGTATTATGCAGCTTAATGACCTGGTCTAGGTCAGGAGCCTGTTGAATATCTTCCTGGAACTCTAGCCCCGTATTTTGTAAGATCTGCAATGTGATCATCAATGTGCATGTTAGTTAAATAATGTGGTACAAATCATCATCTGCGCATGCTCGGTCATTCCTGCATTCCGACCTTCGCTAATATAGCATGTACCACTGTTCCCGGATGACGGGAGTCGAGTGAACGAAGATGAGAAATCATGGGATTCTAACATTGCATGATTTAAGACAAGTTATTACTCCAATAGAAAAAGTACATCAAAGTATGTAGTGAAATCATCCAAACACTGCTCAATGTAGACACTCCGACACATTTTCTCTGTCCAAATTTGTTATCTTCCATTGACTCACATACTTAAAAAACCTTGAAATGAAAACACCTGCTAATCTGAACACTTTTGGCTGGTCCCACAGGCATTGGGATTAGATTGGTTTTACTGTACATCAAAAGTATAATTATTAACAAGGCATCAACATGCAAAATGTCACAACCTGCCATTTGTTACAGACACTGAATGCCAACTGCCAGCAACCAACCGCTGAACACCATCCACAAAAATGTTGGAGGCTATAACAATATGTCACCACTTGTGCTGGTGACATAAATATAAATTATTCCAACTTTTAACTTCAAGGTTATCGTTTTACAGTGACTTCATAAATACTTTTAAACCTTTTCGTTTAAAACATATCAAACTTACTCTTGTGACTATGTAGTTGTGGAGACTGTTAACAAAGTGCAGAAGTTTCATTCTGAACAGATGCATTCTGTGGATCAAATGTTCTGATCTCTGCCCTCCATCCTGACCTTTCAGATCTAAAAAACAGAACATTCACTAAATGGAAGCATAAGAATGTGCAACATGTTAAAAAATATACATACAGGGTATCTTATAACAACTGTCCTCAATCAACCACCGTTGCTAGATAGCATAATCCCACATGATATGTGTCATATGAAAGCTCTTATTGAATCAACTAGCTTAATAGTTTGCAGTGTACCCTGCGAATAGCTATGATATCCACACATCACAACACGATTACCTGTAGTAATGAACAGATACTGAGGGATGCTGAGGATAAGGCTCAATGAAATTTGAAAGAAAAACTTGTTATTTATTAAATATTATCCAGAGAGCTCTTATACAAGAAATAATGTACAGCAATCTGCTCGTGCTTTTTTATCTATTCTTAGCAAATAAACTGACCTATAAACCGGAGTTCATCCAAGCTGTATTTGGCACGTTTGATTTGAAGCAGGAAGGTGAATATTTGGTTGTAGTAATCCTGGCATTTAGAGCTGATCACCACATTAACAGGCCATGGGACCTACAACAGTTATCATGATATTGGAATTATACATCTTTAACTGATATACAGTAAAACCTGTTTTAGTGAACACCTCTCACTAGGGAACACCTGTCGCTAGTGGATACCCTTCCTCAGCACATACTCTACTGACTTCTGTATAAATTACCCTCTCTGTATTGAACATCTACCAACACCAAAATTTTCTTATTGGCAAGAAAATGTTCAATATACACAGGTTTTACTGTACTGTACTGTACTGTACTGTATGGTACTGTACTGTACTGTTGCATGTTGCAACTGATGACTTACGTCGCAATACATGTTTTTGGATTTTCATTTTCAAAATGATCAGTATAGATCAATACTCCATTGACACATACGTATATTAACTTAAATTTCTTTTTAGTAGGTTCATGACATTTCGAGTAGGTATACAATCCCTAACATACCTTATACAGCAAAGCAAGGCTATCTAAAGCATTCACAGGTCCTTTTATGTCTTTGGCACCCTTAGTTTCATCAATGAACAATGACAGACGTGAGGCTTCTTCAGGATGATGTTGCTGCAATGCATCATGGAGCACTAGGTTCAGATAGGACACATCTTTCCAGTCCTCGTGTAGCCGCAACTGAAACATGAATCAATGATTTTCTAAGTTAACTGAAACACAGGTGACTGAATCTTCAAGTTTATCCATGGATCATTATGTCTTCAAGATGGATCATCATGGATTCCTGAATCTTCAAGTTAATTGTAACATGGATGAATGGAACTTTAAAGTCAAAGGAATTAGAATTGATAGATGAGTTGATAAGTTTCCCAAGAATTACCAGTAGTTTGCAACATTCTTTGCTCTCACGATTCTATGTTAAGCATATTTTCCAGAAAGTCCAACAGTTCTAACTTTATCTCAGAACAATCCTTTGATTTAAATGTTATCTGGCAGAGAATTGAAAAATGGGACAGACAATTATCACTGTAAGCATTTCAAGTCAATCTGACCATGACTTCTAAAATTATCACTATGTAAAAAGGATGTTAGATGTGAGAAATGTTCACAGATCTTACCTTGTCAAATATGTCTATGTAGAAGTCATACATCGTGTCACTTGCTTCCATCAAGTAAAAATGCTGCAAATGAGAATTTAGAACTATATTATAAGTGTTGTACAGATGTATTTGAAATTGAATACACAAGAACAGTTTGATTCAGATATCATACTTGCAGTAAGGATTAAAGGATTTGATTGATTTAATCTATGGTGGTAATGTGTTCTCTGCAAGAAATTTTTATATCTTAATATATTTAAAAATTCAAATAATTAGCTATTCAAAATTTAAATTAACAATTCTGCCATGCTGACGAGTTTAAAAAATATTTCTAATTTAGTGATATCAGCAAAAATAGTAAATTTTTCTATAAATAGCTTTACCCTCATGGAGGCCAGATAATCCATTAGGTGAAACTCTTGCACTAGGATGTCAAGTAGACTCTTGCAAACATGCAGATACTTGTGTTCTATGTGAGGGTGGAGAGAGCTCTGTACAGCTAGCTGTACAGGACACATACAGTCAAGGTTGAGCTTTTTCAATTTCCTGTAACGCAATGAGAACATGACACATTTATAGAGGGTTTAGGACTAATAGGCATTCTCTAGAGCTAGACACATAGGGTACATACAGTCAAGATTTAATCAATATATACCAAAACTTTACAAAGTGTATGAAGAAAGGTTTGTGACCAGTAGGTGTTCTGTTGAGCTGGATACATAGGGTACATCAAGTCAAGATTTAGTTATAATAGGCTCCCAAAGATTTAAAAAAATATATGGAATAAAATAAGGTACAGTATAATCACCCAAGGGTTTCATCTTCTTTTATGGTTAATGACTGTATTTTCTTTTTGCTTTCCATGTTTTCAAAGTTCAGTTTCAGGAATGGATTGTGTATTCCTTTTACATACAACTGTTTGTTAATATCTTGGCTGTCAGAGCAATCTGTGGGTGCAGTTACTGTATGTGAATCTGGAGGTTGGGGGTTCTCATTATCACTGGTACTGCCCAGCTCATCTTGTAAGGATTCTATGAGGCTGTCATATAAAGACTTTTGAGTGTGTTCTTAAAGTAGAAGTGTCGCGATTAATTGAAAGCTAAAATCAATGATACAAAGGAGTGACAAAATTCCAATTACATTTTTCCAATAAATTGATTTTTCTTCATCATCACAAATAAATAAAAAAAAGATATCAGTGAGCCATTTAATCTATGCAAAAACGTCAAAATCTCAGGACATACATACAATACAAAACCTTTGGAATTTCAGAATATAGGCACTACATGAATCATATGATATGGGACAACAAAAAGATTCTGAATGAGACAAAATTTGGGGAATTTTTTTATGTTTTACCCTATCTAAATCTTCAATACCTGTTCTTCCAATAACGTCATTGAGTCGGCCAAGATTCTCCAATACCTGCATTGATTTGCCAGCAAGAATAACCTTCTCTAGTACTGGCAGTAAAAACTTGGGTACACCTTGTAGTCTTTCACTTATTGCATGTTCATTCATACGAGTCTGCTCAGATGATGCATCATCACTTTTAGATTGTTCAGTTGATGACTGAGATTTTGACTGAGAATTCCTTTCTTTTGAATATTCAGTGTCACTAGTACAGTCAATTGTAAATGCTGTTTCCCAGAATGTTTCATCTAAAGTGGACTTTCCTGTATTCCTGTAAGGAAACAAGGTAATAAGATTTATTTCAAATGGTGCAGTTCATATCTATATGCATTTTTTTACATTTTGGTCTTTACTCTGGTGGCACTTGTGGTTGCATATTTGGTAACTTGGATGTAATGCTGCTTATCATAAAAAAAATTATTCCACATGGGAGGTGTTCCACTTTCAGAGGTTCGTTGTACAAAAACAAGCGGGACTGTGAAAAGTGTTTCACTTAAAGAGGTGTCCCACTTACAGGGGTGTTCCACTTTACAGGTTTTACTGTAGTAAAGGATAAGGGTTAACTTGAATATAATCTTTTTTTTGAATTTTCTTTTCAAATTGACAAATTAAATACAGCTGTCATAAAAAATCTCAAACAAGGCATTAACATGCATATTGTCACCACCTGCCATTTGTTTGAGACGGCAATTACTGAACTCCAATCACTGAATGCCAAACACAAACCACCAAACACAAAAAAGTCGAAAACTATAACATTATTTCACCACTTATGGTGGTGATTATGTCACCACTTGTGGTGGTGACATATTACAATCTAAACTATAATTATGTTCATTCCTGACCTTCTTAAGCTTGCAAAAGTTATACCTTTATTTAAGAAGGGTAATAGAAATGTCTTTACGAATTATAGACCTGTATCTATTTTGTCAGTTTTTTCTAAACTTCTTGAAAAACTAGTTCATAAACGTCTTTATCAATTTATCGAAAATAATCAAATCCTTTACTTACAACAATTTGGATTTAGAAAAGACTTCTCTACATATATGGCAATCTTAATTTTTGTTGAAAATATTAGAACAGACTTAGAAAATGACGAGTATTCAATTGGACTTTTTCTTGATCTTTCAAAAGCGTTTGATACGTTAAATCATGAAATATTGCTTAAAAAATTAGAATTTTATGGGATACGAGATAAGTCCTTCAATTTTTTCAAATCATATTTAGCCAATCGAAAACAAGTAGTCTTTTATAATGGAACTTCATCTGAAGTTAAATCAATATCTCATGGAATACCCCAAGGATCGGTTCTAGGGCCACTCTTATTCATCTTATATATAAATGATATGTATTTGGCATCTCCCACTTTGAAATCAGTTTTATTTGCTGATGACACCAACATTCTTGCACATAACTCTAATATAGACCTACTTGTTAATAACCTTAATCGAGAACTTTTATCCCTGGATGATTGGTTTAGATCAAATAAACTATCACTCAACTATGATAAAACCAAATACATAATTTTCACAAAGAAGAAAAAGCAAATTAATAAAAATGTGAACATAAAAATTAATAATATCAATATTGAAAGGGTAAAATCAATTAACTTTCTTGGTGTTCAAATTGATGAATATCTTGACTGGAAACAACATATCAAGAATCTTGAAACAAAATTATCTTGACAATTGGAATTCTATACAAATGCAGATATCTATTAAATGTACCAAGTATGTTGGCAATCTACAACTCATTGATATACTCTTATCTCAACTATTGTATTATAATATGGGGCAGCAATTATAAAACTGCACTTGATAAAATTTTTAAAATTCAAAAAAGCTTTTTGAGATTGCTTGCTTTCAAAGATAGAAGAGCCCATACAGCTCCACTTTTTAAACAATTTAAAGTTTGGGATATTTACAATATCCACCTTTTTAACGTCGCCCAATTTGTATACAAATGGTACAACCGATTAACAGTGTTCCCACAACTTTTTGGTGATATTTTCCAAATAAATGTTAACATTCACAATTATCATACCCGCCATTGTCAGGATCTACATGCTTTTGGACATTACACCAAAGTAGGATTTTTTTCTATTAAGATTCAAGGTCAATGGATATGGAACAGTATTGAAAGGCCAATAAGAGAAAGTTCTTCTTTGAATATTTTTAAGATAAGATACAAAAAGTATTTGATAGATAAAATTTCTTTAGATTAGAGTGTATATCACCAAATATTTCATTCTGGGTCTTAAAGGCATTTAATTACAATTAATCATTTCCAGCAGTATTTGTCCTAATATTATCATCATGCTATCATACTCTACTTTATTTTTTACTGTCACTCCCCCTGCTCCTACCCAACAACTATTGATGTGCTCTTATTTATACTTATTTATTTATTTGCGCTATCATTATATTCAATTTATGTTTATCAAGCAGTATATACACCTATTTTAGGTGTCCTCTGTAAGTAATTTGTATTTTAATTTATTGTTATATGAAGGAAATAATAAATAAATAAATAAAAAATAAATAAAATAAAAATTCTAATCTAAAAAGGAAATAATGTGAACTTGTTTTTCAAAAAAGGAAAAATCAGACTGCTACATTATAAATGAGATACTCTACCTATGAATTATAAACTCCTGTTTGAGATCAATCAATGATCCATTTGTGATCCAGTCATCTAGTATTTCAATGTATGGTCTACATGTCTGTGCCCATATGCATAGCAATGTAGATACCTGCAAACAAACAATAACAAAAACAAGGTATTAACATGACAAAATGTCACCACTTACAACAATTTAAAAAGTATATATATATTTCAGACAGTAAGTGCCAATGCCAAATTAAAAACATCAGTCACAAAAAGGTGAATGTAATAATAAATTACCACTTCTAAGCAGTAACATGAACGTCGTCTCATCGTAATCTCTATCAATTTTTTTTTATATCAACAAACACATGAATAGAACCAAATGCTCCACTTACTCTGTTAGTGTTGTTGTTAGCCAGCATGTCAGACTGAAGGATAGCATCATATATCGTAGAGAGAATCCTGGCTGCTTTCTGTGAGTTACACATGGACTTGGGTACACACTCTATACCATTTGTGTAGAGGTAGTACAGGGTGTCCAGAAGTGGGAAGTGATGTTTCAACTTTTCTTGAAGTTTCATTAATGTGAAACTCTCCTCTGAGAAGTAAATAAAGAAGGAATTGAGATGCAATGAAATTTGATTTAACCTCTTGAATACCCAGAGTGACGGATATATCCGTCACAAATGAAATAAGACTGGTGCCCAGAGGGACGAGAAAATCCGTCACAAAATTTTTCACAAAAATTGCTCTCATTTGAACAATTTTCATCCAATTTACACAAAAATTGTTTTAAAACGTGTAGAAATGATCTCTGCCGTCCAATTTTACTAAGCTGAGCATCTAAAGTTGTATAGGTATGTAATAAAATGTCAAAAGGTGGCAAAAAATGAAAAATTCTCTGGTTTCATGCCAATTTTAGAGCCTGGGATTCAAGAGGTTAATGTTTACACTCCATACCAGGTTAATCAAGAATTAAATTTTTTTTAGACTGCATCATATCAATAGAACTACATTGCAGAAAAATAGTGGATATTCCAAGAATTGGAATTTTTGCATAGATAATGAGCTTATGACTTGTATAGATGACAGGTCACAACCATCACTTCCTGTTAAGTATTATTTGTGTAAATATTCAAAATACCTTGCAATATTCAAATTGAGCATATGAAATGAAACATACCTCTTTTAATGATAATTTTCTCAATATCCAATAGCTCCAGTCTAAAGGGATGCAAACTAGTCACTAATGAAGAGGCAAATGCTTGATAGGTCGAGCTGCATTCTGTATTGTCACCATAGCAATTGAAGCTCATGACATCATCAATAAATGTTTGTAATATCAGAGATATATAGCTGTATTTCGAAAGGTTCTTTAATCCCTCTGCTAGTGCTCCCTAGAAAAGTTAAATCAAATCCAAGAATGAAATCTGTAATCACAAACAAATAAATATAATCATAAGCACTCTATCAACTATGGACCTAGTTTGACAGTTAAAAACTACATTCAAGTTTACTTTATGTATTCAGTATTTTAAGTTTTTCAATTTGTTTTTTGTTTTTGAATTTGAGTTTCTTTAATCAGGTCCATGCTCTGTTCAATAAAATGATTTTTATGAACCATGAACCTTTTTCAAGAACATTTAGAAACATTGTTGTGAATGTGACATGTAACTGTTCAATATACCATGATTCACAATGACCTCTATTAGCAGTTAAGTAATAATTCTTCTAAGTACCTGTGTAAGGTGTAAAACTTGAACAGTTTTTTTAATTCTGTATTGTTTGTCAACAAGTTCAAAGAGAGATGCATTGGCAACCCCACTCATCATCCTATAATAACAAATAGATCATGGGAATAAAATGGTCAAATGAAATTTGTACATGACATTGACATGTGAGCTACAAATACCCAATCATCTTGATTTTAAATATTAAGTGTGTGATTTAGTATGATATGAAATATACACATACATTTTATGCTATATATAAGTTGAATTTACTGACCATATGAGCTCTCTTACAACATGCTCCTCTGAGACTGTCATCGTACTGGGTGGAACATACACTGGATTACTACTGCTTAAGTAAGAGGCCCTGAAATATGTGGGAAACATTCTCACAATAATTACATATGTATTATAAAACAACTACTGCATTCATATGCAAACTTGAGTATGCCTAGATTTGCACCAAGTTTGGTTAAAAAGGAGTACCGTTTGTGAGAGAGCCAAGAGTGTAAGGGGTGAAAGGAGGTATTAAACTTTAAGTACTAGAGTAGGCTCTTGTAATTGTTGCTTTTCCTGCTAATTTTAAGTTGACAGCCTTGGCCATGGCCTCTGAACTGTTAAACAGATCTTTTTCAAACTTAATCTCCTATCAAATATCCTGCAAAAATATCATCAATTTTGGTATTCAGCATAAACATATATGAATCAGATATAGGGAATTGGTATGACTTAAAGCCTGATTTGATGTTTTTTCAAATATTTGTTCTTACCAGTTTTCAGCCAGTTTGTTGCACCAATGTGTATTGAGTGTCAATGAGCCATCCAGGTCACCTCTCCAATATTGCACAATGATGTTTCTGGATAACCAGTCATTTCCTGAAGTTATAATTAACAAGTATTTGAAATGGGAATATGCAGAAAGGGCAAAAATCAAAGACTATTGCGCATCAAGAAAAAACAAAAAAGAAACATCAAATACCACAACCAGTCACCGTGAGAATTTATTTTTATTTACATGTATTAATCAATTATCTTTATTTCTGACATGTACATTATAAAGTCATCTTCGTTGGCCTTAATTTATGGCACTATAGAAGACATTGTGGTTTTAAATACAATACATTATACATGTACAACCATCCATGGCTCTCCATTAGTTTTCTCTTTCTAGAAAGCTATGAGCTAGTTTTAGTCTACTTTAATAAGCATCTAATGTTACCATGATCAGGTTGTAGAGTGTCCTGTTCCTGGGTTTCAAACGTCACATGTTTCCCCTCTCCCACAACCACACCAGAATCATCAGCATGGGGACCCAAGTCATCTTCTTCATCTGAGTAGTCCTGAATATAAAGAATGGTCCACTATTACAGTCTTTAATTATTCCAAAATGTTTTACAAAAGTTCATGAAAACGGTAAAAATAAGTACACACTTATAAGTTATAATGTTAAATATGACATGTGATATAGAGAGTAACACTCTTCAAAATTCAGCAATGTTCTCAAAAGCTTTGGCCATTTCTTAATCAATTTTTCTTAAACATAGTATCGTTTCATGCTCTTGTCCGAATAACTACTGATAATGTATTACTTTACTTACAGGAGAATCTCCGTAGTATGGTCTGTACACCTCATCCCCCTCTGTCAGGTAGGCATACCAGTCAAAAGGTTTCTCCTTTTCTGAAAACACATGTTCACTTCATGAATTTCTTCAAAATAGAAAGCAAAGGCAAGCAATTTTCTCATTTCTTAAATATAAGGGGCAGATTACTAATTTCCTTGACTGTATGTTGTACATGTACACTGTACTTCTTAAACTTCATAGTACTAATTTTTACTAATCAAAATCTCACCTCTACAAAAGGGGATGAACGAGACTAATGTTAGTTGTAGACATATACCTTGCATGACAGACCAGTAATCAGTCCACTAGCCCATTTGCAATCAGTTTTTAAGTCAATCACCAATAGAAAGGGGATTGCCAGTAGCAATTGGGCAACTTTGAGTTTCATATGCTGCATGACATTGTGCATTATGTGTAATATAATGAATTTACCTGCAAGCTGCTCTTCCTTTTCTTTGAATTTTACAGAAGTTTGGGAATCGGCCAAGTTCAACAGTAAAGATAGAATGCCATAATGTGTATCAGTCTGAAATACAAAAATTCACACATGTACATGTAATTCACAGAACCTATGTTATTTATCTTACACTAAACTCTGATGAACTTATTACAGTTGCCTACAATCATCTTGATCATCTGTAATGTTACAAAATTGTTTCTCATATTAAGAATTATTTTATTCTTTCTGATCTAGGACATCTTAAAATGGTCATCCGTGCACTCAAGTAGTATTCAAGTAATACTAATAATGTTATTAACCTTTCCATGGTCTTTCCTCTCAAACACTGGGGCGTTCAAAAAATTTTCAGTTGATTCTTTGAAGAATCTTGCCTTTTCCTCCTGTGAGTGAATGTTTAACTTCTGCTGTAGTCTGCAAAGCAAAATCCAAACTACCATGTAAATTATTTGTTGAACACAATTATTTTGTTTTGAAATCTCAGATAAGGGAATGGTCTTAATTAACGGATGATCCTAATAATCGCATGATTGTCCTAAATAGCTAAAGAAATATGAACCCGCCTCTTTTAAACTTAAAATTTGGTGTTCTAAATGATGTCACCACTAAGGTTCAACAGAAAATCATATTGATTTGAAATAAAGTTGAGTTTTGGGTGAAAACTTCATATGGCACAGAAAACACAATTTGATACAATATAAAATGATAACATTAGTAGAAGTAAAAAATGTCAATTCTTTTTTCCAATTTATTAATAAATACACAGTTGTTATAAAATTATACTGATTTTTAGTGAATATATAATATATCTGGATATTTCAAACTTAGAAGACATTTCAAAAACTATTATGTGTAGTTTAAAATGCTATTGGCCTAAGACCTTGAGCTTACCCCTCTAATGTTCTATGTATTTTATGGCTGTCAACATCTAAAAATCTGTGGAATCTGAAGTTGGATAAGACAAACTCCAAGCACAGGCCAAAGTTCTCCTCATCTTCCTATATAAAAGCATATAAAATATATGTCTGGCAGCAGCATACATATTCCTACTCAGTGCTACTCATGCGCCATTCAAGTATGTGATGAAAATTAGGAATGTGCAATGAATGGAGATGAAAAGGGTTTTTTGTGAAAATGAGGTTTTATTGAAGGCTCCCAAGACCTACCAGAGTCCTTAGTGAAAGGCAGTACTAGCTCAATCTAGAAAGTCACTTCTTTATTGAGCTAAATACTAACCCTTCCGAAGGGGGGGGGGGGGGGGGGTTCTAGAATTTCTTTTAGAGATTTACAGTAAAATTTTAAATGTTTGGAAATGCTCTGAATCTAAAAAATAAGCAATTAAGGACCATATTGAAACAGAATATATCAAAATAGAAACATTTATAGTAATGTCCTAACTTTTGTTTATTTTAGTTTGTTTGTAGTTTAGCTATCATATCTGTGGACTGTTATATTTTGATGCTTCTCTGCCATATTATTTTTCGAAAAAAACGAACATGGCTGAAACTCCCTAAATTACAAAAGGCCACAGCTTTGCTGCACATTATACATAACTATCTGAAATATACAAAAGTTAGGACTTGTACATAAATGTATGTTTCCATTTTTTCATAAACTGTTGCAATATAGCCATTTGATTGCTTATTTTTTAAATTCAAAGTAGTTCCAAACTTTTAAAATTTTACTGTAGATCTAATGCAGCAAATATGGGCCATGCCCTAAATTTCAAAACTTTGGGGGGCATGCCCCAAGACAGAGGCCATGGAACATATATAAAAAATTGACTCAAATACACGATCTGTTGAAAGCCCATGGTTCGTGTCAGCAATGATTTACAAAGGCACAATCCATTCATACTCGAAAGTCGACCCCCCCTGGGAAATTCTTCGGACAGGCCTGCAATAGTTCTTTTCCCTTTGACTATGAGATCTACCAAGGACATGTACTGACTAGATTGACCGAGTACTGACTAGATTGACCGAGGCACAGGCCCAGGAAGAGGATTTAACCCCCCCCCACTCACTGTATGATTTAAGAAATTTCTCTACCTAATACATAGTGAGTGCGAGGGGGATGAACTCTTGTTCCCGTGTCTGTGACTGAGGACCGTATATTATTTTTAACGAAGGACAGCCTATAACGACTGCTATACGAAAAATAGATGCATGAAATTACGTTTCGAAACTGAAAATGTGTTCCATGCGCAGTTGCGTTCAATCCAGCAATTTGATTAGTTCATATTATATGAACGCATGCGCAATGACCACATATTTTTCTAGATAGATGTCACTTGCGTTCATTATTTCACACCAGTCCCTTCCCATGATGCACCTAATATTGCGGGAATATTTTCCTTTAGTGATAAAACAAATTACTCTCATCTTCGAAATATGTTTTCCGTTCCTTGGCAATAATCTTTCATTTGGTACCGATCCAACCGCCGAAAAGTAATTCGAATCGTTCTGAATCGTGGGAATGAAGTACTTTCTTTTTTGCGCATGCGCATAGAACACGGGATATTCGGCCATTTTTCAACTTTCAGTTTCGAAACATAATTTGATGCATCTATTTTGCGTATAGCAGTCGTTATAGGCTGTCCTTCGTTAAAAATAATATACGGAAATGAACCTAAGTAAACAAAGAACTCTAGGAACTACCAATTTTTAACAGTGGACGTGTCTTGAGGAAGAAATCGACTCTGGAGCTAACAATTTGAGGGTGAAAATTGTCGTGTTTTGCATTTGAAATTAAATTTCATCACTTCCTTACATGTTCTTCACACATCTCAGCAACTAGTGGATGGATTGCTACCATTTTAGGTAAGTTTACTCTGTAGTGTTGTTTGAATCAGCATGTCGATTATTGAAAGGATTCCATATATTTTTACTTGATATATCTAACAATCATTTTCTACAAATTTCAGGTAGCATCAAAACCGACCACCCTTAATACTATTAATAAGCAGTAGACTCATCGGAGGGCTTGCCCGACGCCTCGAGACAAGCCCCTGTGCTGAGGACGGAGTTGAAATAATAATCATGAAATAATGTTACTTGGCATTCATATTTTGTGAATATATCATTTTTAGATATATGCAATACAACTTCAACTTATCCGTCTATCACATTGGCTAAGGGAAAAGTAGTATAAGCCCAATCTAGTCTTCTGAATGTGAAAATTATTGCAAAAACAGTGGGCGATAATATATTTTTTCATCTTTTTTGGTATAGATAACCTCAGTAAGAGTTTCAAATACTACAATAGTCTAACATAACACGTATATGATATTCGTGGATGGTAAAATTGAACAAAATCTGTATATTTTTACCTTAAAATCGGTCAAATGCTTGATTAGTTCTATTGCTCCCTTTTCAAAGTTTTGTTTTGCCCGCGCCATTTTTTAATTCTCGCATATTCTCGTTCGGAATCTTACTTTATTTCTAAGAGTTTTGCAGTTTACAATACAACCACACTTCTGAATAGATTCCCTACATTATATGAATACTATTTGTTATATGTTTATACATAACAAAAGACAAAACAATCTTTTGAATATCAACTATGAGTAAATCTCCCGATGAAATCCTGAACTCTCGCTCTACGTTCATTCCTGAAAGATGACCTCAAAGAAAAACCATAAATAAAGTTGTTTAGGTAAATATAGCCACTTAAAACGAATCATGTTAACGTTTAATCAATGAAAATTTGCAAAATGGAATCTATCTCAACGATTTTCGATCAAAGAATATGTATCCGCTCAATTACCGCTGCTCTTTTAGACTTTCAAATTCAAATCAAAATGAATTTGTTTCCTCATTTTCAGTCGTAGACGTTTTTCGTCTTAATTCGGATTGCCAACCAATCTGAATTCATTGTTTTATCATTTTACGTGTGTGTTCTCACCAGATCTTTTTTCTGTCGGTTCCCATTCACATCAAATTGAAGCTGATCGGAAGTGATTTCGAGCAATGTCAAATAGCCTAGAATCTAACAGATGCACATTCGAGCGTGTCAGTGTGAACCATAATGGAAATTGCTTCTTAAAGTCTGTGCGTAGACGCACTTACGGACTAAAAAATAAAAGTGCCCTTTGAATGTTCTTGTACCCATCCACAGGTGCTCCCTGGGTAATAAGATTGTGGGGCCCCTTTGCAAACAGAACATCTATCGACATCAATAATCTGCAAAAGAGCTCAAAAGGCTAATAAGCCCTAGATGCAGGGACAGATCTGGGAACCAACAAGGGGGGGGGGCAATTTCAGGTCAGAGAAAAAACTTCCGTGTTTGCGCGTGCAAAAACTTTGGGCCCCATAAACCAAAAAGTGGTCCCAAATTTGAGGCTCATTTTCTTCAAAATTTGGCCTGAAATTAAAAAATAAGGCCCAGTAATGACCTTAAACCTTTTGGCCCAAAATTTTTTGTGGACCCAATTTGTTTTTCTGGGCCCACCCAAGAAGGGGGGGGGGATGGGCCTCCAGCCCCCCCCCCAGATCTGCCAGTGAGATGTATCTGAATATAAACACCCCTCTTTGACCCCCACCCTTCTTGACTCCCCCTCCTCACTTCTCGATTCCAACCAATTGCCATTCATTGATTGTGCACGTTTTCAAATCCAGAGCATATACGTGGGCCTTCAAGAGAAGGGTATGCACTTCTGTTTTATTGCATGAGAACTTCAAAATGAGTGGTGCCATGCTTCCCTTTTTTGATGATATTTCAAAAAGATGCTCCCATGGATAAATGGTTTAGCATTATCTTGAAGAACAAGAAAATCAAGTGAAAATGACACTAGAAAAATACGAAGGCCATAATGCTATTTTGACAAAACTGATCCACTTTTTATGGAAATACCACAGAGAAAGACAATGAACAAACTACATTTTACTGCTTGTTTTCTGTTTGCTAGGTAACATGTTAATGACGTCACAAATTAAAATATAATAAACACTGTGATGTGTGACGTTTAGCTTTCTTGTCTATTTAGTTGATAGGGCAATAAGTAACTGTTATGTATCTGGTTTCAGTACTGGTCATTAAGACATGTAAGATATCTGATACCCTTAACTGAGATTACCATGCTTATAGCAGACACTTGTAAGTCTGGCTTCCTACTAGAAACACATTAACTATGTAGTTCTTATATTATGTTTGATGTATAATAAAGTCTTGATACAAAACACAACATGATGTCAGATGTGGTCTCACATGAATAAGTAGATCAGAGACAATAACAATGGCAAGTGGATACTCAAAGATAGTGAAGGAATTAGACTTTTATGGCCCTAATCTCTCAGAAGATTGGAAGAGATGGAGAGAACTTATTGAATTAATGTTTGATTCTCCTGATGCCACAAAATGGAAAGAGCAAGAGAAAGCCGCTCAAATTCTCCTTCTCATCGGCGAGAAAGGAAGGGACATTTGCAGATCGTGGATTGCCACTGGGGTACTTTCGGAATCACAAAAGAAGGAGTCTAAAACCCTCCTTGATAAATTTGAGGAATATTGTACACCCAAGAAAAACAGGTCGATCCAGAGGAAAATGTTCTATGAATGCTACCAGTCGAAGGATGAGTCTATTGACGAGTTTGTTACAAAACTTAGACTTATTGGCAGAGACTGTAAATTCCCCGATCTTGATGAGATGATCGCCGACATGATATTAACACATTGTCATTCAACGCAAGTCCAAGAGAAGCTACTAAGATACGAGGAGGACCTCACATTAGACCATGCTCTAAAGATAGCACGCTTATACGAGCAGAGTAACGTCCATAAGAACTCTCTCAATTCCCGCACAGAAAGTGGACATGAGGAAGTCAGTATTGTAAAGAAGTCGCAGTCACAAAGGTGTGACAACTGTGGACTGATACATAGAGGAGGCACGTGTCCTGCGGCTAATGAGCAGTGTAACGGATGTTTAAAATTCGGGCATTTTAAGAGATGTTGCCGTAGTGGGAAATCTAGTGAAAAGGACTCTAGACAACGGAGGCAAGGCAAATCTGGAAAACGTAGAAACCCCCGAAAAGTGAACCAGGTGGAGGAATCAGTATCTTCAGAAGATGAAGTGTACTTGGGATCTGTAACCACTGAAATCCCAGACACCCAGACATCAAAGATAGCCCAGATTCCCGCCAAAACCCCAGATATACCCAACTCAAAATCCTGGATTATACAACTAAAAACAGGTGGGCACACCCTTACTGCTAAGGTGGACACAGGTGCCCAGGCCAATGTGATCTCACATGCACTGTTCAAGAGGTTAAGACACCCCCCTATGAAAGCTTCTACCACAAGGCTATTTACCTACAACAGGCAGCCCCTGGACGTCATGGGTGAATGTGATATGCCTTGTAACTTTGAAGGGATAAACTACAAAGTGAAGTTCATAGTAATTAAGGAGAAAGCTGACACTTTAATTAGTCTGCAATCAGCTATTCTCTTTGGCTTAGTTTCCAGAAGTAACATTTCTACAGTTGGCTCTGACAGCACACTGACCACAGACCAGTTGGTGTCGAATTACAGCTATTTATTTGAAGGCCTAGGCTGTCTGCCTAGCAAAGTGCACATTACCCTTGAAGAAAATGTCACGCCTGTGGTACACCCCCCTTACAAGGTAGCTGTTCACCAGAGAGACAAATTGAAAACTGAATTAGAGCGAATGCAAAAACAAGGAGTAATTGCCAAAGTGGATGAGCCCACTGATTGGGTGAATAATATAGTTTTGGTTGAGAAGAGCGACAAATCTCTGAGGATATGCCTTGATCCTGCAAACCTAAACAAAGTTATTAAAAGGGAACCGTACCCTACTGCCACAACAGAAGAGATCAGCACAAGATTGAAAGGTGCTACGAGGTTTACCAAATTGGATGCGACAACCTCATTTTGGCAACTTGAACTTGATCACGAGAGTTCGTTGCTTACTTGCTTCAACACACCCTTTGGACGATATCGATTTACACGTCTGCCATATGGACTAAACATATCTACTGAAAAGTTCCAGATGGAAGTTTGTAAAGTCCTAGAAGGAATAGATGGCGTTGAAGTCCAAGTGGATGATATATTGATTTCTGGCAAAGATGAGGAACAGCTTAAGCATCGAATGGAAGCAGTGTTCCAAAGAGCAAGTGAGAACAACCTCAAGTTTAACAGGAAGAAATGCCAGTTTAATGTGCCATCAGTCACATATGTAGGACATACATGGTCGAGAGATGGATTGAGTATTCCGGATGATCGGATAAAAGCGATAGTTGAGATGAAAACTCCTACTGATAAACAATCACTGAGTCGATTCCTTGGCATGGTGAATTATGTTGCCAAGTTCGTACCACGCTTATCAGAGCTAAATGCTCCCTTGCGAGAACTACTGAAAGAGGATATTATTTTCGAATGGAATAAGCCACAGATAGAAGCGTATGAGCAGCTGAAAAAGCTTATAACTACAGCGCCAGTTCTCAAGTTTTATGACCCCAATAAGCCATCAGTGCTGAATGTAGACTCTTCGAAAGATGGTCTTGGAGCTGTCCTACTACAGGATGATATGCCTGTATGCTACGCGTCAAAATCGCTAACCCCTGCCCAACAAAACTACTCCCAAATAGAGAAAGAGATGACGAGTATATGTTTTGGAGCAACTAAGTTTCACCAATACCTCTATGGTAAGCCCTTCGTCGTGGAAACTGATCACAAGCCCCTGGAGGTGATCGCAAAGAAAGCTCTAAATAAAGCCCCAGCTCGATTACAAAGAATGCTTTTGCAAATGCAAAAGTACGATGTCACAATCAAGTGGAAACCTGGAAAAGACATGGTTATATCAGACACTCTCAGCAGAGCATGTGTAGACAGTGACACAGAAAGCTCGAAAATTATTGCTTCTATCATGAACGACATTGATCGACAAGCAGATGGATTACTTCAAGCTTTACCCATGTCTAAACCAAAACAGCAAGAGTACAGGAACGCGACCTCGAATGACCCTGTACTGCAACGCATTATGGAATATTGCAGAATTGGATGGCCTGAAAAGACTGATGTACATGAGTCAGTCATGCCTTATTACACCTTTCATGATGAACTTAGTACAGTTGATGGTCTCGTGTTCAAAGGCCTGAAACTGGTAATTCCCACATCAATGAGAGACGAAGTAAAGTCGCTTATCCATGAAAACCATATGGGAATCGTTAAAACTAAATCCATAGCAAGAGAGACACTCTATTGGCCCAACATGAATTCCCAGATCGAGGATATGATAAAAAACTGTGACATTTGCAAAACCCACAGAAATGCCAATCAAAGAGAACCTATGATTCCACATAAGGTTCCTATGCGCCCCTGGGAAAAGATAGGTGTTGACCTATTCTCACATAACAACAAGGATTACCTAATTGGAGTAGACTACTACAGCAAGTACCCTGAGCTGTACTCACTCACCAGCACCAAGGCAAAACCCATCATAAATTGCCTAAAAGCCTCGTTCAGCAGAAATGGTATTCCCCAAACAGTATTCAGTGACAATGGTCCACCATTTCAATCATCAGAATATGTGAAATTCAGCGAAGACTACAACTTCGACATTGCTACATCAAGCCCGAATCTAGCAAATAGCAATGGCCAAATTGAAAGGACAATTCAGACTGTAAAAAATATTATCAGAAAATCAGATGATATTTTCACAGCCATGCTGAATTTGAGAAACACCCCAATTGATGCGAAGATCAACAAATCCCCAGCAGAATTACTTATGGGTAGAAAACTGCGATCTAAAATTCCTACAAGTGATGTTCTACTGAATCCCCAAAGCCCAGATCCCAACGTTCGCACAAAACTTCAGCAGAAAAAGCAGATGGAGAAGAGAAAGTATGACCTCCGCGCTCGTCCCCTTGCCCCTCTTCAACCTAATACCCCTGTCAAAGTCCGTGAGAAAAGGAACAATAAATACATCTGGAGAAATGCAACAGTGACTGAGAAACTAGATTCGCCCAGATCATATCTAGTTGAAACCCCAGATGGAGGACAATTTAGAAGGAATAGGAGACATTTAATTCCAGCATAAAATGTGTGAAATGACTGTCAATAATATAGTGTAGACCCAAGACTGGAAGTGAAATGGAAATATCCATATTTGCAATGAAGGTCAAGGATAGACCAAATTAGCATATCAAAATAAACATTGTAGTAAGACTGTAGTAAACTCTTAGGTCAAGAACCTCATTAGCATGTAGTACAAACATATGCACTGGACATTTTATCAATGAATACTAAAGTTCATGAGACAGGTCAGATAGTTCAAATTACATGGCTTGTAAAGTTTAAATGAGCTCCCTAACAAAATATTCAGAATTAGTAATGATCATATTTCAATGAGATGACTGTTAAAAATTTAACTTGTTTTAAACTAAAAGAAGGGAGATGTTATGTATCTGGTTTCAGTACTGGTCATTAAGACATGTAAGATATCTGATACCCTTAACTGAGATTACCATGCTTATAGCAGACACTTGTAAGTCTGGCTTCCTACTAGAAACACATTAACTATGTAGTTCTTATATTATGTTTGATGTATAATAAAGTCTTGATACAAAACACAACAGTAACCGATGTCATAGTTTATGTTATATTACGTCATATCTTCATCACAAACACAACATATGACATCGTGATCGTTGCTTAGATGATTTGCCATATAAGGTAATAATGGCGGACTTTTGGTCACGTGACTGGTCGACAGTCGGTCCATAGAACGAATGGCTCCGCCCACTTCGTGGGGGGCCTTCGTAAAAATCAATGTTGAATATGATTAAAGCATAAAATATGATTAATCTCATTTAAAGTAAACAAAAAGACCAATAGGGCTACAGTCGAAATGTTGATGCATGCGCAGACCTCTATTTAGTGATATTTTCATTTCAAATATGGCGGCCAATCCGATGTCTGACGACCCTTACAAAGAATCTAGGCAGTTTGCATTTTTACCTCCTGTGAAATAACAAGTGGAATTTAGTAGTTGTTTTGTGTTTTATTATCATTCTGCATCGTAATTCTATGTGATGTGGTGTTGAAATGTCAGCAGAAATACATATCCATACGATAATCGAGTGAATCAGATAACAGATTTTTCGAAAACCCGTCTCGTGCTAAGAGTGTAAAAACTTGTATTAACATGCTCAAAAGTGCCAATGTGCACATCAATGTCAAGCTAAATCAATGTTGTGTCTAAAACAGGTACCCGATCTACTCAAAACAGCTTGTCATTCAAGTATACACGCTTAGCAAACACGGCGAAATGACCTGAATCTTGGAATTTCGTTCAAGAGCTAGTAATGTTTGCTCCGGTCTTCGTCATAAGTGTTCATCAGACTTCACGCATGCGCAGGGGAAAAACCATCAACCAATAAGGTTTATAAATCAATTTTGCGCATGCACCTTACAACGGTAAACAAATTCGTATTTATAAACAAACCAGTTTGAGATAACCCGATATCAGTCGGAGAAATCTGACGATCTACGAAACTCACTTCAAAAAATCAAATGCGGACTGACGGCGTATTCTACTATGTTTGGATCTAAGATTTTCAGTATAGATAAAGTCTTTTATGATCTTTCGAATGAGGTAAGTCTCTAGTTCGAAAGACAATCGTATCAACTTGAACAAAAGTTGAGTTTTGACGAAAAATTTTAACATGCGCAGAAGTCCCATTTTCGTTGTACCATATTGACTGAATAAGAAAAAGAGGTAGCAAAATGTTCTCTGAGTGTTGCATTGTGGGTAATTATACAAGAACACATTCCAATAAAAAATAAAATTTGTGGGAGAATCATGTTCTTATTTTGGGTTATTTCTTAAAATCATACATGAAAAACACAAAACAAGTTTTTTCTTGGAATGTGTACAGGAAGCAATATTTTCTCAAATTTTTCGGAGGACTGGGTTTCGGACAACTGGGGTGTACCCGTTTCACCGACACAGGTTTTACTGTATTTCTACTTCTTTATTAAACATTCATGGTAATGTGAAGTCGTGACAAGCTTGTCTCTATACTGTATATACTCTGTAAACCCTCTGGTAATCAAATTATTTTCTGACCAGGCCAGTCATGTTTCTATTGTCAATGTCTTATTTGCCACAGTGATAATCCTCATAATTGCCAAAATTTCATTACATTATCAAAATGCTTGCTTTACTGAATAATACATAGTGTATCAGCAATTTCTACAGTTGGTGATTGATTTTGGTGAGCCTACATTATTCATAATCACAATCAGTTAATGCAATGGCTAGGCACTAGGCACACACAACGGCAAAAGGATTTCATTTGCAATATGAAATAGAAACATATCAAAAGCAGGAAAGTTTAAAAGAATATTTTCCAGAATTCGCCATCAGAAATTGTGATACAAAATACAACAGGACAGGCAAGTCACATAACATGCCTGTCCACTCGTCTTTAGGGTATCTTGGTATCCATTGTGATATGCAGTGCTCTCTTGTAATTTTTAGTAAGACATTTTTGAGTTTTGAAATTCTTATGTGTAACATTTCAAAATTATTGAGATTTTATCAGAGGGAATTCTGGGAGTATTAGGAATTAATTGTTGCTGCCCCCAAGCCATTTTAATGTGGGGGAGACCCCTGATACTATAATTTCTGAACTTGTTTTGCAGGTTGATTGAATGATCAAAGCACAATGGAGGCAAGGAATCATCCATGCTATTGCTGCAGTCGTTACCAGGGCTTACAAAGGGACATAATGCCAATGAATCTCGATAGTGCCCTGAATGAACTAGGAATGCTGAGCTCAGTTACAGAGAGCAGGAAACAATATCTCAGTGAGAGGAATCGTAACCATAATAGATCTAAATCTGAGCAGGGCACTAGTAGTAGCCAACTTCCCGACACCGGTGATAATGCTATGTCTAGTACAGGATCTGAGAGTAGTAATAGCCTTTCAAAAGGATATCAAATTGTTAAGATTAATCCACAATATGTGACATCATTGAATTCGGGTAATCGCCCAATGAAAATTGAACAAATAGGCAGCAAAAAAGACCCCGGGCATTCTATATGTCACGGTCGCAAATTTATGCCTGATAGTTTAGAATCTGAAGCAAGAGGAAGTAGGTTAACTCGTGTTAAGTTCTCCCGGATTAAACGCTTTAAAAAACCATATGATGTGCCATGGCGGTTTTCGTTTGATTATGCCAATTTGACGAGCCCAGATATGGGAGAAGGGCTCAACAGCTCATCTCCAACCAGTACCAATGCAAGGGAGAGTCCTTCCCTCTCTTCCATTCATGCCAGTCCCACCAAATTTGCAGTAAGGAGTACCTCAAATTCCAACACCCCCGAAAAAAAGCAAAATGGCCGTGACCGTGGGAGCCTGGTTAGATCAAGGTCTCTCGATGACTTGGATTTATCTAAATTGAATTTAATGGACAAGCAGTATAATGTACAGGAAAGTAAAGAGATTGAGAAAATGTCCCAGAATTTTCTAAATCTTCACGTGGACTAATTTGAAGAACAATGAATTCAATAAATTCTCTCACCATTCCATGTCAGTATTATTAATATGCTCCACTATAATTGTTGTCAGCTGAGTGTGCAATGTTTCATAACTTCAGAGTGAAATAATGCTCAACGTTTTTAATGCAGTCAATATAATCGTTAATATTGTACCTTGGATTAATTTCAAATTTTCAAATTTATAATTTTTGGACAACTATTTGGTGACTGGGCAATGAGTAATTGAACTCAGCTCAATTTCTGTATTTGAATCGACCAGGTTACAGTAGGCTAATTGTGATTCAAACCATTGGCCCAATTAATGGCTTGGTCATATTTGCTCCGATTTTCACTACAGCGTCCAGCTGATTGAGTATTTTGTTCAAAATTGAATACAATATTCAGGAAAACACTCAATCGGCTGGGTGGCGGCCAATGGATCGGAGCAAATGTGACCCATGCATTACAGGGTACTCACATGAATTTAAGAGACTTATAACAGTTTAACCCTTTCTCTACGCACCCCATGCAGACAGATCACCTAAAATTACATTTGTATGATGTGAGAATCGACATTCACCAGGAAATTACAAATATTTTGCCACACATGCAGCAAATTAATTTTTACTGCTTAACAAATGGTGAATGACAGTCAGATTGAGTTCTATAAGTATGAGTATTACATACCTAGCGAAGCATTTGTATGGAAGTCAATGGGAAAGTTAGCGAGCTATATCCACCGATATTGCCCGATTACCCCGATATAGCCCGCTTACCTCGTTTTGATATTAGATTTCTTTAATAACCATGATAATATCATGACGTCACGTCATTGATACAAAGTAACCATGGGAACAAAGGCATGTAATACATCAGTTATGTCACTATGACGTGAAATGGAATCAATATGTTTACCATATTTCACGTCATAGTGACATAACCTCTAAGAATAGCATGACGTCTTGATATTTCAAGGTAACTCGTTGGAATAGTGATGGCGCTGATTGAAATTACGATGTAAAGATAAAACCGCAACGAAATATTTGTAGATTTCTTTGAAAAACTTAGAAATATACATCACATATCGAATTTCTCAAAACAGAAAAAAACATTTATAAATAGTAAGGCCTGCAGGTCGGATTCTTCCTGGTAGCATTAACATTGGTCTAGTATATGTCATACAATTAATATTTGAAACACAACTATTATTCAAACTTATGATGGGACATAAGTATGATATGTACTTCAAGGTAATAAAATAATACGAGTATCACTGTATCATACTAATGTTCGATCATAAGTTTGAATAATAGTTGAGTTTCAAATATTAATTGTGTGACATATACGAGACCAATGTCAATGCTACCAGGAGGAATCAGACCTACAGGTCTTACTATTTATACATGTTTTTTTGTGTTTCGAAAAATTCTATTTGTGACATATATTTCTTAGTTTTTCAAAGAAATCTACAAATATTTTGTTGCGTTTTTTTTCCATCGTAATTTCAATTACCGCCATCACTTTTCAAACGCTGTTACCTTGAAATATCAAGACATCATGCCATTCTCATACTTATAGAACTTAATTTGGCTGTCATTCACCATTTATTAAGCAGTAAATATTAATTTGCTCCATGGGTGATAAATTATTTCAAGTTTCCTGGTGAATGTCGAGTCTCACATCATACGAATGTAATTATAGGGTGCTACGATAGGCTCCATATGGAGCCATATTAACTACATAATATCTTTCAGGACAATAGGCTCCTATTGGCACCATTATTTTTCTTCATCAATAAAATGGCGATATTTGCAGTTCTATTTAGTATTTTAACACCAAATTTTGACAAGTTATTGAAAATTCAGAGAATATGTCCCGGGGTATATGTAATTTGCAGTTTTTCTCTGAAAAAACGCTCTTACTTTTCCGTCACCAGGCCAACATTTTCCTCTTATATTCATGTCTGGAAAGGGTTAAGGGTTTTACATTCACCATTATGATTAATTCAACAGCTTAAAATGCTTGAAGAGTATCATGATGAAGTCTGTTTAGGACCTATGATCTCAGACTAAAATCCTAGAGGGTACCTGTGGTGTACATGTATAGCAAATAAACCAAAGCAGTATCGCTGGCCAATTAACCATTCAGTGTTGTTATTGCTCAAAGTACAACTATAACAAATTTTGAAAACAGCTCTGAAAATTAAAGACAAAAGCTCATTCATTTTTCAATCTCACAAGACAATTGATTGTCTATTCTGACCAGTCACTTACTTTCCTGTTAAATTGACACTTTGAGATTGGAAAATGAATTATTGAGCTATACATTAGTGATGTATTGGCAGTTCTCAAAATATTGTTTACCAAAACTCTATTTCAAAAGTCTATTTCTTCCAACGTTACCATGTTTCAGTCATAAAGATGAAACTTGGCAAATGAATGTAATGATAATTATAATACTATGGAATTATTTAATTTATAATTTTTGTATGTTTTTAAAACATAAATTATGAATACATTCAGAATTGTAAGTGATATAAAATAATCCAAATAAACTATTGTGTAGTGAGCTCAATTTCAACTGAACATTTATCTCAAACAATTGAAATATGAATTTAAGGTCTTAAAGACATTAAATTACATGAATTACAGCACATGTATTTACTATTTAAGAATCTGAACTACAAAATTAAAGTGTGTGTGTTTTTAAATGTATTATACAACTGTTGGGTTTGATTTCTATAATATTTGGTAAATAAATGAGAATAAAATAAATATGATGAAAATTGACAAATGACTTGATTGTAAATAATAATATGCCCATATTATTCTCATGTCTAGAAATTGGTCCCAAACCAATTTTGACTCACTGTGCTAAAACAATGATTAACCATGACCCCATTTAAATAAATGGCATATCATTAAAAAGATGAGAAATGTGGCTTCAGGTGCATTGAATGAAAATCAGAACAACGGCAACGCCAAAGCGTAGCGAATCCCATCGAACAGAAATGGCTGGCATTTTTACATACGAAATATATAGCAAATATCATAAAATAACACCCATAAGAAAGGCCACCATTTTCAAAATGGTTGATCACTTGCCAAGTTGTCATCAGAAGTAATATGCTTTTAAGTAGCCACATTACATATAAAATTCTTAAAAGATTGCCAATGGTGGCCAAAATGGCCGCTTACTACTCAAAATGTCATAAGACAGTATGCAATCCTTACGAGTATTCGCATATCAAATATGAACAAAATCGCTCTATCACTTTATGAGTTATAATAAAAATGTAAAATAACACACATAAAAATGGTGGCCATTTTTCAAAATGGCCGACTACTCCGCAAAGTTTAATTAGACAATGTGCCATGCTTAAAGTATTCACATATCAAATATGAGCAAAATCGCTCCAATATTTTTCGAGTTATAGTAAAAAAAATGACAGCCTACTACGTGAAGTGTCATGAGACAGTGTGCTAGGCTTATGAGTATTCACATATCAAATATGAACAAAATAGCTTCAATACTGGTGGTAGAGCCCATGGTTATAGTAAAAAATGTAAAAATGGTGGCCATTTTTCAAAATGGCCGCCTACTACCCAAAGTGTCATTAGACAGTGTGCCATGCTTATAGTATTCACATATAAAATATGAACAAAATCGCTCTACTACTTTTTGAGTTATAGTAAAAAATGTAAAATAACACATGTAAAAATGGCGGCCATTTTTCAAAATGGCCGCCTACTACCCAAAATGTCATTAGACATTGTCCCATGCTTAAAGCATTGACATACCAAATATAAACAAAATCGCTCCACTACTTTTTGACTTACAGTAAAAAATGTTAAATAACACACGTAAAAATGGCGGCCAACAATACTTCACCGAGCAATTCTACCCAAAATGTCATTAGACATTGTGCCATGCTTAAAGTATTCACATACCAAATATGAACAAAATCGCTCCACTACTTTTCAAGTTACAGCAAAAATCGAAAAATGACGTGCAAAGGCAGCCATTTTTCAAGATGGCTGCCATGTATTTCTTCTAAATTTACATTTCTAGCTTAATCAATGTCCTATATAACTTTTTACATTTAAAACATATTGCTATTACAGTTTTATATGCAGTACCTAAATTACTGTAAAATCGGCACTAAAATGGCCGCCATTTTTAAATGAGTGGCCATTTTGAAAATCGGTTTTCGAGCAGAACTTCTACTTCTACCCCCATTGGGTATATGTGTACAAAATATGAACAAAATCGGGCCAATGGTATTTGAGTTATTGCCCGGACGTACGGACAGAGGCGTTCCCTATATCCCTCCGAACATCGTTCGATGGGATAAATATGCAGTCATCCCTGGTTTTGCACTTTTACGACTTGTACATAGAACGTGGTAAAAGGACAGGTGAAGTAAGCCACTCTTAGCCCCCCTACATATATTGCGGGCAAGAAATTGAAGAAGTGTAACTTAAAATGTGATTTTTGATTTTGTCACTTTGGTTGTTTAAAGGTCAATTTTCAGAGAAGGTATTTTTGTATTTTTTTCTTCCAGGCCCAAATACTGTACTCCCACTAATATTTGATGCTATTATATTTCGCATTTTTAAATTTTGAGGCTATTATATTTTTTTTTACTAATGAACCTCTTTGTTGGTGAAATTTTCTCTGATGGAAGTTCCATTTTGTCCTAGAAACGTCGTCTTTCTAACTAGTGTACATCTCTAGTTGAACTTCCGGTTGAATAATAATAATACAAGATTATGTGATGGCTGTAACTTTTCTCATCAGGTCAGCCTAGATCAGAGGCAGAATTCTCATTATCTTCAATTGAAAATGAGTGGTTGAGAGTTGATCAAATATTAGTGAGGTTGTGCTGCAATCTGCTATTAAAACAGCTGGGTGCAAATTGATTTCTTACTGAATGCCATGTAATTTGATCTTATCTGTTGATTTTTTGTTTTACTGGGACATGGATATCACCCAATAGCATTAGTGACAGGTCATTTTGGGGACTGATCAATTATTTTACCAACTTGTATTGAATGACCATGGAAAATAGTTATTTTGTATTTGGGAAATGTTGAGGCAAATGAAAATAAAGGCCAAATCAATAACTCATTGGAGCAGATCTGAGCTTCCCAAGGTGATTGCCATTAATTTGGGATTAAACTAGATTATGGGAATTCCCTTAACTGTGGCTTGAGAAATTATATAAAGAGAAGGATTAATATGGCAATATACTACATTCTACTAAATCGGGTCTAAGTCATTTCTCAGTATTTTTATGAAAGGCAGAATCAGATCTATAAGGGGTGACAAAATTGCAAGCTTTATGTATAATTGAGCTACCAATGTGTCTCTTACTAACTCAAATATATTATCTCCCAAAAGATCTGTGATATGTTGTCAATTGGTTATTTAACATTTTTAAGTTATTTGAGATTCAAAGTGCACCAAAAATGGGTGTAAAATGTTTTATATGGACAATTAAATACATTAGTTTTCCTCAAATAAAGTTTACAATCTTAGAAAAAGACATGACAAGGAATGATTTGAGCTCAAAATTCTTGTAAAATATAAACATTTTTTTGTCAAATCATGGTGACGATGATTGATCTGATACTGCCTTTAACATCAGACAATTTTGTGAAAAGTATTATTTTCAAAATATGAACTGTATGTATAGGGATTTGTAGGGCTTCATAAACACAAGGCATTAACATACAAAATGTCACCACAGGCCATTTGTTACAGACGTCAATCACCAAACACTGTCCACAAAAGTTGGGAGACCATAACAATATGTCGGCACTTGTTGTGGTGACATAATAAATAAACCAGTCGAAACTTTGTAGCCAGTTGGGTATCATGGGTGTGTATTTCAACCAGATCCTACTTGTAATTCTTGGTACTATTCTCACATAACACTCAGATTTCACTTGGTAAGATTTATTTGCTGTATCTGTTACTGTACATATTATTAGCAAAGAGTCTATTTGCCCTTCCTGGCCTTTATCTTACGGAGATAAAATTCAAGTTCTTTGCCTTCCAAGATGTAGCCGTCGCATCTACCACATTGTCCTGGTCTAGATGACACACATGCTGAAATTACAAGAAACAACTTAAAATATTTCATTCATACAACAAAAAAGCGTAAAATTTCAATATAACCTTTGAAGAATTTTGCATTCCATGCCTAAAAGTTCCAGGTACATAACATGCTGGAATACATAGCATATCCAGGGAGGTGGATGGATATCATCTTTATTTACTACTATCTAGACTATTTGACTACCCCTGGGGTTAGGGAATATCTTCCCCAGTATCAAAAACTCCTTTTTTTAAATTTTGGAATCTTGAAAGTTAGCTATTGAATGTCTGTAAAACCTGAGTAGGTATGGAATACATCTGTTTTAGATACAAGCTTTATCCCCCAGATATGTAAAAAAATGGCAAGCTAGGAAACAATTTTAACACACGTCATGCTGCAGTCAGTGTAACTATGACATATAGAAGGATCACAGAAGAGATTACAGTCAATACGACATGGCACTCCATCGTCTTCAAAATTTTCTTCATCCTGCAGTAGCGACCAAATATCAACAGTTGTGAATGAATTCAATTAATTTTGTAGTGAAAGAAGTTAAAAGATGAATTCGTTTAGTTAAAATACTGTATTGAAAATGAAGGACAATCAATCAACATGAAAATTGCATAGCAACTAATTCAAAATGATATCTATATGATGAAGCACGGGGGCCCGATTTGCACATTTCACTGATATTACTCGAAGGTTAGAAGAGTAGAAGGGGCTCACCTAAGACTCTTCCAGCAGAGAACTGGTCTTCAAGTGCAGATTCTATTTTAGCAACTTTCTGTCTTTCATCATATTTCTTCTGTGTCTTCTTGGAGCGTTTCTTGTTAATTCTAGCTTCATCTTCCTCATTCTGAAACATTAAAGACATGTAAGTCACATGTAACATTCCATCTCACACAAGTTTCAGAGTTGATTTAACAAATTATACGAAGGTGTGATTTCAAAATATAAATTCTACATGTTATGCATTTTGTTAAATAGTACTACAACTTAGCTCACACTTGGTTAAAAAATTATATTGGGAAAAAAGAATGCACTCTAAGTGATTCCATATTTTTATTTTACCACCCTTAGACTAAAACGATAGTGATATCATTGGCTTTAGTGCAAATTCTGCAAAAATGTTAAACAAGGCCTATATCCTAAATACAGATAGAATGTACAACATGAGCACAAAATTATAGAATATAGCTTGCAGTCAGTGTAACTATGACATATAGAAGGATCACAGAGGAGATTACAGTCAATACGACATGGCACTCCATCACCTTCAAAATTTTCTTCATCCTGCAAGGACGTATGATTAAAAACTCATCTCCATATATAATTTCATTTTTCTTGACATTTCTTCAACATTTGAAAGTGAAACATTATTATTTAGTTAGTACACCTTCATAATCCAATATGATAGGTAGAGCCATTTAAGTAGATCCATAGTTCAGAAGGAATGTTTTAAGGTCTCAGTTTGGTTCTTAGCATTTGATATTGATGATTATACACTTTCATTCTCTAGTTTCATTTATCAACAAAATCAAAAGTTATAACAGCCAACTGAAAGCATTTCCAGAGAAATTAAACTAACCATTTTTGCTCCCTTCTTGCGGCCAAGAGGCATAGCATAGTGGGCCTCATACCACTGTCTGAAGGGTGTGGCATCAATGTGGACAATACAGTTCTTTACCAATGTCTTTGTACGCACCAACTCGTTGTTGCTGGCATTGTACAGTACATCAATGATACGTGTCTTGCGGGCTTGGCCTGAAAGTCAAAATATAAATCACATAACTATATTGTATTGTATTGGAATAGAAAGCTACAGTTTGTATCACTTTTGAATCACTTAATGAGTCCGTCAGTAAGCAATCAAAGGACCAAGTCACATTATTAATGGAAAAAAATACATTCATATAAGTTTTTAAGATATAAAACATTCCAATATCGGAAAACTGTGATGCAAATAGTAATTCAACAAATGTTTTTGTCAAGAAATAATTTGTCATCATATTTAGTTCTAGTACAATGTTCTTACAGATTTTCCAGATGAAAGCAATATTTTCCAAATTGTTTTCTGCAATATTGCGCCAATTGAAAAATACAAATAAAATAAACATAGTGATATGCAATGCATGGTCCATGATCTTATCCAAGTAATCCCTAATCCACTTTCTGATATTTGAGATAAAAGGTTTAAGCAAGATCAAAGTTCATCAGAAGTCCATCTTGAATGATCAGTTTTGAATATGCCATATAACAATAATTAAAACCAAATAAAAAACATTAGAACTTTTAAGAAAGAAATATGCATGTCAACAGATAGTTCATAGCAACACATGGAAAAATAAAACATTCAATAATCGAAGCTAATATGGTGTAGTTTATACCACACTGATAATTTGTACTCACTCTCAGACCCCCAGGCAAAGTTACCAGTATCAAGCCTCAAAGCCCTGTATTTTTTGTTTCCACCACGTGTTCGCACTGTGTGGATACGCCTGGCACCAAGCTGGATAAAAAAAGAATAGAAATAGATTTAGATACCACATGAACATATTCAGTAAATCAAGCACTATTTTCAGACAGCATTTTACAAAGGTTATTTATAAAAACAGTTATTTCGTGATCATCATTCTTCCTAATTTTACTTCGATTTTTCCTTGTGGTTAAAACATTTTTTGCAATGACAACTCAGTCAATCATTATAGGTCAACAGCAAATGGAATACTAAATACTAATAATAAATGATATTTTTCAGTGTGTATTCAAAACACAATATGCAATATTTCACTGCATGCCCATGCACATTTAGAGATTAAAACACAAGACAATTTGTCTTTGAAAAATAGTGCTAGAATTAGAACAAGTAATACAATACAATGAGACTACTTTCAAGACAGGTAGCACAAACTCCAACTCGTTCAGAAGTTTGTTATTCTTGACTGGTAATACATACTATTTTGACAATGCACATTTCAAGTCCTACATTTAGCCTGATAGACAGGATCTAGGTTGGTTTAATTGAGGTGCAACTCTGGTATTTCTACGGTTGACAAGGGGGCTGTTTATCTACTATGGAATATTCATGCGCCATATTAAAATTAGATGTTTGCGAAATTACGACCCCCATGAAATTATATACCTTATCCATCACCATAGAAAATCGGAGAAAATCACAGACCTATATAGGCTATAATAAAGTACAGCATTTACCTTAGTGTTAGCAGCTGGTCGTCCCAACTCAAACTTCCTCTTCTTGCGCAGAGGTTTTAAACGGCCACCGGTCTTCCTCCTCTTATGCCACTTGTCCCGAGAAATACCTGAAAACAATTAAGAATAAGTATCAATAAGTCTAAAATTATCATATGCTAGAAGATGCAGCTGAAGCCATGATCACAACTGTGATTTGAAGCAAAGGTCTTATTATTATTTACTTTTCTATGATCAAAAACATTTTGAACAAAGTTTTGATCTAAATCAAGATATGATCGACAACAAATGTCTAGTTCTATTGATCTAAGTGGCAAGGAAAATGTTCATTTTGCATATAATGCTACAAAGTCTAGTTTTGCAGAAATATGCATGATACAAATCAATTTGACATCATTTCAATGAAGGAACCAACTTTTCAAATACGGATTTATGGAGATAACTATACACAATTCAGTCTCAATTTTACACATCTGAATTACAGGATCATCATATTTTGCACAGAAAATGATGGAATTATATCATTTTTACGATTAAGGAGGATGTAAATCGATATTCATAGAAGATTTTAGTAATTTTCCTACCCATGATGGCGACCTAACGTGAAAAGAATGATTCTCGCGAACTTTTGCGAGATTTCAACTTTGGGGATCAATCATTATGTACCCCAAATTTTGTTTTTTCTTTCATATAACCATAAACTGCCCTTCTAAAACGAACAAGAAAATGCAAACAATTAAAATATAAGATTTTATATAACGGCTTATATGTCTCAAATCTTAAACGATATCAAAAATGTCCAACAAGAAACCCAAAAATACTCCAAAATTCACATTGATTGGTAGATACACATTCCCATTTTTTTATAATAAAACAAAATCTATTTCTTTACAAAGCTTTTATATCCAAAACCAGTTCTTACATTGCATTTTGACAAAAACAAGAATATTTAATATGCATTTCTACTTTAATAAGTTGCCTTTCTTTGAGAAAATATGACAGAATTTTCTTGATTTTGGAATGTGTCATTCTTAAAAAATGAAATGAAGTTTTTGGTAGAGGTTCTATGTAAGCAGTCACGACACTTAGAGCATTTTCCCATTTAGGACACCCATGGAAATTCTCCTTGTGTCCACTACAAATTTGGGAATTCTCATTACATACACTCAAACTTTATTTCTACATTTCACATGCAAGCCACATCAATTCATATGTAGTTTCCTCTTGTGTAATTCCACGAACACTATGACACACCATTTGTCTCTAAGCTCAATGTCCAACATGTGTCAGGTACCTATACACATCGTGACCGATGCAAGCAGTCACGAAAATTCAACAAATCTCGTCCACATCAGTTATTCCTGTGAAATCTCCTCCACACGTGCGCACGTATACGTAGTACTAACTCCCTTACATGCGCGAATCTCGCCCACATCCGTTTTGCCTGTGTATTCTCCTCTACGACGTGCACATATTACTTACTAATTCGCCCTAATTCCCCTGTTTCACATCTTCGCACAGATTGGTGGAGTAAACGGGGGTACGGGGAAACGGGGGTACATACTCATGCATTTACATATCTCCTATACACTTCATCCTGCTATATTACGTACCGTGGTTGGCGGGGTAAATGGGGTAGATACTCTGACATGTAATTACATATCTCCTATACACTTCATCCTACTATACGTATCGTGGCTGGCGGGGTAAACGGGGTACATACTTCACATGTATTTACATATCTCCGTAACACTTCATCCTACTATAAGTCATGTAAGTACCGTGGTTGGCGGGGTAAACGGGGTAGATACTCTGACATGTATTTACATATCTCCTATACACTTCATCCTACTATACGTACCGTGGCTGGCGGGGTAAACGGGGTACATACTTCACATGTATTTACATATCTCCTATACACTTCATCCTACTATATTACGTACCGTGGTTGGTGGGGTAAACGGGGTAGATACTCTCACATGTATTTACCCATCTCCCATACACTTCATCCTACTATACGTACCGTGGCTGGCGGGGTAAACGGGGTACATACTTCACATGTATTTACATATCTCCTATACACTTCATCCTACTATATTACGTACAGTGGTTGGTGGGGTAAACGGGGTAGATACTCTCACATGTATTTACCCATCTACCATACACTTCATCCTACTATATTACGTACCGTGGCTGGCGGGGTAATCGGGGTACATACTTCACATGTATTTACATATCTCCCATACACTTCACACTCAAAGCCACTTAAGTGTGAAATAGATTTTGTTAAAAAGTGAAAAAAATTCTAAAATGTTTTTTCAAATAGACATATAGTATATATCTGTATACAATTGTACATTCGTTACCCAAGGCATTTAAGTAAACTCCAAGGGAAATTGGCGAATTTTCAAATTGAAATTAGGGTCCGTCTCAAACATGAATTCCTTAAGTAATGCGGGCTCAGCAGGTCATTATGGCAGTTTGATTCAAAGAAACACAAATTCTTTGGCACGCTCTGTAACTAAGAAAGATCGAGGTAGTAAAAAAGGTTGTAGGTGTGGTGTCAACCGAATAAGAAGTGGAAAAGAAATCTTATGCTGTGTAGGTAGAAGATGCCCATGTTCTTCAAAAAATGCTAAATGTCAACAATCGTGTGCTTGCCCTTCAAAAAATTGTAACAATGGTAAACCAAAAAAAGGAATTAAATGTGAAAAAAACTAGAAGGAGACTAACAAAAGCCAGCAAGAAACATGTAACATCTTTCGAATATTTGTCGAACAATTTGCAAGAAATTAATACTGGGCCGACGGATAAATTGGAGCTTTTCTATATCGGGAATAGTTATGTTCCATTAAGTGCAATTTGAAATTGATTTTAGTAAATATAATAGTTCGACATGACCCTTTAAAGTATACGTATACGTATAAGTTGTACTTTCACTTATGTGCGAAATCTCTCTAGTGTTTTAAAGTATTTACGAATTAAATAACAGGTAGATAGATATATATTGACACAGATAAATTTTCTTGAAAATATCCAAAACTTCTAATTGTGAATCTTAAATCATGTTTGTAGCAATGTAGAGTATACATGTAAAGGTATGCACCCCGCTTACCCCGCTTACCTCACCTCCATGGTATGTGTAGAAGCTGCCTCACAGTGTAGCAATGTAGAGAATACATGTAAAGGTATGTACCCCGCTTACCCCGCTTTCCAGCCTATGTATAGGTGCTTGACACAGTGAAGCAATGTGTAGCAATGTAGAGTATACATGTAAAGGTATGCACCCCGCTTACCCCGCTTACCCCACCTCCATGGTATGTGTAGAAGCTGCCTCACAGTGTAGCAATGTAGAGAATATATGTAAAGGTATGTACCCCGCTTACCCCGCTTTCCAGCCTATGTATAGGTGCTTGACACAGTGTAGCAATGTGTAGCAATGTAGAGTATACATGTAAAGGTATGCACCCCGCTTACCCCGCTTACCCCACCTCCATGGTATGTGTAGAAGCTGCCTCACAGTGTAGCAATGTAGAGTATACAGGTAAGGATATGTACCCCGTTTACCCCGCTTTCCAGCCTATGTATAGGTGCTTGACACAGTGTAGCAATGTGTAGCAATGTACAGTATACATGTTGCATGGTTAGAAATGGCTAAGTGCCGTGACATTTTAGCTCGTGACTGCTTACATGGAACCGCAGCCAAGTTTTTCAACAAAGTTTGCACAAAACACAAAAAGTAGCAAGACTAGTACATATACTATTAAATTACAGTTGTAATTTTCAATTTGAGTTGTAGGATGTAAGTATATCTCCATCTTGGGTGAGGCAGGGCTTTCAATTCTAGTTGAAAGCCCATGGGTGAGGCAAGAATCAATGAAAAGGCCATGAAAATCATCTTAGAAAAGTATGATTATACACATTTGGCAGTCATGCAAGCCAAAGATTGTAAAAAATTGTAAAACACCTTTTACGAAAGCCTTGAAGTGGTCGGTGCTTCGTTCTATGGACTGGGGTAGGACTTATCCCGTACCAGGACTATAGTCCTGCATCGAGCGCAATCTTTTGCCTATACTATTACAACTTGGGAGAATTATTTACGCCCCTTACACTTATGATACCTACTTCAATAGATTCCTGGGTATTTTAGCATTGTTTTCGTGTAGTTGAATCCAAAATTGTCTGGGTATATCGGCAGAATGAAAACATTTTTCTTTTGCATCGAGAGATAGTCCATCACTTTCCAAGATGGCGGTTGGATTTAAAAGGGGATTCCCCGTTTGACTGACCCGGAAGTGGCCCGCAAGTACCAAAAATGGAGGAATTTGACGGTTGAAATAACTTAACTATTACACGCAAATATTGCGATCAAAAACGAAAATTTCTTTGTTCTGCCGATAAACCCAAGCAATTGTGGATTCAACTACACAAAAAGAATGCTAAAATACCAAGGAATCTATTGAAATAGGTATCTTAGATGTAACAAGCGTAGAAAATTCTCCCATGTTGTAATCGTACAGGCAAAAGAATAAGACGTTCACAGGACTATAGTCCTGGCACGGGATAAGGTAGGACCATTCACGTGAACTAAGTCCCGCCTTTATTAGCTTATATGGCAAATCATCAAGGCAACTGCCAAGTCCTCAAATGATGTGATTAAGATTTGATATTTGACGTATCACATAAAACTATGACATCAGTCACATATATACTCCATCGAGCAACTATAAACAAACAAATGATTGTAGCGTCACACATCTCTGTTGATTCTATATTATGTGACGTCATTAACATGTTACCTTACCAACAACAAAACATGCATTAAAGTTTGCTGTTCATGGATCAGTTTTCTCCATCGACATATGGCCTTCGTATTTTTCTCGTGAAATTCACCAGATAATCTTGTTTGGTGAATGTTCCCCTTGCTGGGAACAACACCCTTTCTGAAAGATCAACAAACCTCAGGCCAGGAACGAACAATAACTCTCAAAGATGACTATTTTTGCATGAACAATGAATCGCACATTCATACTAACTATTTGATGATGCGCATACTCTATTTCATAATTTGATTGGTTTGTTGGAACCATTTCTGTTGTGTGACCCTCTCCACCTTCACCCCCAGCAGAGGAAAAAATAAAACTCCCTTGGTAAATCCTGGCCCTGTGGCCTGTACTATTCACCACACTTCTTTCTAAACAATGTACTATAGGTTTGACAGGCCTGTAGCCTGGTAGCAGGGTTTTGTTCACTTTTGACAATTTTGGTCCAAAAATGGCCAAAATCACTTAAAAAGTGCTCAGAATGGTGAAAAACTGCATGATTTTGAAAGAATTTTTGGTCCGCTCGAGCCCATCGAACCCCCTGGCTACGGGCCTGTTTGACATCCTATTTTCTTTGTGACACTATCGGCACTCACTATCTGCCTCAGGACATTTGGTTAAGGATTTAAGCCTTGGATTTAAGCGTTGTGTGCTGAACCATTCCATGAAGATGTTGTTTCCAAGTTGAGTTGGCAAGTCATCAAATCCAATGTGAAAAGTCCATATATCACCATAAAAACTGTCTAACTAGTGACGTTGATTGTGTTATTGATTATTTCACACGCTGTTTTATATCACTGGTTATAATAATTTATAGAGCCAACCAAAAGTTCTAAAAAGCAAGCTCAATGTCCTGTTTAAGAACCCTTATTCTTAGTATTAAAAATGGCAGTCACCATCTGTAACAAATGGCATGTAGTGACTTGCATTGTTTTCATGAATTTCTTTTTGTCTATATTTCAGATCATGGAAAGGAAATGCTAAATGCTGGCTGATAAAACATGGCATCAAACCGGGAAAAGTACTACATAACAAATACATTACTTTGTCTTCTCAAAGCATGTGAAAACAAAAAAACAATTGTTGAATTAAGAAATGAAAACATTGTGGAGGGACTAATTAATTATGTGGATGGATTTATGAATGTAACCATGTCTGATGTGAAGTTCACATCATTCAGGGGTGACGTGAGTATGTTTGAATCATTCTTTGTGGCTGGGAAGAACATACGATTTGTTCAAATACCTGATGAAATTGACATGATGGCAGCTATCAAGGCTCACGCAGCCAGAGCAGCTAGTGCAGCAAATGTAGGTCTTCAAGAGACCAAACGCAATCCCAAATCTTTGAATATTTGGCAACAAAAATCAGAAGCATCTAAATTAGCTCAAATGAAACAGATGGTTCATGGGTCTGAAGCTCAAATGAAAATGGTTCAAGAAGCTCAATTGAAAATGGACTCCAAAGCTGAGGCACATGACAGAATGGTTAACGAAGCTGAAGCCCAAATGAAGAAACTTCATAGAACTGAGGCTATTAGAACGGATAGACCAATTGAGCCAGATTCAAGTAAAGACAAATCAAGTGAAGTAGAGGTTGATCCTTGTGTAATACAAGATCCTGACAATATATAATTCTGAACAGGGTACTTAACATTCAAAAAATATATTAAAAATACAGATCTCATCATTTAACCCTCAACTGCTTGAATGTTCAATATTCCATCAAGTGCAACATAAATCCAAATGTGTCATTGAAATAGACTGGATGCAAGTAGAGATCATACTGAATAAAGTCATCAAATATTCAAAACTTAATCAAAATGACTTCATATATGAAATCTACCTAAGATTACATCTGGTTTAAAAAGTAAAACAACTTTGTTTAAAAATGTGACTTCTAGGTCAGAAAGATTCCCCATAGAGCCTAAGAGAAAATTGTATTTCATGATGCTATTTCTTTTGATGGGATAGTACTTTTGATACTTTACAAATGATCACTTAATAATATTTCAGTTCAACTCAACAATGTATCACCATTCGAGCCTCGCTTTCGTGGATGATGCAGTGTCACCTTTTGTGGAATATTTCCTTATCACATACTGGAATGTATGATAACTGATAGTGTTAATTAAAGTGTAACATCACAAATCACAATATATAGTCTCTGTGTTTTATTTGAATCATTGAATAACTGAATAATCTGATTTGAAAATCAAGGTACAGACTTGGGCAAGGTTAATTTAGTTAGCCTATTGAATACTGAAATAGGAGTCAACATCAATTACAGCAAAACCTGTACAAGTGGAGCACTTCAAAATAATGTTTCATTTGGGAGGTGCTCCACTTATACAGTGGGGGACATAAAGAATTGCTATAGCTATGAAAATTACATGCTGTCGCACATGTAATAAATTCTTACCTCAGTGTATTCAGTGCTCTATTTTCTCTGTCCTAGTAAGTCCAAATATAGTGGAATTTGTGTCCATAATGACAATGAACTTAATAAAAAGTTGAAGTGGATATTCACATGTTAATACTGACTCTTCAAATGTTGAGGTGATTTTGGAGCCCGATTACGCTGCAAGGGAGGATAGACTCCCAGAATGCAACATGACACGTGCCAGCTTTCAAAATGCCGTTCCGCCATTTTGAAACCTGTCACAAGTAAATAATGTTAACTGATGTTGCATTGTGGGAGTCAATCCTCCTTGGATCACAAACATGGTGATTCATAAAAACATTCGTTCGATTTGGTAGAGATTTATCCATCATTTGCAGGTATGAAGCTTTGGATTCATTTATTGTGCTACTTAAAGTGAACGGGAATTATTTTTCTACCACTTGGGAGAGTTTGAGACACGAAACTTAGAATTTAGCTCATTGTGACAACTTTTGATGGTTGAGGTTTAGTTTTGTCCCCCACTTACAGTTCATTTTACATTAAGTTAATGGGTTACACCAGGGAATGGCAGGGATTGTTCACTAGCTATAGCTTTAAGGAACAAAGGGGGTTTAGGTTATGTCTTTAAATACAAGTTTCTGTTCCAAGTTAGCCTTGACCAAGTCGGTATTTTTTTACTTATCTGATCTTGAATTATTACTAGAAATCAAGATAAGTAAAAGAAACCAACTTGGGCAAGGCTAGTTACAAGCATCTCTTCTTGTTTGTCACTTATAATCAATGATTCAGATAACTCAAACAGAATGACAGTCAAACAGATACTTTTTCTAATTTATTATAACTTAATTCCATTTATTTCAATTATTGTATTAAATATATTAACAATAATTTCATAAAATCCATCATGTTCATAGCAATATTGTTTTTGTGGTATGCTACTGTAAATAATTTATAGATTTCAATACAGTACATATCCTAATATATTTTCATATCTTATGATCCACTTTATTTCTACAACCTGGATGTAACCATTCACTGTCAGCAGCTGTCGGATAACAATATCTGTAGCACACATTTAGTAGAGGGAAGTGATTCACTTCACTTGTTCAGTTCTTGTCAATGTGTTGTTTAAGTGACTCCAAATATTCCACAAGATCATCTTTATCCAAATCAACTTTGAGAAAGCTGTCTACTATAGCCTTGTACCTGGAAGGAAATATTTACAGGTTGAATTATAACACAGATAAAATGAATTATTGAATCATTGCTTTAATCTCAAAATCCACATTCTGATTGGTCGTTGTAGCACAAAATTACCACAACATATTTCACACTTCCTTCAACTTTTGGTTAAAGGCATATTGCCCTAGATATCTCACGATTGGATTAGATTGGATTCTGATCATAAAGGAGTGACTAGCTAATATAAAATAAAACAAGCATTTCATTCTAAATCCATACAATAACTGTTGTACTAGTAATTTTGAACCGGGAACAGGTCTTGCCCTGAATGAAAAATTCTTTTAATGTCACTCAAGTTACTTTTTAGTATACTGTACTCACTTGATAAATGCACTCTCAGACTTGGATGTCCCAACTCTGTTCACCAATTTATTCTCACCTAGGCATTCACACACCTAAAACAGTGGTAATGTTAAATGCTTCCACAAAAACAATATTCAAGCATTCACACATTGGCAAACTAATGTTGTTAGTATTAGAAATGGTCAAGTTCAATATTATTGTACATGTAATTTGGGAACAAATTAAGAATACAAATTAAGTATACAGAACCCTACTTGTCTTTTAAAGTAACTGTCCTATATGTTGTAAAAATAAGTTGTCATGGTAAAGCCCAAGGTTACATTCAAAATATAAAAGTGTGCTCTATATACATGTATAAACATGTCTTATGAAAAGGGTATGTATGTTATATACTATATCTAGTATATATACTAGTATCATAGCCTGGTACCTGTTTTCCACGTTTTATGATTGCAGAGGGCAGTCCAGAAGCTTCTGCAATATGAGAGGCATAGCTATGACTGGTGCTGCCATCTATCAGCTGGTAAAGAAATACCAATGTATTGCCATCCTCTATCACCTCCATTGTCTGAAACATCAATAAACATTACTGTACTCCCTGTATTTTTCGCGTGCGATTTAGTATCGTATTGTTTGAAATCTTTGCGAAATTGTCATCAGGTGTTATCAGGTGGTAAATTGGATAAGTTACACCACTCACAGTGGCTTACTAGTATTAAATCAAATAAACCAAAATTGACAATGTAACAGAGATTAAGGTGCAAAATTCGCGAAATTAACTAAGAGGACAGTATTTAACGACAGGGAAAATATTTATACCATGGAACAATTAGGAAATTTGTTGAAGAAAGTTAATTTGATATTTTCCATTTACATTCAATGCCATATTATTGTCCCAGAGAATGAATCTATATACAACCATCAATATATTTTATTCCAATAATATATTGATACAGAATTTGATATGTTTGGTAGGATTCCATATAGGCTAATATAAGATTTCATTTTGGAACTTACAGGGTGATTTTCATTTTGAAATGTCATTTTATTTTGGTTGAATTTGATGGGAAATTCATAATTGAACAGGGATTATTTTTAAGTGAGCATAACATAGGTAAGCTATATTTTGCAGAGTAAAGCAGCATCTTTCAATTTTATCAACCTATTGAATCCCAGGCTCTAAAATTGGTTGAAACCAGAGAATTTTTCCAGTTCCTGACATTTTACAACATACATATTCAACGTGTGATGCTCATTTATTAAAATTAGATGGCATAGTTCATTTCTGCACATTTTAAAACAAGTTTGATGTAAAGTGGATGAAAATTGTTCAGATGAGAGCAATTTTAGTGAAAAACTTTGTGACAGATTATCTCGTCACTCTGGGTTTCAAGGTAATTTCTGAGGTAACGAGAAATCTCGTCATTCTGGGTAGTCAAGAGGTTAAACAAAGGCTAACTTTGCATATAATGCTTGAAGCAAGATGTTAACAGCAATTCTAACCTACCTGAAATTTGAGATGAGTAGACTTGGGTAGCATTGACTTGGTTACCAGTGCATGAAAATGTGTGGAGACAAACACATGAGGACATCTAGTTCCAGATGACAGCCATTGTTTCAATGTAGCACACAGCAGAGCAATACCATCTGACTGAAAATGCCATCAACACTGGAGTCCCATTTAGATGTAATATGGTACATTTTATGTGAGGCCAGGAAAAATTGGGGTACAGCATCTGATATAAATCGAGTAGCATATTGAATAAGATCTACTTCCACTAACTCACAAAGAATACAATACATCACCATAATTGACCAACATGACATCTTTTCAATGTTCATATCAGTGTGCATAATTTCAAATCTATTGGTCTAAAATAATTTTCTTTTTTTTCTAACAATTAAGAAATCAAGGAATTTTTCTTTTTTATCATACAAATATTAAGCTCAAAGCATTAACTCTAAGAGTTAAATTCTCTGGTCAGTGACCCATGGAGTATGCCAGTCCATGGTATTACATACACTACACTAAAGCCAAAGCCAAAGCCACTCACACTTTCTGTGCCTTTTCCAAATTCATCAAGAATCACAAGAGATCTCTCTGTTGCATTATTGACAGCACTTGACACCTAAACAATATATTAGCAAGATTCAACTCATGTAGTGTCATGTTTATAAGTTATCCAAGTCAAAGTGAAATAATTCATGGTACAACATTAACAGTAATTATTGCATCATTGTACATGTATTTTAAGTTTTTAAGCTCTGCAAAGTCAGGATCAGCAAAATCAAATACCACTTTATTGAATTGTAACATACCTATGATGATGTATGGTGTAAACTGTGAAGTATTATATCTTCAAGCAACAATATTTCCTCTAACAGGAGTTTTATGGAAGTTAGATTTCAGAAGAAATTTCTTGTATATAGATTCTTGACTTAATTTCTTACAGTCAATTCGCTATGGATTTTGTGAACCTTGTAGGCCATTTTGTTTGTATAATACCTGAGAGAGGTCCATCATGAATGTGGAGAGGCCGGCTGAGACTGTCTCTAGGGTACGGATACGTGTAAACAACCTGTCCATTAGTCCAACAACGGCAGATTCTGCAGGAATAAAGCTCCCAATCTGAGCCATGAAAACAATCAATGCAACCTGGAACACAAATTGTGAAAGTCAAATAATAGGATGAATAACAGCTACATTACAGGTGGGCTAATATCAACACCTTTTCCTGTACAGACTCCTACAGTATTGAACAAATAAAATACATAGACAGGCCCGTAGCCAGCTTTTGACAAGAGGGGTTCACTTTTTAAAAAGTTCCAGGGGGTCCACTTTTGACAATTTTAGTCCAAAAATGGCCAAAATCACTTAAAAATGGTCAGAATGGTGAAAAACTGCATGATTTTGAAAGAATTTCTGACCAGGAGGGGTTCGGTATATCTACCCCCCCTCCCCCTGTCTACAGGTCTGTATAAAGTTCAAAAAATGTTGACCAGGGTAGTTTCTTTGATGAGCCGATAGCCATTGCTGAACATTGCCATTGCTCTCAAAACATAAGAAACAATAAAACAGAACACTGATAGACAACTTCTGTATGAAGCCAAAGTACTGACCTGTTTTAGATAAATGCTCTTGCCACTTGCATTGGGTCCTGTGAGTACCTTCATCCTACCTACATGTTCATCACTGTATGTCTCATTGGGTACAAAAGGACTGCAGCACAACTCTTGAAGGGGGTGCCTACAATTAAATTGGAATACCAGAGAATGAAAGAAAGGAGAATGCATGCTGACTGACTGTACACTATAATGAGCAAATAGTCATCCTGATATTTAATGGGAAATCTGAGTTAAATACTTTCAACAATACTGTTATACAATATTTGACAATATAACAGTTCCTGCCACTGTGCATCTTTTTAAAGCCTATGCAATCACATCACTTCATATGCATGTACCTTTAATGTAACTCTCACTAGGGGAGGGCATTTGTACTGAAAGGAGAGCGTTTTCAGTATATTTGTATACTGAAAAATGTACTGACTTTTTTCAGTATAAAATTCAATGCAAATATGTACTGAAAAATATACTGAATTTTTAAGGACATTTTTAAGTACAAAAACGACTGAAAAATATACTGACTTTTTAAGGACATTTTTAAGTTACATACATAACACATAACTCACCTGCCTGCAGTAACATGTATGATGTTGTCCTGGGTCAACTGAGGTCTTGTGTAGTTATATTCCCTGGCACAATTAGCTAAAGTAATCAGACTGAAAACAGACGAAATGTTTCTTACTTATTTAGACACCATGTAATTAACCCAGCATGCATGCCCAAGACATTATCAGATCTTGTCACTAGTCTACTCTTGCATCTGTAGTAAATTCAAGTTATTGGACAGATACGTTGTTTTCCTGGAATTTTAATGACAAGATTTATGTGGCACATGCCTGACGCATACCCAGTAGCACAATGTGATGACAATCAAAGTGTGATAAAAAGCCTTGTACATGAAATCACTCTGCACCTGAGCATTGAGTAATAAGCATTGATCTTGAAATTGTTTTTTAATTAAGCCGGTCAAAGTTTGGTCATCAAGAGAAGGTTTTTAGCTTACAATCATTCATGGTAATAAATAATCATGACAAGCAAATATGATCTTGACATTCCTTTGACCTGTTGTATTGTTCAGAATGGACAAAATGGTAGCCTTCTTTATAGGAAATGGGTGCAGCATAAGCACTGACCCATAGGGCAATGCCAGTAAATTTTACAAGAGGCCAGCCAATTCATAATTCAGTTTAAAAGGCAGGCTGAAATCCCAGTGACACACCCTGATTTAGAACATCACCATATTTATATGAATATAGTTGCTTACCAGTCAAGTTCAGCAGCACAATCCATGACATCTAGCAAAACCTGGGAGTGCTCAAGAATTGTATTTTGCAGTCTGTGCATGATGACGGTCTCTTGGTCTGTTGATTATATAAAATATGATGAATGTATCAATTGATAACAAAAATAATATCACTTAAAAACATGATATTACGTACATGACTCAATATTTCAAGACATACAGGGTGATCATTAAATGAGATCAAAAGTACTCTAATTTGTGTAAACATTAATGAATCTGGCTCATTTTCTGTTTAATACCACCTTTTTCAGATCTTCTTCTGTCTTGAGAAATTCTCCCAAGAATTCAGATTTTAAGTCCCCATAGAAATACAAGAACACAAATGTGTACAAAATGTCCCCACCTATTGATGATCCCGTCAAATGGTTATCCTAAAAATGAGTAGACAAGACTTTACCGACACAATTTGAGGACAAAAAATCCAAAATGGCCATCTTAAAATTTACCCAGAATGCCAAAGAATTAGTCAGTAGATTTTCATACTAAGAACCACCCCTGAAAATTTGAAATTGATCCGTCACACAGTTAACCAGAAAACATGTAAACAGACAGACTTTACAGACAAGATTTGAGGACAGAAAATCCAAAATGGCTGCCTTGACATTTATCCAGAATGCCAAAAAACTGATCTGTTCTAGATTTTCATAGAAAGAATCATCCCTGAAAATTTGAAATTGATCCACCAAACGGTTCACCTGAAAACGCGTAGACAAGACTTTACGGGCAAGATTTTAAGACGGAAAATCCAAAAATGGCTGCCTTTACATTTATCCAGAATCCCAAAAAACTAATCAGATCTGGATTTTCATACTAAGAATCATCCCTGAAAATTTGAAATTGATCTACCAAACAGTTCACCTGGAAATGCGTAGACAAGACTTTACAGACAAGATTTTAGGACAGAAAATCCAAAATGGCTGCCTTGACATTTACCCAGAATGCCAAAAAAACTAATCAGAACTAGATTTTTATACTAAAAATCATCCATGAAAATTTGAAATTGATCAACCAAACGGTTCACCTAAAAACATGTAGACAAGTCTTTACGGGCAAGATTTTAAGACGGAAAATCCAAAATGGCTGCCTTGACATTTATCCAGAATGCCAAAAAACTAATCAGATCTAGATTTTCATACTAAGAATCATCTCAAATTGATCTACCAAACGGTTCACCTGGAAATGCGTAGACAAGACTTTACAGACAAGATTTTACGACGGAAAATCCAAAATGGCTGCCTTGACATTTACCCAGAATGCCCAAAAACTAATCAGATCTAGATTTTCATACGAAGAATCATCCCTGAAAATTTGAAATTGATCTACCAAACGGTTCACCTGAAAATGCGTAGACAAGACTTTACAGACAAGATTTTAGGATGGAAAATCCAAAATGGCTGCCTTGACATTTACCCAGAATGCCCAAAAACTAATCAGATCCAGATTTTCATACTAAAAATCATCCCTGAAAATTTGAAATTGATATACCAAACGGTTCACCTGAAAACACGTAGACAAGACTTTACAGACAAGATTTTAGGATGGAAAAATCCAAAATGGCCGACAATAAAAAAGTGATTATGGATTTTTGCTGATTTCTCTTTACAAAATTATCACATATAACTACTGTTAACAATAAAATAGGCTTTTACAACAAAGTACACCTGAAATTATTTACAAAGCTACTAAATAGTTTAAGTATGAAAACTCAAAAACACCATTCAATATGATGGGTATTATCGTGCGCTGACTTTTCTTAAAACATTCAAAATGGCAGACATGACTGAGCTAACAGGTCCAAAACCTAATCAGATCTAGAATGAAGTGAGCTGAACAAGATGTTAAAGTTTTAAAAGCAACTGTGAAGCCGTTTTTCTTAAAGTTTGCAGACAAGGATTTTAGCATTTGACTTCAAAATGGCCGACAGGAAGTAGGTATCGAGTTAATTTTTTTTCATCCACATCTTTATGCACTCATAAGTTATCCCTGAAAATTTGAAGGTGATATCTGTAACGGTTTTGGAGAAAAGTGCCGGACGTACGGACGGACAGACAGACGGACAGACAGACGGACAGACAGACGGACAGACGCGCCTAGGCCGACAATATGGCCCCACACTATGTGGTGGGGACATAAAAAGTCTGAGGGAGCCATGTCTGGTGAGAAAATAAGAATGGACAAGAATGCTTTGAATGTAACAAAATATGGTGGTATTTCCAAAGTTCAAAACCATTAAGAAAAAAAAACATCATAATATTTCCTTTCTTTTTTGACTGCTCCGGGTACCCTCGACATGGGTTGCTATGGTTACCATAGAATGCAGAATGTTAAATGTTATGGGATAAAATTTATTTTGTGTATGTATAATTATTAGATCAACATTCTGTGAGAAAATGAGCCATATTCATTAATGTTTACAAAAAAAATTAGAGCACTTTTGATCTTACTTATGATCACCCTGTACATTTCATGAGTGAAGACTGTAAACTGACCTGCTATTTCACATTGCACGTCTCCCAATAAAAGATCCAGTTCTGCAATTACAACAAAATAAAGTTAAACGTTGACTACAAAAATGGATGCTTTATAAACATACTATGTATCTACAAAATTTATTATTATATAAATGCATCATTATACACTGTATATTTTACATTTTCCCACTTTTCTTAATGGATTATTTTGCATGACATACTACTGTATATATACTACCAAACTGCTAACGAAATTAAAGTGAGTCAATGCATAATTTTAGTGTTCTTTTGAAAAATAAAATAAAATGTCAAACGAAAGATGGCGATGATATCCAGATTATGTCATTTATTCATTTTTGGTCTATGTGTCATCATAGTACTAATCTCTGAGCTTCAACAGTCTTCAAAGTGAATTATTAGAGTAATTAAAGTGTATTTTCTTCTCTGCTTAATATTTGCAATAGAATAGAATACAATAGAAGCTTTAATATTCAATTGTTTGTGTGAGTGACATGTAATCAACAATTTTTTGTTCCTTTTTCTTCTTAAAGTATGCAATGAGTTTCTTTAGTGGTAAATAACATTGTCAAATAATTACATAATCAGATAATACAGTAAGGTTTAAAAAGCAGGTACCAACCATACCTCAACACACCGAGAGCATTCTAGGCTTGATTGTTTAACCGATAATACTGTAACAACCCGAGAGCACCCCAGGGGAATAACCAACTAACGAGCATAGTGTAACAAGCCAGATAAAGAAATTGAAAGAAAGTGTGCTAAATTCAATGCCCCGTGTGGGAATCGAACCTACGACCTTTAGATCCAAAGATTGATGCTCCACAGACTGGGCTATAAAGGCTTAAGCCGCAACAGCTGGACTGTAGTACATTGTAGCAACTTGCTATCAAGGGTCGTTACAATACTATCGAGTTTGCTCATACATGTAGACGCATGCCTAGGCTATGATACTTCTGAGCAAAATCACAAGGTCTAGTTAGTACCTATTATGTAAACTAATTGTGTTTTAAACATATTATGATTTGAAACAAATAACATTGATGAACCAACATAACATTCTTTTTATACAATGTAATCTACTACACCTTTAGTACTTTCACTTTTATAATGCACCATATTGCTGGACATAAACTACAATCAATGATTGAAACTATAGTAATGATTAGTGAACAAAATGAAACACATTTATGTATCAGGCATTAGTGAGCTTTACATAAATGCTGACTTCATTCAGATAAACACTGTCATTAATACTTCCATATTCACAATGCTAATGCTGTCAACTGATAGGTCAATAGTTACATTGGAGGTATACAATTTACCAAGTCCATTTAGGAGATACAGGTCAACAATATACAGTCCTCTCTACAGAACTGGATAAACTAGAGACAGACAACGATTTGAATGAGATTCCTATTGGAATAGATATACAATTGACCCAAATCAGCTAAAAATATGCCATCTATTGCTTCATTGTCCAAAGAAAGCATTTCGAGTCTCCTAAGCTAGACAGGGGAAATGTTTACCTTTGAACAGACTAATCATAATCAAAGATACACTGATACGCTAGTTTTATATGATGATATAATATCCAGTAAATCAGGATACTACAAGACAGGAGGTAATATTTGGAACATCAGTAGTACATACAGTAGAGTTAAATAGGCATAAGTTGTAATTAGACATAGAAGACATTCATTCCTCATAGCAAATCCTGAGACTATATTAGGGATCCGGTATATTTTACAATATTGTCCCAAAACACAACTGATTACATTTTCGTGAATTTACAATTGATTGACCCCTCCCAAAAAACTGAATACTATTGATTTTTATAGAATTAAAATTTATTATCTGTATGTTAACAAAAAAATATGGAATGTTACCCCCTCCCCAAAATATTAACTAATATTACATTTGTGGATATACATAGATGTACTGACACGATCCCGTATGCAGCCTATATGATGAAAACATGCAATATCTATATTTAATCTACTTACCACAAATTCCAGATTTGGAATGTTGTAATTATCTTCTTCTCGGATACTGTCACATAGTGGTATTGCCAACAGATAGCCTAGCTGGAAGAGAAGCCAACATTTAACTTAATTCTATAAAAGATTTTGGAATCGGGGGCATTTTTTAACTAAACAAAATAATTTGATGTTAATTTTTCATAGAGCTTTTTGCGTTTTTTTTTCATTTCAAACTCGAAAGTCTCTAAAACAGTATATGTATAGGCAGGAAAAGCAGTACATTTCTTTTTTAAAAAATTGGAGCCACATTTTGGAAATGTTAACCTATTTTCACTAATTTGAAACTAATTAAATTTTGATTTAAATTTTAAACTAATTAAAATTTGAATAGGAAAAGTATTTACTTGTGGCAGGTAGATGACATTACATTCAGTTATTTCCTCCCCAAGTTGATTCAACTCACTCTGGGCCACTTTGGTCATGAAATCAGGTAAACCATTGTATGTTCGTTTCTCTGCGAGGAGATAGCATTCGTTGAATTTCATTATTAACAAGGCATTAACATACAAAATGTCACTCCTGCCATTTGTTACAACCGCTGAACACTGTCCACAAAAAAGTTGGAGACTATAACAATATGTCACCACTTGTGGTGTGACATAATTAAAAAAAATCTCAATAACGATGACAAAATGATAGTGTTATTGTAATTTGTTGAAGACAAAATGGTCTCTTTTCAAATTAAATTCATGATGATGATGATGATGATATATATTAATTGAAAGGTTGAAAGTTAATTAATTTTGCAGATATATAAAATCTGTGTCATAACCTGCTCAGTTCAATTAAGTATGATTGTTATCAATTCATTTATATTAATCACCCTTAAAGAGGCTCTCTATGCCATAGGATAGCAAAATCAAGACCCCTCTGGACTTTTTTGCATATTGATTTTCACCACATATCACCGGTAGTATCCAAAGCCCCGCCATGATTTCAAAGTCGCGAGCAAGTTCCCCCTGAAATCGCGAGGAATAAAAAAGTGATGGGTTGTATTTTGTTTACTTGAATTGTTGTATGATGTACAAAACGTTTTCTTTTTAATTTTCCGCAATGATTACATGGTATTGAGACTAAAAAGGCAACTGATGGAAAAAAGTATCACGAGCGGTCGTTCTGTGGTTCTTTATTTGACAATTGAAGAGAGAAAAGTGTCATCTTGAATCTTTATCTATATATTTCTATACGTTATGAACGACGTTGTCCTGTGGTTGAAATAATGGTAGTGATTTGAAATGAAAATGTACTGAGTTTCACTTCCTAAAGCTTTACAAAACACTTTATATTTCAATTTTATCATATCTCTCAAGGCCCAGCTTCTAGCGGAGCAAAAAAAGCAAAGACCCCGCTGAAATCATGAGGAGGCCCCGCTGAAAACATGAGGAAGTCCCATTGAAAACAGGAGCAAGTGTCTCTCAAAAATGGAATGAATCCTGATTATACCGTGAAAATCTCCCACTATCGTACCCAGCTTGATCCACTATTTTATCCAGTTTCATGAATACATCATTTGTTGATACAATTCTCAAAAACAGCAAATACTGTATTGATATAGTATATATTATGATACGTTGTAATGGAAAAATGTGATGAGAATTAGATCGGATGAAATGTTAAAAGTTTAACCTCATTTTCATAATTACGATGTGAACATAAATGTTGTTGATTTTACGCATCAAATCTAATTCAACTGTTTGAAAAGTAAGTGGAATTCCATCATATATGAGTACAAGTCGATATTTAGTAAGATTCATGCGTAAGCTAAAACGATTAAGTCAGAAAAATGTTCAGTTGTACTATTTTTGTCTCAATCTCCTGTTGCCAGCTTAGATACTCACTCACTCACTCACCCACTAACTCACTCACTTTTTCCCTCCCTTTTCAGAAATGAACGAACGCACGAACAAATGCAAAAAGGCATGCACGAATAAATGCACACATGAATGAACGGTCATACGAACGTACCCACGCACACACGAATGGTAGTTTGAACGCACAAACTGACGGCAAGACAAACACACGCAAAAACAACCAGACGAACGCACGCATGAACGGACGGTCGAAAAAACGCACGCACGGTCGAAAGGACGTTCAGATAGACGCACTCATGAATGAATGGACAGTCAGACGAAAACAAGCACGAACAGACGATCGGACAAACGCATGCACGCACGAACGAACGGTCGAACAAATGCACGAACGGTCGAACGAATGCACGAACGAACGGCCGGTAGAACAAACGCACGCACGCACGAACGAACGGACGGTCGGACGAACGCACACTTGAACCAATGGATGGTCGGACGAACGCACGTGCTAACGATCGGACGGAGGAACGCCCAACGGACGGTGGGACAAACAAACGCACGAATGAATGATTGGACGGTCGGACGGGCGTTGTCACGAATGGACGGTTTGACGATCGCACGAATGGACAATTTGACTATCGCACGAATGCACGAACGAATGAACGAACAAACGGTGAGACGAACGCATGCCTGAGCGAACGAATTTCGAACAAACGCACCAACGAACGAACGGAAGGTCGAACAAACGCACACACGAACGCACGGTCGGACGAACGCATGCACGAACGAACGGTCGGACGAACGCACGCAAGAATGGAAGGTCAGAAGAACAAACAAGCCAATGAAATATATGTGTCCTCAGAAATTCCTTGGAACATAGAATTATATAGAATTTACATTTAACTGTCCAAATGTACAAAGTCTGTTTACACATTTAAGAATTTTATTTTATGACAACACTGACAGATGGATCAAACTGCCTGAAGTTGCAGAAGAAATAGTTGCGATGTTGCCATTGATATGTTATAATGGTATTAAAACGTTTTTGGCACGTTCGTGTACGTTCATATAAGGAAACTCAATATCTTCATGGAATAATAATGAAGCTTTCCTCGCGATCGAAGCGGGACCTCCTCATGTTTTCAGCGGGACCTCCTCATGTTTTCAGCGGGGCCACTGAAACACCTTTAATGATGTATTTCGACCCCCATAGCAGACGTAATTGCACAGTTACTTATCAATACAGACCATATTGATCCAATATGTATTATGGTGTATGTAAATCGTATTTATTGCCTTTATTTTAACGATAAAAGTAATATATGAACAGTAAATTATGCAAACGTGCATGTTGACGCCCCTCTTTTCAATGCCAGTGAAGAAGAATCATTTTTTATGTCATTGTTTGTCAAATGTTTCTGTTTTTAAAGTATTGCTGGAGTATGGAAGAACAGTAATAAGTATTTTCACCCTTTTGGTCCATTTTCCAAAGTGATGCAAATAAATAGGACTATGCTCGCGATTTCAGCGGGAACTTGCTCGCGACTTTGAAATCATAGCGGGGCTTTGGATACTACCCGTGATATATACCCATCTAGTTACCAAGAAGAAGTCCCAAATCCCCCTCTTTCAGTGTTAATTTTGCAATTGTGCTGGCCGAATGCCGATCTAATTATTTTCAAAGAAATTAATTCAATCTGAAGTTTGAATATTCCGGGAAAGTCCTCCTGTTATCTGATTGGCAGTTGAATTTGTTTATCATAAACCTGATTGGCTCCCTGGTTCGAGGCGCTTGTGGGTGCTTGTTTGACTCAATGGGGATTCCCCTCGATAGCCGAGGAATCGATTATGTTTAATTCTGGAGTTTGGCTGTTCTGTTGGCAATAATATACCCAAAAGTTGTTCTCAAGATATATCCATGGTATGTGAGATATTATATGAGCAATAACAATAGGACATCATTGATTGTCTGGGGGAGAAACCTATTGCATAATGCATCTTTAATACCCAATCTAAAAAACAATGGGCATCATATTCTATTGTAACACTAATTAGGTGTAAACAGACTCGGGTATGTGATATTTGATATTCATTGTAGATCAAATATGAGTTGAAGGTGAAAATTCAAGTAATCAAGCATTTTATATATCATGGCATCTCAAGACTAAGAGGAAGAGAGATGACTTATTGTGAGAGTCTTAGATAATATTTATATTTCCCTTGGGATATACCCAATATCCAAAACCTCCCAAAACATAATCTTCATGTATGAAATATTTAGTTTCACATACTTTCATCAAGGTCAGGATCAACATTCTGTTTCACAACAAACTTGTTCTGTATGGTGGACTCTTCCACATCTACCTAAAATAAACCATTTACATAATAACATGTCATTACCTGATTACATGCAGGCACTATTTTGTGGGCTCCCAATATTCATGCTAATTCGTTCATATATAAGTGATAAATAAGTTGGATTGTACGAAGGTATCTTTTTTTCTGCCTCATTTTTGCAGTCATTCTCTTTTAAAATAGACAAAGTTGCAAAAAGTGCCCAAATATTGTAAAGTCGGTGTGAATTATCAGCATGGGCTCCAATAAAATGTATAAAAGCATTTATTCAGATGTATGTCCCAAAATGTTTGGCAAATGGACAAACATATATTGTGTGATACAATTGGGAGATTAGACTACAAAAAGTGACATGAGTGTTAAAGTTCCTTTATTGAATATACAGTACTATTAATTCAAAATATAGGAATGTCTATGACATTCCTAATCCTATAGGTTATCATTGTATGGTGTAACATCGGTACAAGTGTTCATTATAATTTCAAGTCAATCTAGTCACAACTTTATGAATTAATGCTAAGTCATTCAATTTTTGTTTCCATGGTAACATATTATTTATACATGAATTACAGATTTTAAGTATCATCATAATGGAACAATATGATGCAAGTTATTTGACCAAATACCAAATGAGCTGATGTTGGTGTTAATTTCATTATGTAATATATCAAGATGAATGTTAAGACATCATTACATTTCTGAAATCTGTTAATTAATGTATATTTATAACCATCTTATATAATGTAAAAATTGTACAAATGTTTCAATTAAGTAAATAAAGTTCTAAAAATGTAAATCTTTGGTCAATGAGAATGAACAAATGTATGAGAAAGAAATACTGATACTCACGATCCTATGAATAAGATCAGCAATTCTGTGTAGGTCTTCAGTGAATTTCTCACCTATTTTCCTAAATACTTCTAACCTGACCTTCTGCTGCCTACACACATCACCAATATAGGTGGCATTGTATGCAGTCTGGAAAATATACGTAGAAATATGAGTCATTATTATTGGACTGTAACTAAAGCTGTTGAAGCGCAGCCGAATATCCTTCAAGAAATTTGATTCTTCAAAATTCCACCCATGATATAAACGTCTTTGGTTGCGGTGCATCAGTGCTCTCCCATGTTCGGTAGGTTTGCAGCTAAACCATTATGAAGATGGTAAGATGTACAAGAGAACCTTCTTAAAATTAAGAATTCGTAAAGTCCATTGTTCTTTATCTATGAGGTCATTATATCCATGGTTACAACAATTGATTTACGATTTCGTAACTTTACGAAGTTTCTGTTAATGACCCCTTTGTTATAGGTCCAACAAGCACATTTGTCAGGGACTGCTTACAAAGAGTAAGCCACGGGGAGTCAAACCCAATTTGTTGACAATTCCTTGCCAAATCTATGAATGTCAGTGATGCCACACAGTGATCAGTTTGGTGGAAATGATGCATGTTTAGGGAACAGACACTGGATAAATTCTGTGAGAACATTCCCACATGTTTTCACTGTAAGGGTTTCAAGTCAATCTCGATCATTGCTATATGTACTATAAAATAAAAATTTTACAGACACTGCATATACCTAGAAATTACTATTGTGACAACAATTTGTCATATTTTTTAGTGGTGACAAAATAAACTAAAATGTATTCATGAAACAAATGAGATATGAAAATACAGAAGAGCTGTATACCTTATAGAGTGCTTGCCATTGGGCTATGGTTGCTTGTGATGATGTCATTCTTGCCAAGATTCTCTGAAATATGAAAAGATTGTATGATGATACGTCTGTAATATTATACAATTTATATTTAACTTGACTTATTCACAAGAGCAGCAAATCCCAATGAATTATTACATTTTATTCCAATTTTTAATGAAGCTGATATTTGATATCAACAATCTACTTTAAATGATTGTCAACATCTCAAGACTTTCACATTCAAACATCCATTTTGGATTTTTACAGGCACCATTAAAATTAATTTAATATCTGCTACTACTCAATACCTGTGATTGAAATACAATGTCTAATAAACTCATACTTAGAAGATATCTCAAAATTAGAGTGAATTATCTCATTTAGGTTTACATTTGGATTTTCTCCATGAAAACTTTGGCTAAAATAAAGAAGATCAACTTTTTGTAAAAATTGTGCCCATTGATACTTTTTTCAACATCAATTGCATCCTGCATTTTCTGTTTTGGAAAAATTATAATTTACTGTAAAACCTGTTTTAGGAACACCTCTCTCTAGTGAACACAAGTGTCTAGTGAATCCCTCTTCTCAGCAAACACTGAGTTCTGTATAAAATTGGCTCTCTGTGGTGAACACCTATCTATAGTGAACACATAATCATTTTTGTGGCTCCATAGGTGTTCAGTTCACTGTACACAGGTTTTTCTGTATGGTCAAAGATTACATTTTGAAAATAACAAGGCTTAGTTCTCCAAAACAAGGAAAATGTATAGTGCATGTGCTGGAGCCAATGGTGTAAACTACCAGGCATGGACCCCATAAAATGGATCAATGTGGGCGTTAGTTTAGAAACAAATTGTTGACTGATGGAATGAATGATGGACAGAGAGATAAAAGAGCCAATTCCATATGCTCACCACATGAGCCAAAAAGAGAAAAAAATTCTCACTTACAGGGATGTGTTTGACATGCTTTAGGCAGTCTTCCAGAGTTGATGTCACTTCTATATTTCTAGGGTTAGCAAAGAAAGCAACTGCATCTTGCCTTTGTTCCAACTTGGCCATGTCCTTCAATGGCTGCATGAACCATTGCCTGTGATGACAATAGACATTAATTCGATGAGCAACAACTGACTCTGAAATATATCATGATATACTGTACTTCTACTTAATTTGGTGCTATTTATTTTGGCAGATTCGCTGCTTTGAATATTTGGCGGCTACTTAATTTAGCGGACTTGCACTTGAACTTCAAATGATGCAATTTTATCCTTGTTGCTATCTGTTGACTTTCATTTGATTAGTAAATTGCCATTGGTTCTTTTAAAGTACTAGTAGTTGAGAATGGACATGTTGTTGTTGTTATATATTGTTTTAAATGACAAATTTGAACAAATTTTGAAAGAAAATATTCACTGGAAAATGGGGTAAATTTCATTTCATATGTGCAGAGTAATTTTCTGAACGAGGCATTAACATGACAAAATGTCACCACCTAGTTCCTCACAATATTATGAGTTCAATCTTAAAAGTCAGATTTGAATTTCTGAGAACTTGTAGATGATTTTGGAAAAATAAATTGGTCAATTTCAAGCAAGTTGAAAAAATACCTTTTTGACCCTGAGATGGTCATTGAAGGGGAAATCTCAAATCTAAAGTCAAATTTGAACTTCTGAGAACTTGTAGATGATTTTGAAAAAAAATTGGTCAATTTGAAGCAAGTTGAAAAAAGACCTTTTTGACCTTAAAAAGGTCATTGAAGGTCAAATCTAAGGTCAGATTTGAACTTCTGATAACTTGTAGATGATTTTGGTCAATTTGAAGCAAGATGAAAAAAGACCTTTTTGACCTTGAGAATGCCATTGAAAGTCAAGTCCTTTTTGACCTTGAAAATGTCATTGAAGGTCAAATCTATAGTCAGATTTGAACTGTTGAGAACTTGTAGATGATTTTGAAAAAATTGGTCTATTTGAAGCAAGTTGAAAAAAGACCTTTTTGACCTCTTTTGACCTTGAGAAGGTCATTGAATGTCAAATCTCAAATCTGGTCAATTTGAAGCAAGTTGAAAAAAGACCTTTTAACCTTTTGTGACCTTGAAAAAGTCATTGAAGGTCAAATCTTAAATATAAAGTAAGATTTGAACTTCTAAAAACATGTAGATGATTTTGAAAAATATTGAAGTCAGTCTAAACAGTATTTGGTAAGTTATTGGAAGTTGTAAGAATTTGTTACAGACGCCAATCACCAACCGCCAATCACCAACCGCCAATCACCAACCACCAATTATAACCGCCATCTGCCATAAAAAAAATGGAGACCATAACAATATGTCACAACTTTTTGGTGGTGACATAAAAATTGAGATATCTGATTAATGTTTGATTTTAATTGACAACTTAAGATGCAAACTCAAACAGTGCTCTTGTGTGTTTCTGAAAAGACATTTGCTTTTCTATAATTTCGCATACAACAAAACATAGCTCTGCAGCAATGAAAAGTGACAAATGGGATTTTTTGTTCAAGTAGTATGGTCAAATGGTGATATATTCATAGATTAAAGAATTACCCAGCTCAAAACCTAAACCAACCCTCTTCCAAGAACACAGCCCCTTAACTTCAAGATATGAAAAATGAAGGATTGATTATTTGCAAACCTCAACATCTTGGATCCTATGATAGACTTGCATCTGTTCATGATGCGGAACAGGCTAAGGCCTTCCTTTCCACTTGAGGCACCAGACTTGTAACCTGAAGGGTGATTCCTTTGTTGAAAGATCTGTAGTGCGCTAAAACAGAATAACAAAAATTATTTAAAGATGTTTTGAAACACAAAAGTTATTCTACACATTTTTTTTGTTTTAGATATTTTGGGAAGAGAGCCAACTGAATTGGGACAATAAATTAATAATTGAGAAAACCTCAATTGAGAGGCCTTATCTTAAAGGTGATCGAAAGATTTGTCCACCATGGGGAGCATGCTATTTTTCATAAAAACTTTAAGACAACTAATTTTGAATAAATTCATATAAATCCATAATTTTGAATTCAACTCTGAGTGACCACACATATAACCTTTCAAGTAGATCTTTTATGACAACTAATGAACAAAACAGCATCGGCAAGTAAAATTTGATCAAAATCTGAACACCTGTATTTTCCTGGAAAATGGTGGCCAGAATCAATCTTGTTTCTTAAGTTTTTGATTAGAGGTCCTAACAATATATTTCAGTGGTCTCAAAAGTGATGCTTTATATGGTTCTCTCAAGTCAAGCACATGTTACAGGCAGATGAATGCTGACTGTTATAGGTCCTATGCAAATAAATGTAAGATATTGTTATAGACAATATTTCTATATTTCAGTCATCAAAAACTATATTTTCTCTACACGAAAAATGTTGGATAGTTTTTTTACTCCGTTTATGAAAAAGTGGCCATTTTGATTTGAGTGGCCATATTGGAAATTCCTTTAATCTTATTTTATGATGAATTATAGATTCTGTAAGGACCCTTGATAGCAAGTTGCTACTACATCCCAGCTGGGTTCGATTCCCACTCAGGTCATCGAATTTAGCACACTTTCTTTCAATTTCTTTATCTGGCTTGTTAGACCTATGCTCGCAGTCGTTAGTTATTTATTCCCCTAGGCGCCCTCGGGTCATTACACATTAAAATGCATCCATATGCCTTTATTTATGGATCTGTCATCTGTCTAGTCATGAAATAAAGCCGGAATTGCAGAAATGTTAATAATATTTTGAGCTATCTTGAGATTTAATAATCTTTAAAATTGAACCCTTCAATGACCGTATCATGTTCCACGTAGGAGAGCCTAGGAGGGTAGGTGGGTATGAGGTAGGAGGTTTTTTATACAAAGCCAATAGCTCATACCATCCCAGATGCGAGTAGAAATAATCTTGATTTACGTCATTAAAAATTCATAATTCAGTCAAACTGATGTCATATTTGGAATCTACATGTAAAATTACATTTAGAAATGTGGTTTTGAAAAGAGTTTATCAACTTTGAAAATTTAATTTTCTTTGAAAATGTGACTTCTAGGTCGGGGAGATTCCCCATAGATCCCATGTTGTGAAACCACAATAAGTGAAATATCTTTTTTTGTGTTGGGCAGATAATATTTTCTTTTACTGGACATATTTTAATTTGTTTATCTATCAGATACATAAGGGTAATATGAAAATCGAACCACTAAAACTGATGCATATTCAAGTTTAAGGGAATTTTGTAATACCCTGCCATGTTAATTCCCCCGAATCAGCCACCTGGTGGCGAAACTGGTAACTACCTACTCGCATCTGAGTAATTCTAGTATACCTCATATCAATTCTTGTATACCTCATACCTATAATTCTAGTATGATACAGGCCTGTCAACTTGGGAACACCTAACATGAGTGACTTGGAAATGTTGAACACCTCCCCTCAAAATGTGGACACCTTGGTCCAAATCTGAACACCTTGATCCAAATTTTGAACACCTTGGTTTAAATTTTATTACATCTTGCCAAATTTTGAACACCTCAAATTTTTCGCAAATTGCGGGACAGTTGACAGGCCTGATGATACACCTGCTGCTCATGTACAGACATAGTATGTACAACAACCATTATTATATATAGAACACAAACTATTAGAATTTATATCATACATGTTAATTAGTTATCTAATAAATCTACGGTTAGCAAATAGAGATCTGAAATTATTTCCTTTCATAGACTTCAACAGAAGCCTATAGTAATTGACAAAACATTGTAGCTACAGTATGTCATATGAAGTAAATGAATCAAATAGAGTATAAACACTAAAGCATGACGGTTATGTCAAGGCGATTTGCAAAATTTTGCGGTAACGATAACAAAAAATGGCGGATGGAAAAGGCAGCATGTCCTCTTTTGCCTGTAGGCAAGATTCAAAGGTAAGATTTTCTTGTAAACTAGTTCCATTTGGTGACGTATATATGGATGGTTATAAAGATTGAAAATCATGTGGTCTACAAGAAGCAGAATATAAGCTGTAAACCTACTGACTGAGACATCCAAGTTCATAATTTTTAGTATTTTTGTAGATACAGCAGCAATGCCAAATCATAGCAAATCTCATCGAACAGCCACGGCTGATATTCTTAAAAATGGCAACTCAGTGGCCAAATTGCCAGAAAAATGTGTAACATGCTTCTAATTAATTACAGATAAAATTTCAATAAAATCACTCCTTTATAGTTATAGCAAAAAAACATAAACAAACACATGTAAAAACATTAACAATGGTGACCATTTTTCAAAAGGCGCTCACTGGCCAAATTGTCATGTAAAAGTGTAATATGCTTTTTAGAAGTCACATACAAAATTTCAACAAAATCGCTTCGCTATTTTTCGAATTACAGTAAAAAATGTACAATACAGTATGTACACTCATAAAATTGAGGACTATTTTGAAAAATGGCTGCCTACGAGCCAAATTCAGTCAACTACTTTTCCAGTTACTGCAAAAATCGTAAAATAGTCTATAATGACCACCACTATTCAAGATGGCCATCATGTTTTTTTTAAAATAATTCAATTTTAAACTTTATTCATATGTTTAACATTTTTTTTAAACATATTAATAGTGACCTAAAAGTGACACTAAAATGGTGGCCATTTTGGAACTGGCAGCCATTTTGTTTAGGCAGCCATTAGTTTAATATATATACGATATTGGGCCAACAGTATTTGAGTTATTGCCCTGACAGAATGTACAGATGGATGTCATTTGTTGCTGCTGCATCAGTGTCTTCATTTGTTGTCTTATTTCTTCTTTATTGTCTTCTTTTTTATCTTGATTTGCTTACATTTGATCGTGATGTTAATATCTTTCCTTCAGTGCAGCGGATGGACGGAGCCCTTTCTTATATCCAACTGAACTATGTTCAATGGGATAATAAAAAAGGATTCAATTTCAGAAGTGAGAATGAACATGTGTGGAATCTGAACCAAAAATTACGAAGACAACAACTGTTGAAGACAGCTGTTGAAAAGATATGTGCCAGATATGTATAAGAGAAAATAGATGATAAAATAGATACGACTGAACAAAGTGAGACAAACTGGATCAAGAATCGATTAGATCGATAATTAACAAATCACCGACTATCCATGTTCAAACATACATTTACAAAATAATAAAATTCAAAGATATCATCTTTCTCGAGAGAGCAACTTGATGTGGCCATGGAAAGGATGAATATAAAAAGTCATCGGGACTGACACATTCACTAATATATTATAGAAAAGCCAAAATACAAACAATACCATTAAACCAATATAGGATGGTACTTGTATTTAAACATAGCATCAACTGACTCAATAAACAGTTTAATTAACGAAAGATGCTAATATGAATAGCGCCTCAGCAAGCAATTGTGTTAATAGTACAATTATTACTTACATGGATATGTGCAATAACACAAACATAACTGGTGACAAGGAAGAGGAGATCAAATGTTTGGGGGTTGCACCCATACACCCTTCAGTCTTGATTATTTACATAATTGTGAATATTGTTTTCCATTTAACAGCCACATTCTCGAATGGACTATTTCTCCTAGTTATGTGCAAGAAAAAGATGAAATTATCACCAACTGGTATATTAGTGATGAATTTGACAATCGCAGACTTATTCAATGGACTAATTCTAGTTCCAATGATGATGTACACTCGATATTTTGTTCCACTCTATGACCAGTGGGGAATTCTGTATGATAAAGAAGAGACACAAAGAGCTCTCTGCTTTGTGCCTTTACTACTTGGAACAATTACTTATGTTGTATCTTTTACCCTTCTTGCAGCCATTTCCCTAGAGAGGTTTGTTGGAATGATGCTTTATAAGTCGCTGGATAAAAAAAGAGCTAAAATCAAAGCAATTTTTGGAGGTATAATAATATGGATATATGTGTCTGTACTATTGATAGCATTGTTTCCAAAATCCTTTAAGTATGAACAAAATCTGGGTTGTCATTTAACATTAAGTGTATCCTCCTCCCTAAGAGATATCTTGAAACCACATTTAGTCATTCCATTGATTCTTTGTATTATTTTCTACACTGCTATATTCTTTACTATCAAAAAGCATAGGAGGACTGTAAACATTGAAACACATAATAATCCAGTAAACAACATGACTCATATTCATGAGGCAAGATGGGTGATGACCATTTTCCTGGTTATTGTTGTTTTCTGTGGTACATGGGTTCCATATTATATAGCAACTGCATACATAGATCATGAGGAATGTATGGTTTCTTGGAAAAAGAATGTATTGTACAGTACGTCAACTCTTGCCCATATAAGCTCTGTAATAAACCCATGGATTTATACATACAGGCATGCTGTCTATAGGAAACAAGTCAGAAAATATGTACAAAAAATAAGACAGTTTAAATGTTGCACAACACAAGACTCATAATTATTAAAATATAGCTGCACGCTAGGTTTCTTTACAGTTTTTGATCCTTTACCTTTGGCATTTGTGCTTGGATATTTGAAGCTTCAAAATATCCTAGCTTTGTATTGTTAAATGATATATACACACACTGTGCTCAATGGCTATGTGGCTGATTAATTTAGAAGCACTTGTTGGTTGCATAAAAACAAATGATCGAATGTTTGTATTATATTTGGACCAGATTCTCTTACCAGTACTATAAGGGGTCTTTGTAATTGATGTATTATGCTGATGTCATCAAATATCACCCAACGAATACATGGGTTTATAGTCAGACGTCATAATAAGAACAAGAAGTCTTCTGATTACGATAATCAGATTCTAATAGTAAGGTCATTCAAATTTGGCTGACAAGTCGCAGAAAGGTTGTGCACATTTTTTTGGCTAACATTATGCATGGGCTTTTAATAAGAAAGCCCATGCATAATGTTAAAACAAAAGTTATGCCTCATTTTATAGCTATCCTTGTGTTGTGTAAATAAGCTACACTATACTCAAAGTTCTCCTACATTTTTAATAAAAACAATGTTATCTAGACCTAGCATTCTTTTAATTCAACCAACATTCCCATTGCAGCAGTTATCCAGAACGGTGGAGCAATGATTAAGTACATCACCTATTTATTATGTCTGGTCTGTTGATACCATGTAACATCTGCAAAACTAAGACTGAGTGATCTTTATGGTACCCACAAAAACTTTAGACCATCCTCTAAAACATATGAGAATATTACCCCATAAATTCAAGTAATTAATGAGATATAGCTTGTTGCAAGGGTTCAATTTTTGAACAACCTGTATTACAGTTTTTCTTTATTAACCATGCTTAGCTGTCTAAGATAGCATGGCTATTCTGTATTCTGATTGGAGGGAGAGTAATAACACTGTAACATGTCAAGCCATGTGGAATACATTATTTTTTGTTGTTTGCTCAAGTTGTTTTAAAGATGTTCAACTGTATCATCAAAATAAATCTGTGGTACAAATGTATGTTTAGTGAAGAAATAAATATATCATAATATCAAAAAAGTTGTATAAGATAGCTGTCTAAGATAGCATGGCTATTTTGTATTCTGATTGGAGGGAGAGTAATAACTAATAACACTGTCAAATGTCAAGCTATGTGGAATACATTATTTTTTGTTATCAAAAAGTGATATTTGTGGTAATATTAGAGTTATAAAGTGTATATGCTTCTTAAATTCAGATATGATATGACCATATATTTATTCTGAGAGCTTTAATTGATCTTCATAAAGCCAATAATACACAATTATATGCATGCTTTATTGATTTCCATAAAGCATTTGACTCTATTTGGCATCAAGCATTAATCTTTAAGCTATTAAAAGCAGGAATTCGAGGCAAATTGCTAAAGATCTTAGAAAACATGTATACAAAAAGTCAGTTTTGTATGAAAGATAACAAACTAAATAAAATCACTGATTTCAGACAAGCAACAATAGGCCTCCGGCAAGGGGACCCAATTTCTCCCTTGGCCTTCAATATTTTCATTAATGATTTACCCTCTTATATTGGTTTAGATATTAGAGAATTTTCATTATAAGTTGTTTCAAAAACTTATACGTATACTTATAGTTTAAAGGGTCTTGTCGAACTAAAATCAATTCAAATTGATTTTCATAATTCGTACCAAGTGGGGCATAACTATTCCCGATATAGTCAAGCTCCATCATCAACTAGGGACTGCGAATACAATGTCCTTTGCTAGTGTCAATTATGAACACGATAAACTAAACGCTAGTTGACGGGTCCTTGTAGTGTACGATAAACAAGACCCTTTAAAGTGAATCACTACACGAACGAGTCGATCATTTCAAAGTTCTCATGAAATTATAAGGTCAATTTTTAAGTTTTTACGTATAAAAGGGCCTTTATACACAGATTATAAACTTACAGAGTTGGATCTCCGCATAGTATATGTGTGGACCTACTGACCAGAATGGCTTATTAAAATTAATCGGCTGAATAGGCATAGTATCCAATCAAACAGCTCGACTCATTCATTAGCTGAACTAATTCTCCCTTCGTTATTTCTACAAGGTGATTCAAAACGATCATCTACAAAAAATATATTTGAGAGTAGATAAATCTGTAAAACCTGTGTGCTATATCAGCCTATTTGATTCTAGAAAACACATATGACACAACTAAACATGCTTTACATCAAGGGGGTACGGATGGTACGCCATTGGCCCTTTTTATTACCGTCCTAGGAGATATTTCCCGACGAATTATGAAATTATGAAACACCTTGTTTATTGGGTTTATAAGTATAAGTATACATATAAGTTTTTAAAAAACTTATAACAAAAATTCTCTAATGACTGTCCAACTTTAGGTAATGAAAAATTAAATATGCTTATGTATGTTGATGATATCGTATTAGTTCAACCTTTTATTTCATTAACAAGATACTTTTTTAAAATCAACCAAACTTTCCTTTGTACAATTACAATATTGAGAGACCTAAACACGTTGTGTTTAGGTCGTTTTGTTCCAATGAGGTCCGGATAGATGTTTCATTTCATTCCAAACATATGATACCAAGAACAAAAAAAAGTGTCTCATGTGTTATCTAAAATAATATAGAGAAAAGTATATAAATATATTTCAAATTATAATGTTACCATCCAAAAGATGACCATTAAATTAACGATGTGAAAATATTTCAGAATGTTTTGATGACTGGTTTAAGAGAAACACGTGTTCAAAAAGTTCACCATATCGATACCACTCTTTTGAAGATTTGCATGTCAATTAAGTGTTCACTGGACCAACATTGTCAATTTTTCAGCTCTCCAATTCTCATCCATTATTTCCCTCCATTCACTTTGTATACTGTAGGTGGAAACATGAACTCATAGAGTAGACATCATGCATATTAATAATTAGAGTAATCTTATATCAATCTATTGGTAAAAATTACAATGTCAAATAATTTCCTCTCACCGACCACATCAGAAGCTTAACTAGGAATTAGCAAAATTTTGTTGATATACAATACAAAGTTACTGCTACAGTTAAGATTTCAATAAAGTAATAAAGAAGGATTTTAGTTCTACAAGTGCATATAAACATGAATGAGATGTGAGAAAAATAAAAAGGACAAGAACAATTGAAGTCTCGGCTGTCATCTGGAGAAGATATATAAAACAATCACGTTCAAAGATTCCACCTCTAGAGAGAAATTAGGTGTAGCCATTGACAGAATAAAAGCCACGAAAGACTGACACTACTGATATATTATGGAAAAGCATGAAAACAAACAATAGCACAAACACAAATATAGAATGATACTTGTATTAAACAGTTCAACAACTGACTGAATAAACAGTTTATGAAAAACACAGATATGAAAGGCGCACCAACTGATGTAATATGGAATACAAGCATTTGTGTTAACAGTACAATTACCAATATGAATTTGTGCAATAACACAAACATAACTGGTGACAAGGAAGACGAGATCAAATGTTTGGGGGTTGCACCCATACACCCTTCAGTTTTGATTATTTACATAATTGTGAATATTGTTCTCCATATAACAACCACATTCTCAAATGGACTATTTCTCCTAGTTATGTGCAAGAAAAAGATGAAATTATCACCCACTGGTATATTAGTGATGAATTTGACAATTGCAGACTTATTCACTGGATTAATTCCACTTCCAATAATGATGTACATTCGATATTTTGTTCCACTCTATGACCAGTGGGGCATTCTACATGACAAAGAAGAGACACAAAGAGCTCTCTGTTTTGTGTCCTTACTACTTGGAATAATTACATATGTTGTATCTTTCTGTCTTCTTGCAGCCATATCCCTAGAGAGGTTTGTTGGAATGATGCTTTATAAGTCGCTGGATAAAAAAAGAGCTAAAATCAAAGCAATTTTTGGAGGTATAATAATATGGATATATGTGTCTGTACTATTGATAGCATTGTTTCCAAAATCCTTTAAGTATCAACAAAATCTGGGTTGTCATTTAAGCTTAAGTCTATCCCCCTCCCTAAGAGAAATCTTGAAGTCACATTTAGTCATTCCACTAATTCTCTGTGTTATTTTCTACACTGCTATATTCTTTACTATCAAAAAGCATAGGAGGACTGTAAACATTGAAACACATAATAATCCAGTAAACAACATGACTCATATTCATGAGGCAAGATGGGTGATGACCATTTTCCTGGTTATTGTTGTTTTCTGTGGTACATGGCTTCCATATTATATAGCTACCACATACATAGATGATGAGGAATGTATGGTTTCTTGGAAAAAGAATGTATTGTACAGTACGTCAACCCTTGCCCATATAAGCTCTGTAATAAACCCATGGATTTATACATACAGGCATGCTGTCTATAGGAAACAGCTCAGAAAATATGTACGTAACATAAGGCAGATCAAATGTTTCACAACACAAGACTCATAATTGAAATATAGCTGCACTCCACAGACCAATCAAATTGCATATTTTGACATCTGTTTTTCTACGCACATAAAAATTAAAAAGGATCTCTGATGAAGAGAGAGGCATGACTGAGCAATGTGAAATATGAGTAATCACATAACAAGAATTCTGAAAATTGCTTTGAAAGCTTCAAAAATACCTGCTAGTGCTATGTTATCATAATAATAATATAAACCCACATGTGTTAAAGTTGAATCAAACAAAAAAGAGTCAGCTTCACTAATGTCAGGCAAGGACAAATGAGGTGGATACCTGCTCTCATGTTTCTCATCTAAAGTTTTATAATGAGAAAAATAATATCTACTTATTAAAAACACCTGATCTCATTTTCAGATAATTCATAACTATTTTCTCTGAAAACAATCAACGGGGATTGTTAATTTTCTTTTGTAAAGTAGTAACAGCCATATATGAAAGCAAAGGGTAAAGCATGAGAAAACATCATGATAATAAAGAAGGAGTGAAGAGAAGGGAGCATAAAGACTAATAATGATTCAGAATTGTTGTGTAATAAAAATTATGAAAATCATCAAAATATCTTAATTTTAGTTATTCATTAAAGAGAGAATCAGATATAGCGAGCATCCAAGCAAAAAATTGTGTCAATTTTAGAATATTTCTGGCTTGTGTCATTCCTTTTCATGTCTATTTTCTAAATATTCACAAAGTACACACTTTATTTCAGGAAAACTCAAGATTTTTACAATAATGTATTATTTTTCTATAAGAATGGTTACCATTCTTATTATTTGGGAGAATTTAACATTGTTCACCCATTTTTGCTCTTTTTGCTCTTTTAATCCTTCATAACTTCACCAATATATAATATATGGAAGATCTTTTGGGAGATTTTGTATTTGAGATTGTAAGGAATAGATTGGTAGGTCAATTGTACATGTTGCTTGTCACCCCCATAGATCTGATTCTAACAGCACTCATGGCATTAAGACTAAACAGTTTGTCTTCTCTTTAGACACAAATATTTCTCTCTTCTTGATTTCATTATTATTTGCCATTTGTCAGGACTTTAATATTATTTCATAAATTCATATTTGATTTTAAAATGATTTTAAAATGTTTTTGCTATGAATATGATCGTTTTTAACTTTTCACAATCTTCCCTATAGGCCTAATAATTTTCATATAATCTTACTCAAAATGCCTTTCAGAATCTTGCTCTAGCTGCCACAATGTATATCTAAAGATGACAAACAGGCAGAGCTCTATGTCTGTCTGTAAGATTTTACTCACCTGTATGATGCATCATCCACAATCATCAGACACTCACTGAAACAACAAATAAAATCTTTTAAATTGACCCTTTCCATATAAATGGAAAAATAGATGGTATCATGGGTACTGGTAGGGCTAAATAACATGGCAACTTAATAGCAAGAGTCACTTAATTTCTTGATTTAACTCCATTTAATTCCATTTGGATCAACTTAAAACACCATTGACACGCGTGATTGATATGATATTATTGAAATGTGGATTGTGATTTCACATTAAAATTGTGATCCTTATAAGAGTAAATGAACTTTTAAAGGTTTTTCAACATTGTGTCAATGGGGATTTAGCCCAACCATTTTTAGAAAACTTGAATTTGAATGAAGGTAAATAACAGTGCAAATCAAAGTTTTTTTGATAGAAAATTACACACAGAATTCAAATATGTCATCAAATGGAAGAAATTGTTAGTCTTCAGTGGTTAAAATTGCAGATCTCCTAAAATCTTATTAAAACGAGACTTTAACATGATTTCAAAGCTATATGAAAAAGCCTCTATTGAAAATGTGTGCTCAATTTTAATTGAATTGAATCCATCTATGTTGGCAAATATGATTCATTTAGGAGCACAACTATGTGATAATGGAGATCCTTTGGGGAGATTTTTTCAGATTACCCAGCTTAATTATTAATTGAGAGACTTCAACTTCACATCTTTACATCTTAGTTCTAACTTATCAGTCATTGCGAATGTTATAAGATGGAAATACTGATTATGATATGTACTTATGTTATACTCCAATAACTGTAAGAAACAATATTGAAATGTGGTTTGGCTTAGGGCATGTAGGGACATTTCAGATTTCCCCTAAACGTTTGATGAACTTTCAAAGAAAGCCATTTTAAGAAAATCTGTGAATGTTTACAAAATATCAAGACTTTTTCCCCCTTCCCAAATGTAATTTATTATATTTCAGGGCATAAAATGATACACATGTGATGTATTTGTCCCTTACTCACAGGGAGAATGTCCTCATGGCCAAGATAGGGACTCTAGTCTCTGTTGACTCAAGTTCTATCCCCACACGCTTCTTGTCAAGGAACTTCAGCAGACCGCCTACAGCTCGCACCTTAACACAATAACTGTACTGTTATATGTGTATTTTCTGCATTTTTGTTCACAGGTTCACATACAATCAACATGTAAGATACCCAGTTACCATGCAGATCAATATTGTTAAAGGGCACAAGGGGAAAAACTGTACATTACCATGCAGATGTTGTCAAAGGGCACAAGGAAAATAATGTGCACTTACCAAGTTACCATGTAGATGTTGTCAAGGGGCACAAGGAAAAACATGGACACTTACCATGCAGATGTTGTCAAAGGGCACAAGGAAAAACATGTACACTAATGCCATGCATATGTTGTCAAAGGGCACAAGGAAAAGTATGTACACTTACAAAGGTATCATGAAGATGTTGTCAAAGGCCACAAGGAAAAACATGTACACTTACCATGCAGATGTTGTCAAAGGGCACAAGGAAAATAATGCACACTTACCAAGTTACCATGTAGATGTTGTCAAGGGGCACAAGGAAAAACATGGACACTTACCATGCAGATGTTGTCAAAGGGCACAAGGAAAAGTATGTACACTTACAAAGTTACCATGTAAATGTTGTCAAGGGGCACAAGGAAAAACATGGACACTTACCATGCAGATGATGTCAAAGGGCACAAGGAAAATAATGTGCACTTACCAAGTTACCATGTAGATGTTGTCAGAGGGCACAAGGAAAAACATGTACACTTACCATGCAGATGTTGTCAAAGGGCACAAGGGAAGACATGTGAAGGGTTCGCTCACTCTCTGTGAAGTGGTTTGGAATACTAGGTAAGTTCATGGATAAAATTCTCCGTTTGCTAACTTCTAATGCTGAAAATAAAATACATGTCTCTTTTATGCCTTAGTCACATTTGCTCTACAGCTACAGATACAACAGTCGCAGTTTCAAAAATTGCTGAAATACTTGTGATAACATGTATCCTTACGTTTTACAGCTTGGCAATGGCCAGAATAAAATCTGAGGTCATATATTTGCCATAAATCAAAGAATCAAGGTCTTTGTTACAATTCTAATATGAAATTTTTTTTAATTAGGTGGTCATATATTCTCCAATATAGACCAATAAATCAATTGTTCTGACATCTTCTGACATCACATATCATATTACTTAATTACTAATATATCTTAAATGTTAACAACCATGACATCTATGAAAAGAAAGTTGGAATGAATTGACAATGAAAGAGATATAAAATCAAAGAATAAGAAAACTTACAAAAATCTAATGTTGGAAGAAGCTGCACAAAATCATCAATTTCTGGCCCTTTTCCACCTTGAAAATGTAATATTAGATATTATATTGAATATACATGAGAGCATTAAATCACCAACATTTTCTTGAGTCAAGCGCTTAAATTCGTTTCACACATAGGAAAAAAGATTTTGTGAAATATCACTCATTTAGAATGAGGGGGGTTCACTCTAAATAATAATGCAGATGCGAGTAGGTAGTTACCAGTTTCGCCACTAGGTGGCTCGTTCGGGTCAGATAACATGGCGGGTATAGTAGAAAGTTCCCTTTAACTTAAATTACATCTGTTTTAGTGGTTCAATTTTTATATAACCCTTATGTATCTAATAGTTATGCAAATTAAAATATGTCCAGTAAAGAAAATGTAATCTGTCCAATACAAGAAAAGATATTTCACTTTTTGTGATTTTGTAACAAAATTAAATTTTCAAAGTTGATAAACAATTTTCGAAACCATTTTTCTAAATGTACTTTTACATGTAGATTTCAAATATGACATTACTTTGACTGAATTTGAATATTTAATGACATAAATCAAGATTATTTCTATTCGCATCTAGTCTATTTGGGTAGGTATGTGCAGCACAGGCAATTTTGGCTTAGGGCATAAACCATGGAACCTGGCCAATCTGAGAGGAAACAAACATGGAGAATTTGTCGAAGAGAGAGAGCCTTTTTAAGTCAAAAATCAGTTTTTCTCCAATAAATCGGTAAAATCAGTTGACGAGGTCAGGGACAAATCACCCAAAAAGTGCAGCTTGCAGCGAGAAGACGGACCGGTTCGGGGCAATCTGCTTGCAACGAGAAGACGGACCGGTTCGGGGCAATAGCTGATGAAATTCTTTGTCACAAAGTTTGGCATTTTTTATAAAATCAAACGCGCGTCATTGAAACTCACAAGATGTAAATAGCATGTCATTTACATCATACCTTGATGGGGAAAAATAGATCTTATATGTTTGAAGTACTAAATAAAAGTTATCGTGAAAATGAGACAGTCGTTCTCGAGAGAAAAGAGCATAAATGCGCATTTAGAGAGTTTTGGTCCGTTTAAAAATCTGTAAAAAATTGGGGTACTTAAAAGCATCAGGAGGCATCATATATTTCAAATTAGACACGAGGAAGTCAATATTGAGCAAGTTATGGCTATTTTAAATTCAAATAAAACCGTTAACCCGTACCGGTCCAGCTTTTGACCCGTACCGGTCAATTTTCGTTAGCTGCGTATACCAAGGGTGTAAAGGGGGTTTTTGGCGTGGCACATAGGTATTAAGAGGTATTACAGTGAAACCCCCAATATACCTCGGATGATATTGATAGTTTGAAATACTGACAACATCCTTGTGATATTCCCCATATCAAATCCTTCCAGGTAAATAACTACTTCAAATCGACACATTCAAGGCAATGGGGTATTAAATAGTCATACATTAAATTCGATGTCATATGTGATTTGAACATGGAAACTAATCATCAGAAATGCCTTGAAGTTACAATTACAGCCATTCTATTTGAAATAGGATACATGTTACAATCATTTTAATAAAAGAAAAAATCGGTCATTTGTAAAATCAAAGGCCTACTAGCATTTGAGACTTGATAATGCTGCCATATGTAGGTAAAATCTAGATTTCCATTTCATTTTAATGGGATTGCAGGGAAAAACTGATATTGCATTATAAAGCAAATGAAATTCTTAAGTGACTAGATAATCAGATCAGATTGCCCATACCTAATGACTTTAGCTTAGCTAGGAGTCCCTCATCTTGTTTAGCAGTTGTAACAATACACATTGGTTTCACTTGCTCAAACACTGTCAAATACAAAGAAAATGTACACAATATCAATCTAAATTGAAGAATTAGTATGTCAATGCAAGATCGTATTTATATTTTTGAAGTAATATTATTGAAGAGATTATACAACTTACCTTTGGAAATGATGTGGAAGTCCATTGTTTCAACAGTGTCCATCATCATGTAGAAGCATGTTGTATCAATATCATAGTAGGCTATTCCTACCTTGCCTCCCTGCCATACAACACTCATGTATGTCTGTAAAAAATATTACTATTGTGAAATCAATCATGTCTTAATGGACTGAAAATGGTCGATGTTTGAAAACGTACATAATCCAACATCTTAGACAATACATGTACATGTATTTACATGCATTTCATTTTTGACCAATATTTGCATAATTATTCAAAAATACCTGAAAATCATCTTCTTCATCATCATCTGACTGTAGGTTCCTCCTAGCATCAGTGGTAACATCTGCAGAGGTGATGTCCTCTGATTCACTTCTTAGCTGTACTCCCTCCATCCTCCCTCCACTGACGCTACTGCTAAAATCTGCCATACCTACATTGAATAAAAAATGTTTTATTTGAAAAGGTGACTGGGAGGACAGCATATTTCTGGTTTTATGGAGATCTACACCAACTTATCTCTATCTAGGCTTAGCTTCGATTTCATCATGACTGATGTACAAAAAGAGCTATTGTGAATTAAACTTCAATAATTTTAGATGTATATGCACATGAGGCCCCCTGGCCAAAAATTATTTCAAAATCATGCAGTTTTCACCATTTTGAGCACTTCTCAAGTGATTTTAGCCATATTTGTGCCAAAATTGTCAAATGTGAACCCCCCCCCCCCCCTGTAAGTGATAAAGGAATTGACAAAATTTTTAAAATTACCTCCTCTTCAAGTTCCAATCCTTTTTATAGATTATATTGACAGATTTTTTATCACTGAATATGGTATTACTTGTTGAGGACCACACAACATTACCGTTTATCATTTATTTGAGATTTAAGCAGGGGTCCATTTTTAAAGAAATAATCGTTTTAAAAGTTTTCTTGTGAATATAGATGATGAATAAGTACAAAAAGTATGAATTATTATACATTAAGAGTGTAATGTAAAATTTCAACTGAAAGATTTAGATCAAATGGAATCCAAGTTCACAGTGGGGGGTATAACTCATCAAACACTGTATGATTTTTTAAAGCTTATTGTTCCAGCTTAATGTTTTTAATTTGCTTTTGTTAGTTAAGATTATATCATTGACCATTTATGAATTTTCGAGCACGGTACAAGGTTGCAAAACTTCATTTATGAACAATTTCAGCAGGTCTATTTTACGAAAATTAAGAATTTTTCTGGATAGTTCTTTGATGAAAAGCTAGTACATTATTACGATTAAATTATATCATTAAGGTGTATAAATCATGAAAACAGGTTTCATCCTGATGTCTACAACCTAATCCGTATAATGCCATGTCACAAATGGGGATGGGGGTGGGGGACATTGACCTCCACTTGGAGATCTTTATTACTAAATGATTTCAATATTACAATAATGTCGGTATCATAATAAACAGGCACTAAATAAGTGTAGACTACGAGGGGTGATCAGGAATATCTGGACCGTTGGCTCTATTTTTGCCATTTGTTATCCTTTCTGAGTGATTTTTTTACATAATATTACCCAAATATATAGGCTCACACCATGAAGATTTCACTGCTCTATGAAATCATTATCCTTTTATCTTTGTTAACATGGTAACTGGTGACGCGACAAGGTGGAGCTCAGAAAAAATACCAAATTTGAAAAATCAACAGTAGTTTTATATGATGTTTGGACACTGTATTCATTGCTGAATATGTTACATACTGTAATAGGTTGTATTATATTATTAAGTATTCATTAATGTTCATAGTAACTGCCATTATTTCCATTAATTCTAATCATTTAAAGTAGTTACCAGCATTTTGTATGCAATTGTTATGCCTTTTCACTCAGTCCTGAAAGACGCGATACAGACCGTCTTTGCCTAAAAAATGTGATTGTATCCATCGGTTTTGGCCTTGTACCACACGCACCGTATTCCCCAGAATTAGCTGGGTGTGATTTCTATTTTTCCCAACAGTGAAGAACAAATTATGAGGTATCCACTTTGAGGACAGTAATGAGATCATTCAGGAATTCACGCACCAATGTTACAAAGTAGGCAAAGACGGTCTGTGTCACGTCTTCAGGACTGAGTGAAAAGGCATAACAAATGCTTACAAAATGCTGGTTACTCCTTTAAAGAATTAGAATTGATGGAAGAATAATGACAGTTACTATGAACATTAATGAATAAACTTAATGAAATAATACAACCTATTACATATACAGTACACTGTATGTCACATATTCAGCAATGAATACAGTGTCCAAACATAATATAAAATTACTGTTGTTTTTACCATGGTAACAAAAATAATAGAATAATGATGACATAGAACAATGAATTCGTCATGGTGTTATCCTATATATTTTGGTTATATCATGTGAAAAAATCAGAAAGAAAGGATAACAAATGGCAAAAATAGAGCAAACGGTCCAGAAATTCCTGATCACCCCTCGTATTATAAAACGTTGACAACAAGAAGATTTATACAATTTAAACTGCAAAATGAGATAACAATAGACTCTAAAATCACAATGATCGGTATAGCTAATCAAATGTTTACTTTTTAAGCTTAGTATAATATCCTAACAGTTTAAATTGGTTTAAAAGTTATAATTGAATCATTTGCAGTTTCTGAATTTTTCGAATATCTTAAAATGGTTCAGATTTTCATTTATTGAAGATTTAATTCAAGTCTAATTCAAAAAATGAATATTTTTGTGGATAGTTCTCAGATCAATAACGCAGATGCGAGTAGGTAGTTACCAGATTCACCACCAGGTGGCTCGTTCGGGTCAGATAGCATGGCGGGTATAGTAGGAAGTTCCCTTTAACTTAAATTACATCTATTTGCGTGGTTCAATTTTCATATAATCCTTATGTATCTAATAGTTATGCAAATTAAAATGTGTCCAGTAAAAGAAAACAATAGATTCAGATGTGTGCTGATGTTTCTCAAATCTATACATAGAGGTATATTTCATATTTACAGCCTGTATGCGTATTTACTGTGCGTGTGACATAATGATTTACAATACCAAGGCAGCTCAATCTTTCTACTCAAAGTCGGAATATAGAGAAGGCTTTGGACCGAAGTAGGTTTGAACTTAGACGGTCACGATGGACAATTGAATCCAGGATGATTGAATCACAGAGAACTATTTACATATGTTCCTATACGTTTCAGTATATATTTCTCTAACTACATCACGTATATTACTTAAACGATATAAATCAATGGCATACATACATGTAGGTCTATGTTTACTGAACACAGCTGGCTCAAAAGACTTCTGTCAGCTCGGTAGAGTAAGTCTATTACATAATAATTATGTAAAAAAAATACAGTAGAATCTAGGTGCAATCTGGAATTGGAAATGAACTTTTCAGTCACGGTAATATTTATATGACTTCTGAGAATAAATCTACATATTTTCTAAGCTGATTAGAATAAGAATTTCTTTATGACTTACTATCAGTCAAAATGCAAGTTGAAGGTTTTACCTATAGCCGATCTATAGGCAGTTAGCAGGAGAAATGTGCATACAGAAAACTTTGAAATTTTACTTCCGGAATCGTTCGTACGCTGAACGAAAAAGAGTATTAACAGGAAATGATCCCCGGGAATTTGTGTCATCAAAATGGGATCCACGTCTGGGGATTTTTCGATGAAATGTGACCCACTTGAGCGGCACCTGCCCATAAAGCGAATACATGGGACTCATACCCCTCCCCCGGGGCTTGGTAAATTATGGCTCCCCTGTTAAAGCATATCTCTCAAATTCTAAGCTTAGATGATCTCTTTTGAGTAATTACCATAGGCTCTGCCATGCTATGTTAAGGGTGTCAAAAAACAACGGAACCCCATCTACGGCAAAAAGTACTTAATGTTACATGGTGTGTCCTATCTCATTTTAAAGACAATTTCATTCCCCACTTTCCTCCTGTGCTTCAGAATTAATCCTTACTGTATCTATTTTCAAGAGGCTCTTTGTCCATCAATTCGTATACCCTGTTTTTCAGAACTAAGCCCATTTGTTCAGTGCAGTCGAAATCTGGGTCTAATTCTCCCATATCCTACTTTCTGAAGATTTGACCTTTAGCCAGTAACATTAAGGAATTTTTGCTTGTTTGTTATTTTTGACACCCTGTACATATCCTATTCTAATGATATCGATAAAAATACAGGGTGGTCCATCCATAATATGAATGACGTCATTTTCATTTCAAAACGGGTTTTCCAAAACTTGCACAAACAAGTTTTATTGTCAACTTTATTTACATAAACAGACGTTCAATATGTCCACCATTTTGATCGATTGTACCCCTCAATTTTGGCCTTAACTGGCCAATAGCATCATTGATCATCATCAAATTCATCAATTCTTCACGGAGAAAAGTATTTTTGAGTCCAATAAAGTAACATCCATTATTCACGTTTTAAAGGCAAGAAGAGTTTCTGCCATTTATTTCAGTAAAAATATTTTCTTTCATATCATCTGAGACTAACATGATGGTCTCAGATATCATAACTAAAAAAACGTTAAGTCTTACTTTTAAAATGCCAATATTTTCTGTTCCTACATCTTGACAATGTTGAAACTATCACAAATTGATATTCTATCCCCTCCTATCCATCCAGAGATATCAATTTTCTAATATAAGATTGGGTCTCTTTTTAAACCAACAATATTTCCTATCAATGTTTAAGATTTTTTGGGATAAATAATACTTATTCTGAATTTAATTGATTACAAGATTCAGCCTACACTGTTTGAAAGTATGTAGGCCCTACATACTTTCAAAAATATAGATTAGATATAAATATAATATATCATTTAATTACGAGATTTAGTCTACTTGACCTACATGATTTAAAAATATATAAATATAGGCTAGATATTAATATAATATTTGGTGAAAACCTTGCAGTATCAGCCGAAGCCGAAATAGCTCAGTTGGGAGAGCGTTAGACTGAAGCGGCTGTTATTCATGATAAGCCAGGAATCTAAAGGTCCCTGGTTCAATCCCGGGTTTCGGCATGAAACACACGGCTAATATTTTATTTTTCAGCATTACATTATTTTCTTCCGATCAATTTAGCATATGATATGTTGTAGTCCTGCTTCAATACCCTTACCTGGATTATCTACTCTAATGACTGTTAGTCCAATAGCACTCCAGGATCTTGAAGCAAATATGATATAGGGCACCTTCCAATCATTTTCATTGATATTGGGCATCTGCATGAATGGCTTTGTAACACACTAGGCCTTTAGCTATAGCCGACGCATCGAAATTGTCGAAATTCTATTCTAAACTAGCGACTATGTGACTCAGTCAGAAATATGAACGTCGAAATTATTCCTCCAAAATATGAAAGCATGGTCATACTTATAAAAAAAAGAACACGGTAACCTTTACGTGATAAGATTGTACACAACTGAATCAAATATGGATGATTTAAAATTAAAATCGATAAAAGTTGTACAAATAATTTAATCATCATTGATAGAGGAATATTTCTCAAAGAATGTTAAAAAGAGACGAGGTAAGTGCCTTACACTGGCGACGCTACACAGTGATTTGAGGAATCCTCCGTCTGTTTCTCTGACTTACTTTCCATTCGTCTGTCGAAGTTGTTGCCTCATGGGGAGGGGGGCAAAGGGTCTTTGTTCAAGAAGGAATTTGCAATTTACCCGCTCAGTTCGAAATGACCGCAAGTACTGATTTGAGGACTAATTCCATATTTCATGTACTAAATATCTAAGGAATATAGCGACGAAAAATAGGCCATCGTACTTGTTGGTTGAAATCTTACTGTCAAATGACTGACATTAATGGACACGACAAAAACTAGAATATGGTCGTAAATTTATGCTCGGGGTTCTGTAGGGGCTCTACATCTGAAATTCACTTTATACCTGCCATAACAGACGCTGTAGTTCGTCGCACTTTTGGTAGATTGATGATGATAGTTTTACCCCGAGGCCCAGAGTGTAGTATTAATTCAACCATTGGAAAGGGGTTATAAGGATTAATATGAGATACATTGTGTGAGGAACATTTGACATGAGCTGCTTTAAGCACCGATATTGTTCACCAAAGTTAAGGTTTAAGCTTGCGTCAGATGCGTTTGACGGTTGAAACTGCAAATGGGGGGATCCCAAACTGTATAGCTCAAACTATCAATCTATATCAATTTCTTTTGTTTTAGCATGTTCTTGGATCCTAACTAATTAAGTCCAACATGGTAACCTGATAAATTAATAATTAAAGACTCCTAGTTGTGTTGGTGTAGTTCTACATTGCTAGAGGTCAATCAGTCAATACTCTAGTGTCTAGAACATATGTTCGGTATCGGCACAAGTGTTTTATATAGAGATAAATAGATAAGGCAATACAACAAGACAATAGATCAAGGAAGAACGCATTAACAGTTAAAGTCTCGTGATTGATATCTTATAGAAATATAGAACAATGGATGAACTCAATTCAAAATTTCAACAAAATTCGCTGGATAATAGCAGTACGAATTCAGATGGTACCCATTCTAATAAAAGTACCGATGAACTACTGAAGTCGGGACCTTCAACTTCACGGAAACATACACCTCCGACAGGACACAATAGTGATAATCCGGATGACACATCTGAGAAGAAAAACATTCTAAGCAGACTTTTCAAAAAGGAAAAAATTGAACCAAATGTGAACGATTTATCAGCTAGAGATGATGCTCTAGCTAAGGTAACAATAGATACTCTACCACAGGTGTACGTGGCTAAATATCTTGGTTTCCGCTCTTGCAAGGGCCTGTGGGGGGTCCGGCATACCCGAAAACCCGTCGAAGAGCTGGTGGAATCAGTAGGAAAGATAAAACGTGGTGACGAACTTGCCTTGGTGCACATAGAGATAAGCAAGACTGGTATAAACCTTAAGACACACCCATCAAACAAAAATACAAAATTCGAACCAGGATTTATCCCCATTGAATACATTTCTTATGGAGTACAAGATGTGAAATTTTCCAGAGTGTTTGCTTTCATTGTTGTCAGAGAGATGTCAAAAGACTCAAAGAAAACAGAGTGTCATGGATACGTTTGTGATAGCACGTTAACTGCGCGTAAACTCGCTCTGTCAGTTTCCCTCGCCTTCCAACAGTATGCCAAGATCCTAAAAGGAAAACCACATGGCTTCCACGTTGATCTAAGAAAAGCTGCGGAAAAAGAGAAAGACGATGCCAAACAAGATGAGGAGTGTGATGCATAAGATGCAAACACAGACGTTACCACATCCATAATGCATAGATCGCCCAAGGAAACGTAATCTATTGAACATCTCAAATTCATCGCCACATTCAGATACATTTACATTTACAAAAAAAATTAAATTAAATTTACATTTAGACACATTTCTTCGATATAATTTAGAATCAATACAAATGTAAACCATGACATTTCATTTCTTCTCAGCCATTTTTATAATGAAACAGAAAAATGTAATGAATACCAGGCTGTTGGCAACGATATTGGAAATTCTGCGTCCATAATTTTGTGTCTGATATTACCCCTAGATTCATTCAGAGCCTAAGATTTAAAATCTAGTTATTCTGGACGAGACGGTACAAAGATCCCATCCCAGGGGTACCATCGAATATAGTTTGACATTGCTTTATCAAGAGAGCTTCATCTACATGTGGTTATGCTCTGCTTACCCTATTACAAAGTAATTTCATTATGAAAACAATGATGGATGATTATGCAAAAATGACTGTGGACCAGCATAAATCATGACTTATTATCTGGGGAGCAAAGGCTTTAAGCATTTCAAAGATACAAGACCGCGGTTTACGTAGCTTGAAAAAGAACATGTACGAATTGATGAAAATATGTATTTTGAGTCTAAATGATTTTAGTTACTCAGGTAATTTTGTGGTTTTCTTTTTCCTACCCAAAATTTTGAAAATATAAGGTCCATTTTTGTTAATTTGGCCTTTAAATTATGCCCAAAAAGGCCATTTTTAGAGGCCCTAAAAGCTTTTGGGTCCAAAACTTTTTGGGGCCCTAAAATAATTTTCTAGGCCCACAAAGGGGGATGGGCCATGGCCCCCTGGATCCGCCAGTGGTCAGGCAGTTAGAAATTGCTTCAGAAGAACTTAAAGAGATGCTTGGCCTTGGGTAAAAATACTCCCATTAACATAATTATATGAACATTTAAACAACGTATATACTTTTGAAAAAATGGTTTTGATGGTATTAATGTTCTAAATTCTAATAGGTTTAATGACTTTTTATGAAAATCGAAAGTTACATTTTGCTAATTTTGCCCCATTTACTTGAATATTTTCTATTATCTACGCGGTGCAAAATTGCATATCGGGTTATCGGGTAGTGTGGATTGTAAACGGTATCGTGTTTTCGAAGTGGGTTATAAAATAGGGGCCCAAATTTTTTTTCAGTAAATTTTTCCTGTCTCAAAATTTGCCTCGCCTTGTTAGCTTCTGGACCCGATAGTGCTGACTGTAAATCAAAAATCTCAACCTGAGATAAAAATCTCAACCTGAGATGCCAATGGCCCGTATCTAAGATAGAAATACAGTGCCTAATAAATAGTAATTCTTCAGAATGTAACAGGTACAATTATACAGCGCAACAGATGTTCTTTTCGTTAATTATTACGATTTGTATTGGTTTGAACAGATGTTAATGTTGGAAATATAGTTCATGTGAAATGTAAACGCAACACATGTTCATTGGAGTCAATATTACAGAATGCATTCTCTCTATTCAAAAGGATAGTGGAGACTTGATCCCACAATTCATTTACCTGTGTAGAGTACATCATACGTATATTATTAAAGGCAGAATCAGATCTATGGGGGTGAAAAAATTACAAGCAATGTGTACAATTGACCTACCAATCTATTCCTTACAATCTCAAATACAATACTGTATCTCCCAAAAGATTGACGCTATGTTATAAATTGGTGAAGTTATAATGGATTCAAAGTGCAAAAATGAGTGAAAAATGTTTAAATTCTCCCAAATAATAAGAATGGTAACCATTCTTATAGAAAAATAATACGTTATTGTTAATATCTTTAGTTTTCCTGAAATAAAGTATGCACTTTGGTGATTCTAAGAAAATAGACATGAAAATGAATGACATGAGCCAGAAATATTCTAAAATTGAAATAATATTTTGTTTGGCTGCTCGCTAGATCTGATTCTCTCTTTAGTGAACGTATTTATAATGAACATATTTGTGTGTATCTGCAAATTGTACTTTTAAGTACATTATTATTATTTGTTAATATTTTCCTTTACATAGATATAAGTGCATCACTTATATTTAGGCTACCCCTGGAAGACTAGCCTTGCCCAAGTCGGTATTTTTTTACTTATCTGATCTTGAATTCATAATAGAAATCAAGATAAGTAAAAGAGACCGATCGCGACTTGGGCAAGGCTACTGGAAGACATGTAGTCTTACATATACTTTGCCCCTCCCTTTACGTGTTATCTTGCATCAAGCCTCACTATCTGTAAAACAACTTTCTCATTCTACCCTGAGTCTACCACTTTTGTTGTTTACAAAGAGTATTCCGGCTTTGAGAGAAAGGGGAAGAGACTTGGTTAGTCAAAGCAACACTCGAAATAAATCCAATATCAAAGAAAAGATGTCATTATTGAAAATACTATATTTACACTCAATATTCTGAGTCGTGCGACTCTGTGTTTATAACAACAGCAATTACTCAGCTAACAATAGCAAATAGCTTATTTTACGATAGGAATTCCCCTCAAATCTAGCCAGCTGTTGAATAGTTCAACCGGTGCTTTCAGAATGTCTCTTGTTACACATCTAAATGCATTCTGCTGGTCAAACGTCAATAAACGTTTGGCCGGTAGGGATGATATCAAAAGGCACATCTTAGCTTTAACATCATTCATGTTATTTTTTTCTTGGGTCACGAACCTACCCAATTTAGAAATGAGTGAGTTGATTTCTTTGTCTGTTGTCCCCATTGCTTTCAACTCGCATTCTCTTTTCAGATCAATAAACCAATCTGGGTAATCACTCGTGGAGTCATTCGTATAAATATCCAATGTATAACTTTTGTCTATGACACGATGCTTGTGCTTTTCGAATAATGGTTCCAGTTTCTCAAATGCTGAATATTTATGTCTGAAAGTAAGTTCTCGTAAACTTTCAATGCGGAGGAGTTTAGCTTGAGCTACTTCCGCAAGCTGAGTTTTGGACGCGTCAAAGTCTGCCCTAATTGTCTCTAAAAATATGTCTGGATTGGCACGTTCCAGTTGTTCTCCAGTTTCTTCAGTCGAACTATTGTCGGATTTTTTCCGATTCATAATCATCTTTTCCTGCTGCTCCACCATAAGCCACACCGGTGGCTTTTTATCCACGACTATAATTGGCTCTGCTGGTTGATCAGTGTCTTTACTAACTCCGCCAAGTGGTCGTAGCTTTGTCATTGCTCTCAATGCCATACTCGTCTTCCTGAATCTCGATGTGGGCTTCAGGCCCCCGTGATCCCCAGAAGCAGCCCCGCGACTGTTGTTATCATTAGTCCTTGATGGAATTTTAATTTGGGAATTTAGGAGATCATCCCAGTTTTCTAGCTTTGGCCGCTCATCACGATTTTGTTTTGATGCTAATAAACGGGACGTAAATGCTAATTTTTTGTTGGTTGCAATTGTGCTGTGTGCAGGGGCATATGTTTTTGATGCATTAGTTGCTGCATGTGAGGCTTTATCAGAAGGCAGGTTCCGATGAAAGGATGGCTCATTACGTACTCCTATTGCATTAGGATCATGGGCAGGGTCCTCGATATATTTAACAGAATTACTCAGTAACTGTTGAAGCGTTTTTGAAGTCAGTGGAAACCTTGATTTTAGATCCCTTTGCCGAATGTTCATCACTGATGTAAGTATCAGCAATATATTTCGCATTTTTACGAGAAGGTATTGTCTCTCCCGTGCCCTGCGTTTATTTGCTTTCATCCTTGCTTTTCCCCTCATTGTAAGAATACCAGTAAAACCTCCCATCACATTAGAATCCTTCTTGCCTGTTAGCTCTCTGTATAAGGTTAAACCATCCCGTTCGTCCGTATAAAATACAGGAAACTCACTCGGGGACAATGCTCTCATTTGCATTTCCATTTCACTTTCGTCTTGACATTTTGAATCGTGAGAGAAAGCAGAGGGTAGAATGTTGCAAGCATTGGGATCGTAGGTTGCTCCAGCTTTTACAGATGCGACTCTTTTATTGGATTCACCAATCATGTATTTGATTTGTTTGTAACCTGCGTCGGTACAATCAAGTATCTTGTTCTCTTTTCCTTGATTCAAATCTGAATCATTGTCAGTATCGTCACTGGATTCAACGGGTTTAACTAATTTATTTGCTCCAAGCTTCAAACATTTTTTCATCAGTCTTGCTCCGTGATCAATACCGGGTGGCATAAGTGCTTCGAAATTTTTGTCTATTAGCCTATCAGTGTTTAGTTCTGGTTCGCCCAAATGGAGGTACCGTTTGCCATTATCACAGAAGAATCCACATTTCAGTTGTTCTTTACGGCGTTTAGCATTCTCGAGCCAATCATTATCAGAGGCAGGACGTTCAACAAGTTCAAAATTTCTTGTTTTTATTTTCTCGGGAACGTACTTTGGTTGCTTCTTTAAATATTCATACCTGGCTTTGATTCTTTTCAGGACAATGCTTTCTTCTGCCCCTTTATGGTCCTTCATTTTTTGAACTAAACTCAGCATTTTCATTAATTACTATTCAATGTACTTAAGACATGTAAGATAATTCTTAGATTATGTCAAAAGTATTTTGTGAAAATCATTTTGCTATTTGTTGACGTTGTGAAGTAATATATGTGTTCGTTACCAAGTGAGTTATTGTATGACGTATGTACGGTTCTTGATCATTGAGTTCTATTTCAGCGATTGTCGATTGGTAATTGTGATGTCACACCTATTTAACCTTTTCAACTGTCACCAAGGAGACATATTTCACGCGATACAACATGAATAAAACATTAGACAAAACACGAAAACAGCTATTCCACCGAGAAGCAAATTCTGATGAACAAATTATTCCTCGATTTATTCATCATGTTGAGCATTCAAAGCTAGAAATAACAAAAACAAATCATTTTCAAATATGACCAAAGCGATCAACTGTCTCTTAAGTTTTAGTCAAATATATCATCTACTGAAATATTCATTCAAATCTGTCGGAAAACGTTTTTTATATTCAAACGGAAAACTTCATTTTTAAAAATACTGATGCAATGATACACTCTTAAGACAGGAGAGGGATCCCAAAGAATAATCATAAACCACATTAATTCTGATTCTGGACTATGCCTGTTACACTGTAGTTGATAACGTTTTTAGCCAGGCAATTGCAAGAATAGAAGAAATCTCCTCAGGAAGCAGCCAAATCTAACAATGATTCTTTGCTCAGAATACGTTTCCGAATAATCTTTTTCCTCGCCTCTAGGTTTCCTCTCAATTTCCTGTGAATGTCCACCACACTTCGAAAAAATGCCCAAAGCATATAAGATATAAAATAGAATTCTAACGGGGGCATAGCTAGCTATAAGATAGACAACCGCCTCGCCAAGATTTTATTGAAAAACTTTTTGATAATTGTGAAAACAATTGTACCATAGTGATATAATATCCTCTTTGGTTTACGTTTTGCCTCGCCTAATCAAGTTTGCCTCACCTGTTTTGAGTTTTGACTATGTCCATTAAGACTATACAATATGCGTTAAATATGCATTAATAATGTGTTTTACCAGTGTTGTGAGATTTTCTGAGCATGAGGTTCCGTTCATCGAGCGCTTTCTAACAACAGAAAAAACTTCTAAGTAAGGCACAAAAGCTAAATCTGTCCGGGATGCTAGCGACTCCACGGTTACACTTTACAGATGTAACATGAAAAAGTACAACCAGATCAATGCCCTATAAATCTAACAAATGATAAAACACCGGACTGTGCAATAACGAAATGAACTACCGAACTGACTATTGAGTATATTCATTATTATTAGCAAGTAGACTACAAGCACATCATTAGCTATTTATGAGACTTTTCAACAGGAAATGTTATTTGGCGTAAAGTTTTATTCTGCGATTATTTCCCGCAAAATAAAGGTCGTTGTTTCATTAATTCATAAAGAATGAAATTGCCACACGGTTTATCAACTGACATAGGAGGGTGTTCATTTTTATAGCTACCTGCTTTCATACCTGTAATTAACCAGAGCTATACAATTAACCAAATGGCAAATAAATTACGTCAGAACAGACGCTGTTGAATAGAAAACGATTTCTTTAGATTGACTATTCCCAATTTGACGATTAAATATTGAACGTTTTATTCATATAACACCCCCGCTTAAAGAGCAAGTCTACATTTTAACCATCGGTATACGATAATCAAGTTCTAATTGACGACATGGTTGAATAGATCATTTAGACCTAGGGTTAAGAAAATACCAGCCTTTTTATGATGGGAATTGATGTTTGATGTAAGGATTCATAATATTTTGAATTGGAAATCAAATTTATTGGAAACGTGTACCCACGGGTAGGCTACTGTAAGTCTAACTGGATATTAGCCTAGCAATAGGGAAGACTGGGGCAAAAAGGGACAAGAGGCAAGAATGAACACTTGACTTCTCTCAAAAGTTTGTAAAAAATGAATATACAGTGCCAGTGCTTCAGTTTAAGTATATACTGACTGAATGAATATGTCATACCACCTAAAGAACTGGTGCCCCGTCCTGCTCAGTGATGTCCTTATATACTACCCTGGTTACCCCAATCGCATTTGCTACAAGAGAATTTAGTCCTGAAAAGCGTTATCACCTTTTCTTCATATTTATCAAAACTATTTTTTAAATATATAACATGGCCTTCTGTACGTTTTAAAACCGAGAGTGTACTCATTTTTGTTGGGCAGCCTTTATTGTAAAAAGGTAAAAAGTGTTCCGTTCTACAATGGTCTCCCCTACGTTTTCACGATGAACAAATTACAAAAACAGGTTATTAAACTGGTTTCTAATGATTCACATACCCAATTGTTCTTGATAAGTAATCGATGATATTGATAAGTAACCTGAATAATAAACATAGACTTGCTTACATATTGAGAGGGTTGATCAGAACATTATTGGAGAATGATCAAATGATAAAACGTTTGGAAACTTGATTGGATCGTGTCGCATATTCTTAGAAGTACTCTTCTAATACATCAATAAAATTAAACATCGATGTTGCATGACGTATATGTCGTATGTCGAACTTCAATGAAATTGGTATGAATAGCAACAGCAACTGCTTTTTATCAAGTGTTTAGTTTTGTTTAAAACAATTTGTAATATTCTCTTTGTTAATTTCAAAGTTTGCTGAAACAAAGTGCCATGAGTTTTATTAAAATCATTTGAGCGGGGTATGTTTCCCCAAAATGTTCAAAGAGGTTCACGTTCAATGAATTGCCCGTAAGTGAGAAGATATCAATAGAACAGCATATTTCTGTCCTATTTTGCCCGGCTACTCCTACACTATTCGCCACAAGAATACTTAATCTTAGAAAAGCGATCAGTCTCCGAGCCTTTCGTCCAGTGCCATCCGTACCTCCTGTGAAGGTACGCAACGAACGAAATGAATTTTGAGAATGAAAAGCGATATCATATCACAAGTTTAAATGCCGAGTGCGTACTGCGTTGTGCGCATACCCATTAAATTGTGGGACAGCCTGTTTTGTAAAACAATGGAAAAGTGTTCCGTTTTGCCACAGTCTCCCCTAACTATGAACAATATAGACTTAGTACATACAGACTACAGAGTACAGAAGAAAATATACCTGTACATGGTTAAATCATTTTCAAATAATAAAAACCTTGTCTCATTTGGACGAACATTAAGGTGCTATGGAAGTTAACAGGAAATGACAAAACAAAAAATGTCAAAACCATGCTGGATTTTGAAATGTTTTTGATCCAAGATAACAGAGTTCTGTTTGGACCTCCAGTCAGTTTTACTAGTTCCACATATCATTTACATGACTGGGAACACTATGGAAATGGTCAGAATGACCACAAACATGATGAAATAACCTTTTCAGCCCTTTGAAAATGTGACTGAAAAATAGCTAAGAGTAGGTGCTCAGGAAAGGTCACTGAACAGAATCTTTTGACATTTTCAGAAAATGTGCCCAATATATTGCTCTAAATGATACAATTTAAAAAAATTTCATATCATTCTTAGAAAATGAAAAAAATGAAAAAAACGATTCTGTTCATTGACCTTTCCTGAGCACCTACTCTTAGCTATTTTTCAGTCACATTTTCACGCAAAAATATAAGAATGGCTATAGGCGTACTTAGCGATATACGAGTTGTCGTGAGATCATCCATGAACCTCAATATTACAGTCAACCATGAGAGGCAGGTCCGAGTTTTCTTCTCCATTAAGCACGTTTAAAGGTTTGAGAGTTGGTGTGGTACAAATTAAATAAAATGGCGTCGACTAAGTTAACACGGCTATTGAAGAGTCCCGTGACAGTATTATTTGTAAATACTTCATACCACGAGGAGAATTTTATTCCAAGACCAATCAATTTCGAATAAGTTATTCAACGTGGATGTAGATCTAAAGCAAAAAGCAACCCCAGGGAGAGGGCATAGAATAACGATATCTGCCCCTATTGAATCAAAACGTAAGTTTATGCAAAAATATTGATAGCACACAGACGTGCGAGCTTTTATAAAGAATATATTTCAGTTAAAAGTAATTGCCCTGAGCCCACTGGTGTGGAAAGTATGGTAAATCATAATTTCTGGTTATACACGCAGAAAAACTCTAAAAACGGAGGATCTCAAAGATCACATAGAAAAAGTGAAGGTCTACATTCACACCTGTCAACCAACTACTGAAAAACGGCCGTAAAACTGCTAAACTATATTTTTACTGAAATTTACCGTATTTGGGGGTGGGGATTTGACAAGTCTGTGACCTTGATTTTTATTTTATCTATTTATTTAGATCGCTTACACTCTTACAAAAAGGTGTATCAATATAAACAGTCGAGTCAGGAGCCATGTTATTACTCATTACTTTATTACTTACTTTCCAAGAAATAATCACACGTACAATGTTGGGGAGGGGGTAGGTCCTCGCCGTCTATTCAATGAAATTATAACGTTAACGTTTTGTCAAAAATACCGTTTTTTAAAAAAGCTGGAAAACTATCGTTTTCTTCAATTATACCGTAAAAACTACCATATTTTGAAAAATCAACAGCAAAAACCTTTTTTTCGATTCACTTCAAAACTCTAACAGTAGAAAAAGGTAATGTTTTTAATCTACAGCAAATACTACCTGTATTTATTCTTAAGCTACTAATTGAAAGTGAATTTTCAGCGACTAAAGTGGCAGTCATTTTGAAAATAGGTGAGCTTTTGAATCAGAATTCGTAAAGGGATTTCTGCATTGAAGAGGAACCGAAATAACTAAATACCGACTCAGGTTTTAAAACGTGCTACGTTTACAGACAGACGGGCAGACATACGAAGGGACGAATACGGACAGACAGGGCAGATTTGCAATGCCATAGCTAAGAAGGACGCTTATATACGTCTCTCATTGCTTGATAAATGAACAACATATTATATTTAGGCAAATTAGTGTTTTCTTTGTCACGCGAGACGTGTTTTTGTATCCCCCAACTTGTGCAACTTCTCTCAACTTATTTACCGTCTTGCCAGTAGCATGCGACTGCGTATTAACACAATGTGATACATCATTAACTTCAATAGTGTCTCAAAGCTCACAGGCCATGAAGTCAAGATGTCAACTTCCAGGTCTCCATGGTTATTGAAGAATAATAATCTTAGACTTTTATATCATATGACAATATAATGTAAATAATGAAATTAATGAAACGATATATGGATATCCAATCATTGGCAAAATAAGATGGGTGTAAACAGGACACTCCATACAAAAACCTTCATGTAAATGAAAACACATAATATTATTCCGTGTTAAGGATCGGACTGGCGGAAAAGGTTAGTCCAACCCAATGGGATTCGACCCCACGTACCATCGGTATCTCCGGCCAAGAGCCAGACAACTCTGTGCAGTATGCTGCCAGGGGCGTAGCCAGGCACTAGAAGTGAGTGAGGCAAATTTGAATAGGTGAGGCAAATATTGAGTGTGAGTCAATTCGACTTCATTCTTACTGTTTCTATTGAAAATATGTGTGCACTAATATTTTTCTGTAACATTCTTAAGTCAGATTTGAACTCCTGAGAACTTGGAGAAGGTCATTAAAGTTCAAATCTTTTTTGACCTTGAGAATGTCATTGAAGGTCAAATCTATAGCCAGCTTTGATTAGATGATTTTGAAAGAAATTGGTCAATTTGAAGCTGAAAATACCCTATTGACCTTTTTTACCTTTGGAAGGTCATTGAGGGGCAAATGTCAAATCTAAAGTCAGATTTGAACTTCTGATAACTTGTAGATCATTTTGATAAAAAATTGGTCAATTTGAAGCAAGTTGAAAAAGACCTTCTTGACCTTTTTAACCTTTTTGACCTTGTAAAGGTCATTGAGGGCCAAATCTTAAATATAAAGAAGATGGGAGTAAACAAGACAATTTGTTCCCATAATTCCATGTGATCGGACTTTTGATTGACACTTGGAAGTCCTAAAATGCATCCTTGACAATCTGATCTTGCTTAGTTTAAGTTGATTCTCAATCTTACCATCAATCTCATCGATCTCTTGTGGACATTTTGTCATCAATTATATTTCATATCCCCTTGGTCCTTTAACTTACTTTTAGCAAGAACAATCAACTGAAATATTCAAAAACGGGTTCAATGGTGGTTCAATGTGTGGTAGTTTACATATTTTTGATATTTATTCAAGCCTGAACGATTGTTGTTTTCATGATTTTCCCAACTCCTAAACATGCTAAACGCGAATCCAGACAGAATCGCCTAATTGCAAAGGACATGAAGTACAGCTTGCTTTTCAAGTATTGTTATGTCACCCGTGTAACTTTTAGACCTAGGTAAAGTATGATAGATGATCTGAAACGTAAATCTGAAATGTTAAGTGCCCAAGTAGTGAGTTGGTACTCGTAGGAAGAGTGTCATATCCTGGTTTTATCCAGATAGAGAATAAATGAGCGCCCTTATGTCAACTGTGCCAGAGTTCTGGGGATTGCCATTGACCTTGACCTGTTTGTCTGTCTGTTTGGGCAGTCATTCCCATTCGTCAAACTCTGTCCAATCCCATCTTCCATTTACTATTTCTGTCACATCACTCCCTTTATTAGGTGCTTTTGACATTTGGACTAAATGCTGCATGATTTTACTTATCAAAGTGAATTTAAATCAAACGATGGGATGCATATTCCAAGATGCAAAAGTAAAGTGAATCGATACGATATCTACAGGGTGACACCCACATAATGTTGCATTTTTATGCAATGATTACTGACTTGTTCTTTAGCACATAATATCAAGACTCCATGGAGCAAATCCACAAGAAGTTTCAGATGACTAGCTCAACTGGATGCACTTTTATGAGCGTTATAAGATTTGCTCTAAATGTCAGGCACATCTGGATTCTATGAGTAAAGTTATTGACGACCCAAATTCCCTCACAGAAATGGCCCTGATCTTTCTGGTCATCTTCAGGTGTTTTATGGTTTGTTACACGATCCTTCAAGTACCCCCATGCTGGTGATCCACTCGATTACGCTGGTTCGTTTCGGTAACAAAGTGTCGGAACATCGAAGCTACGATTTTTCTTTTTTCCTTATTTCACACCTTGTAGGCACAATTCTCACGGCATTTTTAACACAATCGTGTATCAGTAACATATGTTTAAGACTTAAGTTATAGAAACGGGATTTCGAAAAACAGTTAATCTGTACTTTTAACCCAAACCGTTTCTGTAACTTAAGTGAGGGATTAAATCGACGATTCTGTTGTCTTCTAAGCTATTTTCGCAAACATGTAAATTTCTAAAACATATGATAATGATAAATGTTTGTGAGAAAAAACGTCGTGGGGATTCTGCCTACAACGCGTGAAATAGGGGAAAAGGAAAAATCGTACCTTCGACGTTCTGACATTTTGTTACCGAAACAGAGTATTCGAGTGGATCACCAGTGCCTCAGAGATAAAAATCTGGGGGGTGGTGGTCGATAACTTTGCCAGTAGAATCCAGAAGTCTGCCTGCAATGAAAAGGACGGCATCTAGAAGAGTACATCTTGTAACGGTCATAAAAGTGCACCTAGTTAGACTAGTCGATCATCTCAAACATCTTATGGAGTTGCTCCATGGAGTCTAGTTTAAATCTACAGAAGTCAGGAATCGTACTGTCAAAAAAGGTATTTAACATTAGTGTCACCCTGTATATCACCAATACTGTATCAACAATAAATGGCAGTTAAAACAAGACTGCATATGGAATACCATACGTAGTACACATGTCTTTAAACATGAATAAGTATAAATGGCCGAGTGATCTATTAGGGGTGACGCTTTCTATCGTTTTCTATCGTTGTTCTATGTGTTTGAAAAGAATCCTTTTCAGCTTTTTACACCTAGCATGTCCATGCATACGTCTACAGCCCGATGTGTAGTATCTATTGGGGGGAGGGGGCTCTATTGCCTCTCTGCAGCCTGGTGTAGTATTTATTGCCTTTGTTTTTTCTCTAGTGACCTTATTCGGCTTTTAGTCATACATATTCAGATCCTTGAAGATGCAAATAGAAACATTGACAAAATCCCTGGAGGAGAATTATTTCATCTATGCAGTGATTCATCTTTGTTTTCTTTATTTGTCTAAAATGCAGATCAGGGTAGACTTGCCTAATGCACAAAATACTAACCCCCAATCTCTAGAGCCGACAAGGCGTAGCTTTGGGAACACGTTAATATGTAATTAAGCAAATCTGAATTCCGGGACTAGAGATTCGCTAAGTACTTCCATACTAGTATGTCCCATGATTGAAAATAGTTGAAGCTATTTGACAAATGTTCCACTAATTGCCTGCATCACTGGGACACATTTATCTGGTAGAGCTTGACGGATGTATTTCTGTAAATTCACTAAATAATTGCCATAAAAGCAGGAGGTGGTAAAAAGATAAAAACAAATTAACAAAATTCAATAATACCTGAAAGAGACAGGAGATTGAATAAAGCGGCGTCTAGCTTTTATCGAGGTTCAAACTGCCACTTTCGCAACTACTAACTGCCTAGCTACACGTGAATAAATATAGCGGGAACGAAATTGAAAGGCATCACATGGATTGGATAATAATTCACTGAAAGGGAATAAATTTTAGGGAGTTTTTATTTTGCTGACACCCTCCAGCAGCTGTCGAAGTATCATCTAAGGTAAACAATTAATAATCTGTCATCGCAAAGTAACGTTAAAAAAATAATTATATTAATACTTGTCAAAATATCTGAGAAGCAAGATTTAATACTTATTAAAGTTATATCTTTAAATTATTAGTTTGTAAAAATAACACATTTCCGATACTCTTTTGAAAAATAAGCATTATAAATGTAGTGTATTAAATATATATTTACTTTTAATAAAATGAGTAAGTTTTCAAAAACACAAAAATACATAATGTTTTTAACAGACGTTTTTGATAAAATTGCCGTTACCGATGTTTTGGACTTACTACACGTGAAAATAAAATAGTGGTCATTTTATAATACTTTTAGTCAGTATTTTCATACTTTCGGGAAGGCAAAAACTACGAGGAGCAGCTTAAATGATTTGAAATAGCTTTATAGCATTTAAGGGATTAAAAAAGTAACTTGAGCAAAATTGAGTTTTTATCTTTTCATTTCCCCATTCCCAACAATGGGCCAATAGAGAAATTATTCTGTTATGTGCCAAATAGTCTCAATTAAAGACGTCAGATCGACAATTAGATCTGAATAGGAACATCCCAAATGAGCTCAGTTGAACAAAAAGCTTTCCGTAAAGTAATGTTACATCAGAATTAAATTTTTGAGCTAATGCAACAAAAAGCTTCACCAAAGTGCACCGTTATTTCATTACAACTACCCATTGTATTCGTTCGACTTCGCTCCTTAAAAGAGAGCTTCGTCTTCAGTAGTTTTAACAAGAATCTGCGCGCAGGATACAATTACATCTTACTTAGGCGATGCGTTCTGAGTGATTGACTGTTTATTTATTTGTTTTAACAAAATAAATGATTGATCAAATCCTGAAGTTTCTTATTCATAGACACAAAGAAACAGTAGTATGAAATACTGAAATTACACTTTAGTAAATAAGAGTAGCGATGTCATCAGAGTTATGATGAACTAGTCAGCCGTTATATTTTTATTCATTATCCATGTGTCTTAACTGTTGATCTTAGGTTATTTCTAGGATGAAGAGGATTATCTTCAACCGCTCTTAGGTAATAGGATCAAGGTAGAGCATCTGTCAGTCTTTCTTGCACGTCTCCTTATTATACACTCGAACTAAGCACGCTAAACGACGGCTTTATTTTAGTTTTAATATTTCTGTAATATATAATTATTATATTATCTCCAATCAATGGAGGGGAAATAAATCAAATAATAATAATAAAAAAAAACAATGACAATTGTTGGCGAAGTTGATTTTCAAGTTAGATTCATTATGCATTTTGTATCATTATCCAAGTCAAGATGGTCCTATCTATCAGGACCTGCCTCAGCCGAGGTAAGTCAAGATGAATATAATCTACCAAGACAAGTCAAGATGATCATGACCTATTGATACAAGTCAAGATGATTATGACCTGATACAATGATGCATCCAAGATAAGTTAAACAGAATAATTACGAACTATTTAAACAAGACAAAATGATTTTTACCTACCGAGAAAAGCCAAGATGATCATGACTTTTGATTCAGATAAATCAAATTGATTGTGATTCGCCGAGGCAAGTCAAGAATATATAAGTTACAGTGCCAGGAGATAAGTCAAGATGATTTTGATCTACCAATTAAAGTCAACGTGGTTATGAAATATTGAGCCTACTGAAGATGAAATAGTGAGGCAAATCGATAAGACTGTTACACTAAGAAAGTCAAAATGAGACAGCAAAATGTCATTGAAAATTTTTCCTTAGTTTATCACATACGTGTTCGGCATGCAGATGCAAAATGAAAATATATTTTGATAACACTAATGCATAAAACGAGTTTATAATGATGAGTCTATAATCATCTACAGACATTTTTTATCCTTTAACAAGGAATTGATGGATCCTCAAGACATGGGAAACAAGTTTAGATACAAGATGGCTACTCAATTTGGCAGAAGTGGTTGTCTAATGAAATGTGAGATTATATTTTAAGGAACTGTCCCAACTAATTATTCCTTGAATGTAGTCATTATCAAGCACTTGCTTTGACCAGGCATCACCTATTTTTGCAGTTTGTGAGTGTCGGGGTTGGCTGCTGATAGCAATTTACCACATCTTATGATTTAATCGCATCCTAATATCGAATACATGTGTTGTTGTTAAAGTTAAATGATAGTCTTCAAAATCACTTTTAACAAAAGTGACCCATGACATTGAGTCATGGCAAATGATTAAAATTGATGACACATTATTCTCAATCAAGACACATAATTTAGAGTCATTACGGATATTTCAAAACGAGGGAACATATAGAGTAGAGTGATGGCATGTAGTTTCGAGCCAATACATGTGATTTAGAGTCATGGAGTATTATTAAGAGTACCCTTTGCATTCGTTCGACTTCGCTTCTCAAAAGAGAGCTTCGTCGTCAGTAGTTTATAACTAAACTCTGAGCGCAGGGTATATTACGAGTCAAGATGGCACGATTAATATCCATCCAAGTCACAGTAGGTGTATCAAACGTGTGAAGTGTCAAAATCAGTTGAACAGCTAGGATATTCAAATAAAATCAGGGAAAATATTCCCCTTTACAGTTGAGTATCGTATTAGGTAAAAACTAATTCCATTCCATTCAGATCACTTTGTACAACTAAGTTCGATTTCTAATCATATTTGAGCATCTCTTCTCTTCACCTATAAGATCAACTGATATTGAAAAGCCATACATAAAATTATTTAAAGGGTCTGACTTGCAATATATCAATGACAATTGTGTTTTGAATTGTTATTTATTTTCTACATAAAAAAGATTTAAATATATAGTTGTTATTGTTTACTGTTTCAAAAAAGTTCATTCTACTGAATATAGAAAATTTCTGCGCTTTAAATTTTCAATAACTTTTATAATCCTTCTCGGAAATTAAGTGAGGATTGTAAGGAAAATATTGGCATGCTTTTTGTATATTGCTTCCAACATTTTACACGACATTCTTCATCCCTTCTTAATCCTTTAAGTCATAGTTCGTTATTATAGAGCTAACTATGAAACAGAACTCCTCAATTCAAATCAGAATGAATTATTCGTGTACTCACATTATTTTGTCACATTAGTCCATAGAAAAAAGAATAGTTGGCAAAAGTACGATAACTATGTTATGTTTCTTTATTCCCTCCGTTTAATCGGAGAGCAAAACAATTTATACATGTATATCACATTACAGAACAAATATTACAGAAGATAATAACTGCATATCTTTTGGATATTATGTGAAAATTTCATGAAAGAATATTAAAAACCTTTGAAATGAGAGCATTTTCCGTGAACATATTGAACGCCTTTGAAAAAAAGAAGCGTTCTTATTGATATTTGTTCTGTTTATGAATGCCATTTTCTCCGGATTTTATTTGATCGTAATTTTGTTTTTAGAGTTATTTTGTTGAAATATACTGCACCTCATTTGAAATGTACGTGTTTTAACACTATAGCGAGACTTTAATGCCTCAATGATTCTTAGGTATAGTTTAGAAGGAAAGAATAGTCCTCGAGAATATATTTCCTTAGCTTTCATTCTTCAAAATCCTTGATATTTTGATTTTAGTTTATGGCAAACATAAACATTACATTTATGAATTATATTTAATATCTATGTTAATAACCCTCATGAAACATGATTATTAGAAAGTGGGTATCCCAGGGGGAAAAATTGTGAATCGTTTTTACAAATTAGTATGTAGTATTTTTGATAGGTAAAAAAGGTGGTGATAAAATTCATGAAGCACACTCTATGGATGACGGGACATATTGTTACGTAAAATTATATAATAAATCAAAACATCGGTGGCATATCTCTAGACCTGATATATTAAATTACAGCTAATCAGAACATAGAATTCCAGATATATTCAACTAACTAATTGTTTACTTTCTAAAATAAAAATCCAGGCATATGTAATTATACCAGATTCAAACGGAGAAGGAAATTTTCGGGAACAGTCATCCAAAATTTGGATGGGTGTCAAAATGGCCTACTTGGCAGCAATTGAAATCTGTTCTGTTTTATGAAACTGTTTTGGCATGTGTGAAAATGACCTTCGGTCTTGGTTTAAGGAATAAAAAACGCATTGAGGCCAGTGCTTAAAACCTTACACCATAAATACCCAGGTATGTTCTGTAATAACATACCGGTACATGAATAATTCACATTGGCCTTTTCAAAATGTGTCCCGAAAACACGGATCCTGAGCCAGATCCAATAAACAGGCAATAGTCCTACAATACCTCTGGTGGAGGAATTTAAAGCAGTGTAATGTATACTAGTTCTAAATGCCCCTGGGAAAAAATCTTTAATGTATAATGTATTTTTATCTTATTCTGTTGGATCTGATAAGAATATTTTAAGAGAGATGTTTTAAATTGGGGATTATGTTATAAAACAGACTTATTTTATGATCTTAGAATTTTGCGCTTTTGTGCTCTCCAACTTTTGTGTTACAAGAGTTCCGTTTCTGATCAACCATACTGAATTAAATGTTGGATCAGTCATAACGAGCAAGATTTCAAAATTTGTCTCAATTTCTGAATCTTTTTAGATGTCATCATTTCCTCCTTGCCTACTTTTTAGAAAAGATGTCGTGAATCATAATATCCTTATATATCTTATTCTGGCCAATTATTCTATTAATATATGTGTGGGATGATAAATCATACATTGGTTGATAAGGGACAAAATATATGTTAAGTGTAATTGAATACGTTTCGGGGGTGTACCAAAGTTCCACTACAATTTGTCAACCAATCTTGATTTTTAATTTGAAAAGAAAATTGATAATAAAATGCAATTTTATAGGGAGGAGTGGGCTGATTTTAAATGTCATAAATTTATTACCTTTGGGGACGTACATCATCGATGTATTGAACCTTGTTGTTTCTAGACACTTTTTGAAAGATAAGAAAGATAAATGTTTTTGTCAGTGCTATTCAAATACAATCTAAGGGAGAAAAATGTACAACCAGG